AGGTATTGTGGCTCGCTGGGCCGGGTAATTTGTTTGCATTCGGGATTTGCTACGGATTATCGTGTAGAGGACTGCATCTCTTGCGGTCGTCGGGTAAATCCAGGTGGGTATTGATGCCATCATGAAATCGAAGGATGGTAGGTTCTCGTGTAGCGCGATCGATGGTAACCAACCACTTGGTGTCAATTCCACTGGAATATCCAATCCTGAAACAATACTAACGATAATACCCAGAATCCCCAAGCTTGGAAGAAGCGAACCCCGTAAGGTGGAAAGTTACGGGGGGAGAATTCGGATCAGTCGACCCACTCAAGAGCACCATGAACACTTTTCACCAAGTGAACAGAACCAACGTCTTCCCTGTGGACTCAACACTCCGACACACAACGTGGGGGAAATCCGCGATACAGAACCTCCATCTGGCCCAGATATCCATTTCACAATATACACATCCACAGCCCTTTCTTCCCTGTCATCTACCACCCTCCCCAAACAGAGTTCACCGGTGTATTGAGTCCACTTCCACCTCGCCATCCATACACATCGTGGGGATACCTTGGCCAGAAACTCTTTTGTTCTTTTGAAAGATCCGCTCGGGAACACAAAATGCGACCTCAAGGCCATAGCGCATTTCCCATCTCCACCTACGCCATTCAATTTCCACACTCCAGCACCACAGACCACGGCAGCCCCAGCCTCGGGACTATCAAATGGATACATCACATCGGAGCTGGTCTGGAACAGGGTGTGGCAAGGCTATATATCTGGTATGTTCTGTTCAGATCTTGTGCTCGATCGTACTTTGTAGAGGGCCGAATATATCCGGCCATGGCGGTATTTGAGGTTTGGCTCGGAGATCGAAACAGGGAAATTGATTAACGTTCACTTTACAGCGTATGATCCACACGTCCAGTCAGTTGGTGGTAGGCTGGTGGGGGTTGCCATGGCTAGCTAGGTATGGGGCTACTATTGATGTGCGCGACAGGTACATGCATTTCCTGAAGAAGTGAAAGTAAAGTCCGCTCGCCTCATTTTGGAACTGGATTTTACTGGCTGGGCTTCATGCCACTTGTAATGTGATTACAGTCCTATACTCGCGTACCTTGACTACATACACTCCTGTGCTATGATGCTGCCGGTAGCATGATTGATGATGTAGACGTCGATCGGGAAGGTGTCGTGAGGATTGAAGTCCCTGTGGCGCTGGTTGCTTTTGTTAGATGCAATTAACTGGTTGGAGATACTGTATGCATGGGGGTGATATCATGAGCTGTTGCTGCTCTGAGGAATTCTTGTGGGCAGGACCCGGGATAGCTGGTGTCATGTGGGCCACTCTTGACAGAAGTACGGTGTTGGGGGTGGTGGTGGTGGTAACAGGTGGAATGGATGAATGGTTGGAGGGAGTCGAACAATGAATGAAGAGAGGATGGCTCTCTGGGTTAGAAATGGATGGGTTTCGTTGGATATCAAGCAGGGCAAGAGCTACTTGTATGTGTTACTCACTACGATATCGACTGCATCATCTGAAGCTCTTCAAGATATAACCCTCTAGCCTAGATCTCGTCTGGGAATGAGATAGCCAAATGACTCTCAATCTCAAGGCCAGTAGACATGGTATCAAAGTCTCTGAAATCCCCTCCAAGATCTAAAACCAACGCAAGAATAAGATGCAGTATGTCAAGTGTCATTGGGGTATGGAAGATGCGCAGAGCAAAAAAACGTCACAGCAACTCTACCTATTGCCGCGTATGTACAAGATGCATCGCTTTCGAAAAACCCAGTCTAGATCTAGAACCCAGATTGCAGAGTGCAGTGCGGCTGCCCGACATGCCATGTGCTATATCATAACTTCTGTCTCTAGGAAGAGACAGGCATTGTGTCGCGCAGCTGGTAATGGAACAGCTGCCACACGCCCTTGAGCGCTTCTAAACGGTCATCCTTGTCAAAGAGGTCGAACCATTTGGATCGCTGCAATTTCAGCACATGCCACGGCTGCTCTGTGTCAGAGTCCGGTGGGAATGTGCTCTCGCCGTTGGTGAGGATGTCCAGGTAGCGTTTGTGGACACGTAGATGAAGGATTGAGACGTGGTGGTTGATGGAGGAGATCATGTAAATCTGGAAGGGAGGTTAGCTCGGCTGTCACTATACCTGCACCTCAGCTGAAAAGGCAGGGGTTCACATACATCGTCGAATGGACTCTCCCGAGTCTTGCCGATTTGCATATAACTCATTCTCTTATCCCAGAGACTCGGCCCAGGCTGGATGATCTTCCACTTCTCGCTACTGGTAAGTCTGCGCATGGCACTCGGCCTCCGCGACAGCGATGTGACGAATGGATGCTCGAACTGGTGGCGCTTGCGCGCGATGTCTGCCGCCGGGGCGGATGGCCTGGCTTCCTCCATCATGGAGTCCGGCAGGGACATCCCGTGTCCCATACTGACGAGATCATCCAGGATCCCATCGTGGGGGGCGCCTCCGAAGCGGGGCGCCATGGTCCACCACTTGCCCTCTCCAGGTCGCTGCTCAATTTCGCCCTCACGAGCTCGCTCTTGAGCTGCTAGGAGCATACCTCCAACCTCGCGGAAAATGTCGCTAACTTCGCCGACTCCGTGGCCTTGGTTATCCGCGTTGGTGCGGAATGTGGTCTCCGGACGGCATTGTGCGATCAGTACGGGGCCTTCTAGCATCCCACTTCGCGCAATTTGGCGGTCTCGCGGAGATCGCGATGCCTGGAAGGACTGCCGCACTGGGAAGAGGAGGTTCTTGGTCATCAATCGTGGGGGAAGCGTGGGTACCGTGACTTGACAGCCAAATGGCCATGCGACCATCTCGACAAAGGCTCGGATTGTCTCGTCGCGAACTTCATCGGGCATCTCGTGTCCTGTGCCGATTCTACGGCCTGTATACATGGCCACATAGGGCCTGTGCTCGCCAAGGGGGGTCTCGGTCGTAGTTTCGGTGGACTGTGTCTCATCCACTTCCATTTCATTCCCTGAGGGGATGGCTCCGGTAGCCGCCTGTTCCATTTGCTCTTCTAGATGCATTTGGACATCGCGTTCCAACTCCATCTCATTGGGAGGCGTCGGTTCAGGAGTTGCTGGACGCTCAAAGTAGTGGTCTAGACTGGTGTCCCAGTATTGAGCCACATGCTCTAATCCGGTCCAGAACTTCCTCGACTGGGTCACGCGAACCCGATTCCGACCCTCACGCGGCGGCAAACGTGCCACCTCACGGAAAGTGTCGTCGTTGTCCAGGGCCAACTCGGATTTTAGTACCTCATATCGATCCTTGGCGGGATAAGGGACTCCGTTGCCCATCAGTGGACGGGCAGCGTCTTCCGTGGGCTCGGATGTGTCCTCCCATGGCAAAGGAGCAAGGGCGAGTGTCTGGTCGGGGAGCATGTGGCGTACATCGACGTCGGATTCTAATTCAAGGTTCAACGCTTTGAATCGGTCCAGGCTGATATCTTGTGGGCGTTTGATATCGGCCAGGAGATCTGGAATCTCCTTGAGCTTCGACTCCGGTTCATCAGGAACGACATTGGGCAGGCTGTAGGTGGGGAAATCGAGGGGTGTTGGGTCGGCGGGTGGACGTCTTTCTTTCTCCGGCTCCGAAGTGGCGGAGGGCAAGGCTATACCGATGTCGAGTTAGCTGCTGTGACTATGGATGTTGGCGTCCGATGTCATGGGGGATTGAAGGTCGCGTGGGAGAGGCCATGCGCCACATTCCACATATGACGATTCAGGGACTCGGTCAACTTCCTAGGGAGGGGCGGGGAAAGAACACATCAAGAACAGGGAGGCCTACCCAGCCCAGAACCCCAGCCAAACATCGTGAGCTGGATGCAAATGCAAGATTATCGCAAACTCTCAGGTCACATGCGGGGAAGGGAAAGTAACCGAGCGGTGTGAAACAAGAGAGATAGAGGCAGAGGCAGAGATCGAGATCGAATAGACAGAAATAGAGAGAGACAAAGAGACAGAAAGACAGAGAGAGAGACACACACAACAGACACAATAGATCAAAGCGAATGTGTTTAGGAGGGAAGTTTCACGGGACTTGTGGGGAACCGGAATATTCACCCCGACATCCAACTATGTTTTGGCAACAGTGTGATAGCAAAAGTACGGTATATGAATATGTTACTAGGGTACAGGGGGATATATGGCCATGGCTATTCTCGATGCCAGGTTAAGTTCAAGTGTATTATATTTGTTTATGAGGTTATTCGCCTCTGTGTATGAGATCACATGACTGCTCCCATAGGACCAAAGAAGGCACTGCTCGGTTTCACATCTCACAAAGTTGCAATACGACAATATCACTCTGTCTGCCCCGTATAGAACGCCTTGGCCTCCTAAGCTAAGCATGAAACGTCAGGGGGTGGACTGGTCCAAAGAGCTTCGGTTCTCCCACAAAGCCGAAACCGCCCTGTTTCATCTACCGGGGTGATACATCCCTCGAATCCCATGAACAATATCGAACGTGCAGAAAGTTAGCCAGTGTCGCATTACAGAGTTTTAGGGGCTGATCAGCCTCATCTTGGCTTCTTATTGGACCGGGGGAGGCTAAGCGCTCTCCTGTCACAGATGGAGGGGTGAACTACTTCTTGGGCAGAGGCGCCTAGCTTCAAACAAATGTTCATAAACCCATAAACCCCTGGAGACGGTGAAGAATGGAAAAGACTTCTATAAAACCCTCCGGGCTTCGTATCCAACACCCTGGCTCTTTTTGCCTCTAGGAAGCTGACGGGATGGCTTCCAGAAGGGGGCGTGGATTAACCTTAAGGAGTACAATCGTGTGGTCTCCTTTGTCTTTTACATTTTGCTCTTTGTCGTTGACGTTGACGTTGCGCTTTGTATCGTCGTGGAAACTATCCATACAAAGGGATCTCTGCCACAACAACCGATCTCATGTTCTTTTCTTTATACACGGACTCGAGGAGATACCCAGATTCTGCATCTAACCTTTCTTGAAAATTCTTGAAGAAATTAATTGAAATGGTCTCCATCTCTGTCACGTCGAGTGCATCGCCGTCATTCAAACCCTCCCCAGCACGCTCCTGGACCACGATCACATCAATTACGACGGCAACAGTTCACCCAACTTATTTGTTTACTCTCACAGAGTCCGAGCCTGTTTCTGATTTTGTCACGTCCAGTGCTTTTGTGGAATCATCGCAAACCTCACGTTCAGCCGTGGATACTCATCCCATTGTTGGAACTCCAACCCCAACCACACTTGATACGTCAACAACTTTTGAGGAATCAAGTACTATTATGACCTCGGTCAAGGCATCATCATTGTCAGCGGTGAAGCCGTTGGCCCCGTTGGCCCACTTGAGTGATTTCACCTCGTTGGAGAATGCGCTGTCAATGTCAACGTCGACATACTTCGGACAGCCAGAGGCTACCACGAGCTCCCCCGGTTCAATTTCTTTCTCAATCATGACGTCTGTTTTGTCTTCGACAACAACTTCGACATCTCCAACCATCTCACCATTCCTCGGAACTGTAACGGGCACGATCTCGTCGGATAAATCCACCTCATCCACTACTGCTCCATCCATCGGACCGGTATCGAGTCCAATCTCGACAGACAATTCCACCACCTCATCCAACTCCACAGAATCGACCTCTGTCTCTAACACCAATCATGGCAACGCCATCAAGCCCGCCATGATAGTCGGCATCATCATAGGCGCATCAGCCTTCATCATGTTCGCACTAGCAGCCTGTTTCGTCCTCCGCCGCAGACGCCGAAAGATCATGAGGATGCAAAAGATCATCGGTGCTCGAATGGGACATCCCTCTCTCGGTCCAGGACTGGGCTACGAAACCCTCCACGTCCGCGAGGCAGCAACACCCGCAGACACTAAGACTAGCCAAGTCCCCACGCTCCCCGTCATCCCAGAGGAAGCTCACACAGTGCCAGCTTACTCGAACGGCCCATTCACGCACGCGCACTCAAACCCAGACCTGTCCATGGACAATCTATATCTACGCAGCGAACGTTCCCGGCGGGCTTTCTACACTCAGAACGCGGTCAGTCCCAGTCAGCAAAGTGAGCACTCCCACCCTCTGACAATTGAGGTGTGCCCTCCCTCACGCGAGCCTTCCACCTACTCCCGCTCTTCATGGGAGGATGCCAGCGTAGAGATCATTGATTTCTACGGGGCCAGCACCTCCACCCTTCCCCACGAGCACGATGGCGGTACTTTCCCACCTTCCAACGCAAAGTACTTGGAAGCGTGCATGTCGCGCGACAGCCTGCGTAGTGACCCGTTCGACCTCGAGGCTCCGAGTGTCTCGAACCCCCCTGGCAGCCCACCCGTTCCACCTGTTCCTACAGATTGGGGAACCAAGTTTTAGGCTTGTTTCGAAGCGCTCGAAAATGACTTCGTTTCACTTTGTCGTCAGATTTTGGTTGGCATTGTTTGGATCTGGGTCTTTTTGTCTCTTTTTTGCTTTTCTTTTCTTCATTGAGACATCGGTGTTTGGTTGATACCTCGTTTTTAGCTTTGCGTCGCATGTTTGGCGTGTTTCGTCTATGATTGAAAGATTTTATGCCCCCTTATGTCTCTCTCTCCACTTTGTTGTACTGATTTGTTGTAGCTTTTGCTACTTGTTACTTGCTTGTTTGTTTGTTTGTTTGTTTCTGTTCAGATTCCCCGGGTCGCGTTTCTTGTTGGAGTTGGTGGGGGGTGAGTGAATGTGTTCGATTGTACAATCAGTAAAAGGGGTAGAGTACGATTACTTAGCTCTCTGCAGTGAACGCTCTTATTCTTACCGTCATTCCTCATTCTGAGATCTCTTCGATGAAGCCATACGTACTCCTTAGGCTCAGAGCCGCAATCATATGGACTGGGCCCACCGTTCATACTCTAATCTGTTTCACGACTCACTCTAGACCGCCATTCCAAGCCAACAGCCCCAAGTCTCCAGTCCGAGAAAACAAAGAACCAAAAACAAAAAGAACGTTTACTTCGTATGGGATTGATTGAAAGGTTGTTGCCCAACCTTCCGTGTTCGTTCTTCGGGTGTTCGAAAGCCAACAACAACGACCCATCTACCAATTGAAAGAACAAAGCCGTAGCCTCGGGCTTAATCTCGGGCTTCGGGCTGGTTATTCACGGCAAAGGGCCTTGTAATGTTTATTCACGGTCATGCGAGGCGGCACGTCCACATCCTGGATACAGGGAGTACGAGGACACACTTGCAACACAAGTCATTCAGCAACCGGCGGTGTGTCGGATCAAGAAGTGAGTACATCCTAAAGTATGATACATCATAATCGCTGGATGGGACCTTCTGGGTTGAGTCTGAAGAAAATTCTACACGGAACTTGTGCCTCCATCCCGCCACGGTGGGATCACAGGCGTTGCCTTGCTGTCTTCTGGACGAGGGATGGGAGTTTGATTGCTACTTTGTCTTTGTCGAGGGTTGAGTAGGAGAAAGACACGAGATGTGAGAACTCTCTGGTAAACTTTGCTAGGCTACGTGGTGTTGGTGTGAGTTTGTGGATTGGGTGTCTATTCTGTGTGCTGTGGTGAGTACGGAGGCTCTTCGGGGTTCAGGATCGAAAAATGGCCACTGGCTTGCTCTGAGACTCTACGGAGTGCCTGTACATTCACAAACCCCTTGTTGAGGACTCTTGGTGTTCAATTAACGTTCTCGGGGTGTCATTTGAGGAATGTGGGTTCCTCGCTGCCGGGTTTGATATGCCACGTTCAACGCATAGTGACTCTGTTTAGGGTAGTGAGGTGTCTGAAGGCTAAACTGATGACAGTGATTTTTCTGCTGGGTAGGATTAATCTGTGCCTGTGTTAGGCTAAGATTTTGTATTCTTCCATCTTTGTTTTTTTCACTTGGAATCTGGTGGAGCTATACTGGAAATATATATGCAACCGAGCAACACTTCAGCGCAACTCAAATTATTGTTGTTATTCAATAAGCTAGGTCCGACAGAGTTATACAACCGACATCACCACAAAGATCATGTGAAAGGCATTTATGGAACGTTAGATAGGATGATATTGTAGCATGAGTGGATGGATGATTCCCCCAGAGTGGGTTGATCTTCCATGATCAAAGCTCCAGACACCACAAGTAGCCACAAGACCCATAAATTACCTAGAGAGGTGTCTGCTCCACGGCATAAGATCGCCAATGAGAGAGGATACCGAGAAAGGATTGAAATGAAGCCTGCATAGCGCATGAGTTGACATGCCGTGTACTCCGTGTGCCGCTGCCCTGGACATGACAATGACGACGACATCGACTCTGCACCGTATCTTGCGGTGACCCCGCGTAGGACAGAGAGGAGGTGGGTATGTAGCCGTTGAGGCAAGATGCTAAGAACTCTACTGAGATGTACGGAGCCTCGACGACAGGCAGGTGCTGGCGAAAATCTACGAAAGATGTGACCTCGCGTAGGTAAAGTAAAAAAAGATTTCCTTTTGCTTTCTCGTTACATTTTAGAACAAGAATAGCTTGAGTATCACATCATCATCGCATCTTCCTATTTTTCCATGGCCAGATTTCCCCTAAGATCCAAGAAGCCCACGAACCCCACGCGATCGAGAGGGAAACGGCATAGAAGAAAGTCGTCACAACAGAAATCTAGACTAAATAGGAAGAGTCGAAGGCCGACCTGGATTCGGTATCGGGAGCAGCCTCGAATCCCGGATCTCCAACCCAGAAGTAACCGTTTCCAACCTCTGCACCGCCGAACGATAAAGAACTTCAATCAACGGAAGGGAAAACTTGAATTTTTGTTATCAGATTTACTCCTGAGTCTCGTTGATCAGAGCATCGCGCTTAGCCTCCTTGCGCTCCAACCGGCGCTCACGGAGAGCCTTGTTCTTGGCACGCTTAGCGTCCATCTCCTCACGGAGGACACGGTCGCGCGCACGCTCAGCCTTAGCCTTCTGGATCTGTAGCAGGAAAAAGAACGAGTCAGCCTGGATGTTCTTCGGATATATATTTCATGATCGACCATATTGCATATGCATTCGTCACCCGGGGGTGGTGTCGGGTTGTGACTTACGTGCTCAACGAGGGCACGCTTGTGCTTGAAGGTGTTACCCTTGCTCAGGTGGTAGAGCTCGTGGTAGAGGTGCTTGTCGATCTTGCCGGCGGCACGGTAGCGGACGAGCAGACGACGGAGAACACGCATGCGGCGCATCCAGAGGATCTGGCTATAAGTAGGAAAGAAATAATCAGCATCTGTGTCCATGGCTTTCCGAGCCTCTTGGATGGAAAGTCCATCACAGGCCGGATCGAAGATAAGAGCGGTGTGCATACCTAGGCATACGGGCGTCCTTGGTACCCTTGCGCTTACCCAGGCCACGGTGACGGCCAATACGGCGGGCCTCGTTGAGCTCACGCGCGCGGGCACGGGAGTGCATGGTGACGGGCTTGCGGATGATCAGGCCATCGCTGACGAGCTTGCGGATGGTCTGGCGGGAGTTGGCGTTGGAGATCTCGCTCATCTCGTTGGGGTCGAGCCAGATCTTGCGCTTGCCGCAGCCGACCACGGAGGCGGCGAGGCGCTTCTGGGTGGTAAGGTTGACCCTGTGGTGGAAAAAGAAACCCAGGTCAGCATCATGGCCACACACATCACGAAAGTTGTTTCCTCCACATAGCGAAAAAAAAATATCGGTCCACGGGGTTGGGTGATTTCGACAGAGATTTCCTGGCAGGTGTCTGCTTGGATTGCAATAACAGTTGGAGACTCACATCTTGATGTCGGCGTATCGACGGTCGTTGGCGGATGATGTTCGTGGCACTGAGAAATCCCGACGGTGAGAGTTTGAGAGGGCACTGCGGGCCAGCTTAGGTCAGCGAGGGCTAAGCGAGTGCCTTTCCACAACGGGAGGAGAGGGTCAAGGGCTTGAAGCCCTAAGGCTAACCTATTTGGGACGAAAATGTAAATGATGATCCAGTCCGGGGAAGCCAGATCCAATTGGTATCATGATTCAAGTAGGATTTAAAGAAGAGAGGGAATAGACGAAAAATCCATTTTTCATCTCTTCCTTTCTTTTTACCTTCTTTGTATAGACATGGAGGCGATCGCGACATACGTCACATGATATCAATTTTTACCACATATCACATGATCATCCCTGCCCTCACGATCTATAAAGTCAAGTTACAGCACGGTACAAAGTTATATTACAAGGTACAAGCAACTGAATGCTGCTCTGCTTCATCCTTATGGAACAAAAATGTAGAACTAAATAAATGCATTCAATCATAACTCTACAATATACACATACTGCAACATATGTATAACTTTTATACGACTAAAGCAAATCGCAAAGGATATCTATAAACAGATGCTTCCTGATGCGCAAACAAATCATCACTCATCGCCAAAGGCTTCACCAAGATCAACCTTGCCAATGCTCCAAACTTCCTTCTCATCATCAACTTCATCGTTGGACAATCCCAAACCACCCTCTCCACCTTCGGCCTCCCGACGCTCACGCGCCTGGTTAGCCAGACGAGTGGCAATTCGCTTGAAGTAGTCAGACATGCTGCGCTTGGGACCCGGTGGGAGAGATGCACCCGGACCAGCCATATACTTGTCAAACACCTCGCTGTCGGACTCAACAACCGAGAAGATGGACAAGAAGGCTGCTTCCGCAGCGAGCTTGACGGGGATCACCAGATCGCGGACACTGCCAAAGATGGGTGGGGCCAGCAGAGCCAGGTGAGGCCGAGTGAGCTCGGGGTGCAGACGGCTGACAGTCCGGACGACGACCAAGCTCAGACGGCGAGTGTCGGAGGGACTGCCGACCTGGATGGCAGGTGCCAATGCTTCGAAGATGGTCTTGCTTGTTTCGAAGGCATGGTTGCCATCATTGGACAGGAGGTACTTGCCTGCAGCGAGGGCGCTGTTGTCGGACACGAAGGGCTGCTCCTGTTAGCTTCGAGCAACAATATTGTATTGGGAATTCTACTTACGTCCTTGTTGGCAATGCCTTGGCAGATAACTGTGGGCAGCTCGACAGAGAAGTTTTCTGTCAGAACATCAGGGCATTCAGCCAACAGGGCATTGAGGCCAAGCACTGAGGCGTGGGAGAAAGTGCCGTTGAGAATACGGTTCCTAAGGAGGTTAGCATGAGTCGGATAATTCCAACGAGGAACGAAGATGCATACTTGATAAGAGGGACCGCGCTCTCAACTGGAAGAACCTTGACAAGAGCACCAAGCAGGTGTGCGTTGGTAATGGCGACTGAGTCAGTTTGGTCACTGGCATCATCGTCAATAAGCGCAAGGATCGCCTGTCGGGAAGCCTCGCTCATGTTGGCACCGGCCTTGCCGACAACCTCCTGAAGAGCCTTCATCATGGCGTTCTTCACACCAATGTCGGTAGTCTTCGATCCAGCAATAAGTTCTAAAAGATAAGTTAGCGGCTTGTCATACTTCATAAACGACATAGAACATACCGGCAATAAGTGGGTCAACTCTGGGTGTCAGCGTAATCAAGATACCAAGACCCTTGGCAGCCCGGTTGCGCAGTGTCTCGCTGGTGGTGTCTGCCAGACCACGAGCGAATGTACGCTGAAGCTGAGGCAGGAAAGGCTTGACAGCCAGGGGAATCTTCTCCAACAGCTTGTTAAGTGTGTAAAAGATAGCGCACTTGATGTCGACCGAGCGCTCCGACACAACACGAATGAGAGGACCAGTGATCTGAGTAACGAAAGGCTTCAATGACTCGGCGCGAGTACGGTCGATAATGTCCGAAATCGCAAGAGCCGATTGAGTACGCTGGTCGGTGGTACCGTTGAGAAGACCCTGCAAGAAGATGGGCAGAATGGCCATGATACCCTTGGGAAGACTGAATCCTGCCAGATCAGCGCCAGCCACGCCAACTTGGCGCAGAATCTGGCGCGTAGGAACGGCCAACACTTCCATCTCTTCCTTGCGGATGTGAGCAGTGAGACCACTGAGAGCAGTCCATGCCGACTTCACGACATCCTTGTCCCTGTCGTCGAATGAGACCAACAGAGCGCGGATCAAATCCTGGTAGTAGCGCGAGAAGTCTTGTTCGGCCTCCGAGAAGAACTTGTTGAGATGGAGAGCCGCGGCAGAGCGACGCCGGTGGTCATCGTGCTTGGCGAGAGTAACCATCACGTTCATGGCGACGTTCAGACCATCGTACTCATCCACAGACACCAACACTGTATCGAAGGAGTTGCTGAGCTCTGTGCGGAGCTCCTCGTCGGTAGTCTCGATAATGCCGTCCATCAGAGAGTTGAGGATAGTTGGCAACCTTCTTGTCATGGCAGATCCTGCAACTTCAGCCAACGATGCCAATGCTCTGGCGTTGAAAGCAGTGATTGGCGACGTGAGAAGTGTAGGGATGAGGTTGGGGAGAATGATGTTGGCACGAGTCTGCTCTGTGAGGAGGGTCAACAGAGCAGACAAAGCCTGCTCGGCATCCTCGTCGTTTCTCAACAGGTGGAGAAGGTAAGGCAGAACCTGATCCACGACTCTCTTGCCCATAATCTGCTGCAAGGCATCGAAAGCCTCGGCAGCAGCCTCTCGTACATTCTCGTCGTGGTCGACCAGAGCCACACGCACAGTGGAGATGAGAATCTTCTCATAGTCGTCCAGAGCATCAGGGGAAGCGGCAGTGATGAGCTCACGGAGAGCAATACAGATACCCTGCTTGACATCCACGTCGGGTGAGGTCTGCAAACCATCTTCCAACAAGGGCAGCAAAGTAGAAAGGACGGACTCTCCAGCCTTCTTGATAAGGTCGCCAAGAGCGTTGCTGGCAATAACCTTCTGCTCCATGTTGGTGGATCCGAGGCGGCGAATGATGAGTTGGGACAGGGTGGGGACCATGTCCTTGAGGGTCTTGGGGGAGGCGACGAGCGACTTCCAGACACCCATAGCCGCAGTCTTGACCATACCCGAGGTATCGCAGCGACAGATGAACAGAGCAGAGAGGACCTTGTCGCGGCGCTCTTCTCCAAGAACCTCCAACAAGGACTGGCCAGCCTGAGTGGCTTCCTCCTCTTCCTCCTCGCCTTCGGTCTTTCCAGTGATACCAGTAAGACTGAAGAGGAGATCGCCGACCAGCTCGACGGAGCTGAGACGGATACGGTAGCTGTCGTCGGCCAGACCACGCTCCAGCTCAGGAAGCAGGAGATCAATGGCCTTGTGGGCGAAGTTCTTGACAAGCAGGCGACCGGCACGGAGAGCAGTCTCGCGAATGGCTTCAATGTCATCAGCCAGACCAGCAAGAATGGGGGGAATGATCTTGCTGAGGTAGTTGGCAAAGCTATTACCGAAGCAGGCAGGCAAGAAGATGAACAGAGTCATAAAGCCTTCACGAACAGAGGCCTTGGAGCTGGACACGTTCTGGAGAATAGTAGGCAGGGTCTCCTCGAGTCTGGTTGTACCCAAACCGGCAAGAACCTCCGAAAGGGCTTGAGCAGATCCAAGTCGGTCGCCAGCGCCAGTATCCGACTTGAGAGTAGACATGAGGTTGGGAATGAGATCGGGCAGAGCATCCTCCCCAAGCTTCTCGATGAGCGAACCAAGGGCCTTGGAAGCGGTAGCACGGGTAGTAGGAACTGGATCAACAATAGCCAGATTGAGACCGGCCACAATGATAGGCAAGTGCGAAATGAGGTCCTTGCGCTCAGTAAGATGGGCCAAACTACCAATGATTTGTGCCGACTTCCGCTTGGTGTTGGATCGGTCACTAAGACCACGCTCGAGAATGCGGACAACAAGGGCCAGCGAGGGCGCATCGAGATAGTGAACGAAGGAAACCTTGATCAAAGAGTCCAAGGCCTCATCAGTGTGCTTGGTCGGGTCGCTGAGAGCCTTCAGAAGCACACCAACCAAGCTCTTGACTTCGGGGTTGCTGATAACCTCACCGAAGCGCTGGAGACTGCGGTTCGCTGCGTTACGGACCTCCTTGTGGGTATCGTTGAGAACAATAGTGAGAGGAGGAATGATATCAGGCAAGCTGGCTGCAAGCTGCTGGGGATCCAAGTAAGCCATAGCTCCAAGCAGATCACAAGCACCCTTCTGACTACGCCACTGGGTATCATCCAAACCGTCGAGAAGGGTAGGGAGAATCTGCTTCACGCCGTAAGAGCTGAGGTTTTGGAAGCATGCTCTGGAGGCTTCCAGACAGCAATCACGGACGCTAATGCTGGTATCACCAAAGCCACCGAGAAGCTGGGGCACAATCTGGATCACGTAAGGCTCAAAGCTGCGTCCAAGGACAGTGGCAAACAGCTCGTAAGCCAGCAAAGCACCCTTTCGGTGATTCGGCTCCCTCTTGTTCTCAGTAGCCTCCTTGAGCAAACTCATGATTCGGAACTCGCGCAAGGTTGCGATACCTTGGCCACACACGATAGCCGCAAGACCGTAAGCGGCACCACGTTGAGGAGGGTAGGACTTGGCATTGAGAAGCGGCTCGAGGAGCTCTTCCACATACTGCGAAGTCTTGGTGTTGTTCAATCGGATCAGCGGTGGGAGACACTCGGCCACAGCGTATTGCACAGACTCTGAAGGCGTCTCAAGGGCTGCAAGCAGTTTCTGGATAACGGTCTGTAGACGAGGATCATCTGCCTTGAGATGGGTCGCCACGGATCCATAAAGAACAACAACAGCCTCGTTCAGTTTGTCAGAGCTCTCAGAATCCTTATCCGAAGTTTCCAGTGTCGTTTGCAAGAGCTTCATGATCTCCTCAACCTTTGGCTGGCCGCGCATAGTGATAACAGACTTACCGCTCTCGGTCATCTGAAGACGGACACGGGAGTTCGGATCAAGGAGAGGGCCTCTCTCGATGAGGAACTGCAAGAAGGAGACAGTGTCGTCCGTGCCAAATTCCTTGGTCATGGCACTAAACGCAAGTGCAATACCACTGCGAGCCTCCCAGTGGTCAACATTGTCCATCTTTTTGGGCATGCCGTAAGCGTCCTTCTCGGGGACCTTGGGCTTGATCTCTTCGGTGTACTTGAACTGCAATTCTGACAAAATTCCAGCAAACTTGCTTTTATCAAATTCAATGGCATGGGCCAATGCACGGGCAGCAGCACCTCTAAGCTGATGGTCCTTAGAGTCCAGGTACTTCATGATCTTGCCGAAAGTGGTGTCATCCACTTCTAATGCGTTGTCTTCCCAGATGGTGTCTGCAATCTCGGCATTTTCTTCCACGCTGTCGTGGCAGCCAAGCCAGATGTGCTCGGAAAAGTCGAGGTCGGTCAAATCGATCTCAGCCTCAATGACCTGAAGCACGGATGTCCGAACGGAGGCGTCGGTGACAATGGCTCCTTCCAGCAGTGTTTCGAGCTCTTCGCTGCTGATGTTAGGAGAGATGCACCGACAGAAATCGAACAACGTATCCTTGACCAGCTTGTAGTGCTGAGTGTATCTTTGCATAGCAGACAGGAGCTGGCTTAGAACTTCGACGCGAGGAAGACGGGTATCGGTGACTACAAACTGTTAGCGTGAATTCTATGCATGGATATGATCAATAAACTCACAAGATCCAGAGTGGAAGGACAGGAATTCAAGGGCAAGAAGAACCTGTGTGCCTTCTTCTTCTCCCTTCGCCTCATCAATACCGTTGTGGGTAAGAATCAGAGAGATAAGCGGAAGAACGTAGGCGAGAGAAGCGGTATCGAAAGGACGCTGCTCAGAGGCAAAGCGCAAGCGGTACAGGATTCTTGTAACAAGTTGTCCAAGAGACTCCAATTCCATTTCAGCAGGGAGGTTTGTGTTTCCAATGGCCCGCAGAGTTGCGATACCCACGAAAGATCTCAGGTTTCCTAGGCGCGAGGACACCTCGTCGGCACAAGTGACAAATGCGCGGGAGACAACGTCACCAACGAAAAGACCAGCACCAGCCTGAGCTTGTGCTAGCAAGCAGGTGACGGCAGCAGTGATCCATCCCTCGACATCGTTCAAGGGACCAGATGCCAGACCCTTGATAAGGCCCGCTCCTCTTTCGATGCGCTTGATTTCTTGTTGAACATCTTCGCGGATCTTGGCCTCTTTGGCAAGCTGGGCTTTAACCTTGGTGTGTTCCTCGGCCGTAAGCTTCTTCTGCTGTTGTCCCTTCTTTTCAGCCAACTGAGCTCGGAGTTCCTCTTCCCACTTCAGAGTATCATAGTCCTTGGTACTCTTATCGAAGGCGGGCTGCTTTGACTTGCTGCTCAGCACATCAATGAAGGCGGTTCCTTCGGGAGTGCGTGAAATAGCAGCATCAGTGGCAGTGAATTTGGAGAGGCGAGAAGCATCCAGATCGTCCTTGATCTGATCGACAAGAAGCGGGATCATAGTATCGGGGGCAACAAATGCCAGATCAGCCGCGGCGCTCCAAATGGCGGGATTGACATCTGGCACTGCGGACTGCACGGGGTCTGCGTTGACGCGAACCAACTGCTCAATACATTTGGCAGGGTGAGTGCGAACAAGATCACCGGGATCGGTGCCGGTCTTCAAGCACAATGCAATCCATGAAGTGTTGGGGACTAACTCGGGCCGACTCAGAACCAGAATCTCAATGAGCTGATTCTGAAGATCAGAAACATTCACGGGCTTTTCTAGGCCAGCCGCAGATGGGCAAAGAGCCTTCAAAACCAAATGAAGAAGGCTTGCACTTCCAGGGCCAGCGGAGACAGCTGCTGATTCCCTCTCGGTAGTCCGGAAGGACAAAATCCAAGCCCAGAGTGCATTGATGACGATGCGCCCAAAGGATGCCACATCGGTCAAGTAAACACGAGATAGCGTTTCCATGGCGTTATCGCGGAACTTCGAGGGAATGGCGGGCGCGGTGATGGTATAGATGAAGGATTGAGCCCAAGCAATCTTGGATGCATCTTCGGAACCAGTGAACTTGGATCCAGAGGCGACAGATGCTAATGCCCTGACGAACCATTGAACCTCTTCCTTGGAACCCAGCTTGGTGTAAGCCTTAGCATTGAGCAGGAAAGATGGCTTCGGGCTCAATGTCATGGACAGAGCCACATGCTCCTCCCAAGCAGATTTGTCCGAACCTTGAACGTCGGAGACCCGGTGGAACAGAGCAAGGAAAAGGTAAGCAGATGACAAGGCACCGCTCTGGGCCGAGGGAAGTGGGTTGGAAGCAACCTCGGTGAACATGTCCTTCATCTTAGCAAGGAACTTTGTGACAAGGGGCGCGATTTCAGCGCTCTTCAAAGCCTCGAGCTCAGACTTCCAGAGCACTTCTCCCACATTGAGCTGCCAAATCTTTCGGAATGGAACTCGCTTGTCGGAAATGCCCTTGATAATGGTGTTGATAACATCATCGCTGATCTTGACCGTAGATTGGACAAGGTAGGCAAGGTGCTTGCTGAAAGATTTTATCTCTTCCTCCAATGCAGCCTCGTTTGACTCTCGCGACAAGACGAGGCCAAATCCTTGAGCAATCTCCTTTGAAACATCCACCGCAGGTGGAACAGCCGCAAGCGCCTGGGCGTAGGCCACACGGTGTTCAGGAGTGGTAATCTTATTAGTTTTTAGAGGACCGATGATTTCACCGGCGATTTTCACGACCAAAGTTTCAGTCTTGCACCGGGTGAGCAAAGAACCAAAAGAGTCCGCTGCTCCTTGACGGATGGACGGGTTGTTAGACTTCATGCTGGCTAAGAGGTGCTTTGAAAGGCGGGCTTGCACTAATTCTGAGAGATCAATCTCTTCCGGGAGAGATTCGCAGAGAGATTGGATCACGCTGCCTAAAACCACCTCAGGTGCCCTCAACATGGACTTCTCCATGGGGGGGATCAGCTCAGTGGCGATGTCTTCGTAGGAAACAAAGGACTCAAAGAAGTCTGACATGCCATTGGAGGCGTGCTTGGGCACAGCGGTTTTTGAGCTGACGACTGCTTTGATGTAAAATGCGAGAAGATCCTTCTTGCTCTCCTCGAGAATCGATTTTCTATCAGGTAAGCGTGCACAAACTCCACATACAACCCCAAGAAGAGGCGCATTTCTGTAGGCTGCGGTAGAATCAGCAGTCAGTCGGCCAACAGACTGGCGCACCGCATCAGCGCCCAATGTCTCAGATGAGAACACGGCGCGCAAAGCACGTCTTGTCACTCGAATGGCTGACTGCTTGACTGCAGGCTTGGGATCATGAGCAAGACAATTCTCCAGAGCCTTGGCATCCACCGCAATCAAGTCTAGCACAATGGCCAGTGGTGTGTTCGAATCTTCGCTGGCCTGTTGCAGCAGGATGCAGCACCATTCTACCAGAACAAATGCAAATGTGGAAGCCAAACCAGGTCTAGCTGCCTCGGTCTGTAGTTTCTGAGTGAGGAATTTCAGGTGTTCGGTCGCATTGGGATTGCGGAGGAGGGAGCGGAGGCATTGCTGGACCGTCTGTCGGGAGGATCGATCGACATAGAGAGGATAAGTTCTGAAAAGTAGTTCCAGAATATCTTGATAGGTTTCCGAAGATAGTTCAGACCCTAACAGATAGATTGTCAGTGATTTTTCACCTTCAAGCCACGGGTCACACTACCATTCCTGTCGCGGAGTTCTTGCAGGGCCCGGAGCCTGCGCGAGGTCGAACTCGACAAGAGTACGACCTGCAAGGCATCCAGATCCCCGGCCTTGACCTGGTCCCATGGAATACCATCCATGATCGGCGGTCAGTACGGGGGAATGGAGAGAAGGGGGGTGGTTCAGATAGTGTTGAAGTTGGTGAAGTGGGCTAAGAATGCTGTCATAAGAGTTTTGTGTGGGGAGCTGGATTCCATCCCGCCATTCAACAGCCATGACCGACAACTTTCTTTCTGATTCATCTCACCCTTTTTGTGAGTATTGCGCTACAGGGCTCTTTGCATGAATGTGAATATCTGAGACTGACTTTATTCTTTCTGACTAGACCCATTACGTCCGACGTAATTAGGCATGCCTCCGAACAATAAGAAAAAGAAGAAGCCCGCCTCCAACCCGGCTCGTGGCTTTGCCACGGTTTCTATGCCATCGAAACCTAAGCCTGAGAGCACTGCGACCCCATCCCCGGCTACTGAAGAATCGAAACCCACGCCAGTGAGCGAGCCACAGACTGCACGTACCGAAGAGCGCCCAGCAGAGACCAGCGCACCACAGGCAGTGACATCATTGCAAAACTACACACCAGAGGAGTTGGAGAAGCATCTTGAAGATGCTGAGCTTCAGATCCTCGTCGACAAATACGCAACAAAATGCAAAAATGATGCGGTTCGCCAGGCTACGAAGCTGGAGAATGAACGGCGCGTCATGCGACAGCAATCCGTGACATTGAGTCTCCTGGAGTGGTTACCGACAAACATTCAAGATAGAATCCTCGAACTATCCGGGACTGAAGAGCACGAATACCTCTTAGCAAGCGGAAAGACGACAAGTCCGAAACAAGCTGGTTCCGAGGAGGAATTATATAACAAGCTCTGGACATTGAAGGAGACACTGATCAAACTCGAATTCCCGGAAAACAGGGTTGAGGACGCCTTGAAGCATGTTCTGCAGTATTTCGCCAGCAATTCAACCAGCGCCAGTCGCGATGTTGTGTGGAACTTGGACGAAGCGCTGGAATGGTTGGCTACATATAGTGATAAGAAGGAACTTCCCTCTTATACACAGACAAATGCTCGGCAAAAGGTTGCAGACAGTGTCACTTCATGGATGACCGGTAAACCCCTCGCAGGCTTCGAAGTTGCCACTCGGACAATATGCTGACTCTAATCAGAATCGAAGCCGTCAGGGACTTCGACTCCTAATGGACAAAGTAAGAACAAGCAAGGTGGCCAGAAAGCGGACTGGAAAGCAAACAAGGTTGCACCTTCTATTTCATACGATTCGGACAGCTCGGTCGACCCAGATGTCATGGTTCCTGAATGGCTAGAGTTGCAAACTCGATTGTACGGTCTTCAGCCAGATATCTTCGATCGCCCTGGAAAGAGCAAGAAAGGCCGCGGGGGTGCTTCGAATTTATCAGATGACCCGGAAGTCTCCAAGGTGCAGCGTAAAATCGCCAAGATCGAGCGCGATGTTCTATTCGAAAAGCGGGAAGCAGAGTACCTTTGGGAAGAAAAGCTGGATGAACTCAGAAAGGATGCAACATTTGTTCGCCGCCCGGTGGAGAGAAAGAAGAACCCTCCGGTCGAAGAAGAGCCTCAATCCGAGGTCAATGTAGACGCAGATATGGCTGCTCTGCAGATTGATGGATTAGAAAATGCTCTTGGGGATATGTTCGCAGCTGAGCCTGAAGATCAAGGGTCTATATTGGGTCTCCCTCCTCCTGAGGTGAACGCCCAAATTGCACTTCGTGACTTTGGAAAGCAGACAGGCTTGACTCCACGACGAATCTTGGAGGAAAGTTGCAAGGCAAGAGACTCATCTTGTACCGTTGTCTACCAGGACTTTTCTTCATCCAGCCATTCCAACAGAAAGGCAGCTGAGGTGCGATGGTCGAAGCCCCAAGAGGTGCCATTTTCATTAGCTGTGGAGTCAATTACCCACAAGTCTAATGCCATGGCGACTTTTGTGTCAATGGATGCCCTCGCAACACCGACTTCACAGCAGGCCGAGGGATACGTGTCAACCTTGCTTCTATTCATCTTGTTCCCCCAGAATTCTAAAGAGGGCAAGGCCTACCTGCGGTTGCCAGCAGTTTGGAGAGATCTCTGGACTGAGTTTGCAACTCTGAAAAAGACCCAAGAGGACGAGATCGACAAATCGACTGTCAAGGAATTAAAACTTCTGATTCAAGAGAATCCGAGCAACTTCGAGGATGATGTCGTGCTCTCTGACAATTTCCGCAAGAGAAACGGCGTTGGTAGTAAGCCAGGGGCCCCGGTAAGAGGCTCAGGACGTGACAACTTATCTGGTATCGATGATCAGTTGAGGGACGCGTGGATGGCAAAGTCATCGACACCATCTTTCCACCGAATGATGCAGGGTAGAATGAACCTACCAATCTGGGGCTTCAAGGAAGATATTTTGCACACTCTGGACAGTCACCGTGCCTTGATCATTTGCAGTGAGACAGGAAGTGGAAAGAGTACTCAGATTCCGTCGTTCATTCTTGAACACGAGATGCTCAATGGCCGGCCTTGCAAGGTCTATGTGACTGAGCCGCGTCGTATCTCTGCCATCTCACTTGCTCGTCGTGTTAGCGAAGAGCTCGGAGAGAGTAAGAACGACGTGGGAACGGCTCGCTCGCTGATTGGTTTTGCAGTTCGATTGGAGAGCAAGCTCACTCACTCAACAAGATTGGTCTACGCAACTACTGGTGTGGTTGTACGCATGCTCGAGCGCCCTGATGACTTCCAAGATATCACTCACGTTGTTCTTGATGAGGTTCACGAGCGCACAATCGATAGTGATTTCCTGCTCATTGTGCTTCGGCGTCTCATGGAGAAGCGACCTGATTTGAAACTGATCCTCATGTCAGCTACTCTCGAGGCGCAGCGATTCTCAAATTATCTTGGGGGTGTTCCTGTAATGAACATCCCTGGGCGAACTTTCCCCGTGGAAATGAAGTATCTGGAAGATGCAGTCGAGATGACCAACTACCGTCTTTCAGAGGACGATCACCATACAGTTTTTGATGATGATATGGACGATCCACCGACCGATGCAGACACATCCGGAGGTCTTCAAGCCAGTCTTGACGGCTATTCCAGACAGACCAAGGAGACCATTCTAAACATTGACGAATACAAACTGGACTACGAGTTGATCAAGAGATTGCTTCTCAAGATTGCTACGGCTCCTGAGATGGATCACTATAGCAAGGCTATCCTGGTCTTTATGCCTGGATTGGCGGAGATTCGCCGTTTGAACGATGAGATTCTGTCTGAGCCAACTTTCCAGAGAAACTGGATTATACACGCACTTCACTCATCGATCGCCAGTGAAGATCAAGAGAAGGCTTTCAATGTGCCCCCAGAGGGCATCAGGAAGATCGTGATCGCAACAAACATTGCAGAGACAGGTATCACAATCCCGGATATTACGGCTGTGGTCGATGCGGGAAAGGAGAAGATGATGCGGTGAGTTTTAGCCCTTTATATTCGGGAGATTCCCAGCTCATCTCAGCAGCTTCGACGAGAGACGTCAATTGTCTCGACTTGTTGAGTCATTCATCTCCCGTGCCAACGCTAAGCAGCGACGCGGTCGTGCTGGTCGTGTCCAGAATGGTATCTGCTTCCATCTGTTCACCAAACACCGCCATGAAAAGCTGGTATTCAGATCTTTAATCCCGAGAAACGAAATTGCACTAACAAAACACAGCTTGCCGAACAGCAAACACCCGAACTGCTTCGACTTTCCCTGCAAGATCTGGTGCTCCGAGTGAAGATCTGCAAATTGGGAGAAGTAGAGCAGACACTCCTCGAAGCTCTCGACCCGCCATCATCGAAGAACATCCGACGTGCCATTGATTCTCTCAAGGAAGTCAAGGCACTGACCAGTAACGAGAGTCTAACATCTCTCGGAACCCAATTGGCCAAGTTGCCGCTAGACGTCTTCCTAGGCAAGATGATCATCCATGGTGCCTTCTTCCGATGCTTGGATGCGACTGTCAGCATTGCTGCCATTCTCTCTTCCAAATCACCGTTCGTAAATACAATTGGTTCCAATTCGCAGCGTGATGGGGCTCGGGTTTCATTCCAGAAAGGTATGCGCATATCTCCCAGTCTACGATCCAATAGCTAACATCTCCAGGTGACTCTGACCTCTTAACTGTATACAATGCATACTGCAGCTGGAGACGCGTCCGAAGCACACCAGGCTCGAACGAGTTTGCCTTCTGCCGAAAGAACTTCCTCAGCCCGCAGACATTGCTCGGCATCGAAGATATCAAAATGCAGTTGGTAGTATCAATTGCTGACGCAGGTCTTCTGACGTTGGATGCATCCCAAAAAGCGGCGCTCAACCGGTAAATCGGCCCTTTCAACCAACTTCTTCATCCAAGCGACCAGTGCTAACCATATCACTTGCATAGCGCGCGCTCCAACAGTCGAAATCGGCAATTTTTCACTATCCCAGAAGAGTTCGACCTCAACAGCAGCAATGATGTCGTAGTCAACTCTGTCATCGCCTGGAGTTTCTACCCGAAGCTTTTGACGCGCGAAGGTAAAGGCTGGCGCAACGTCGGAAACAACCAAACGGTGGCACTGCACCCGACCTCGATCAACAAACGAGCAGACTCGTCTGTGAAGTGGCTTTCATACTACCATATCATGCAAGCGCGCAACCGAAACCTCAACGCGCACGATACTAGCGCGGTTGATGATTTCGCTATAGCCCTGCTGTGTGGCGATGCAGAGTTCAAGGTAAGTCGCACCAAGAACCCATGACTCCGACCGTGGACATGGTCGCTCTTCTATGTCTAATATTGAGCTAACAAATGTTAACAGCTATACTCCGGTGTCATCTCCATCGACGCAAATCGCGTTCGTTTCGCCCTGCGAGACTGGAAGTCCATGCTTGCGCTGAAAATTCTCAACAGTCGCCTGCGCGAAATTCTCTCCAACACTTTCCGCAACCCTCACCGTCCACTGTCTTATAAGCAGCAGCAGTGGATTGATATCTGGCAACAGATCTTCACTCAGGCTGGCAAGCGTTGAATATAGTTAGCTTAGCCTGTGTGAATGTGCTCTTTGCTTTTGATGAGATATGCCTGTAAAAAAATCACGATAGATAGGTTCGGTCAGATATGGATATAGAGGGTGAATAAGGATATACCCTTTCTTTTATATACATTCGGTTTCATTCCAACTGTATTGGATTTGTACTTGTTTGGGTATAGGATGTGATATATATCCATCGTCCCTGGTCTCATATCAGCGTCGTATGTCGATATATATCCTACAACTTGTCTAAGTATTCCAAAGAGAAAGGCAACACTATCAGATTACCACATACACGTGAGGTAACCCAGCGACCTAGGTGTATCCCTGGCGAGCCAGCAGCAGGAACCAAAGCATTCCTACATAACGACGGGAGACAGCATCAAACTGCATCAACCACAACTTCTAGAAGCGCTCATATAGCACAGAGCACTGCAGATATGTCCGTCCATCGAGCCAATGCACCGGCGCCGTCAGCACTGTTCCGCCGTGCGTAAACCATTGCATTATGACCACATACACATACACCGTACCAAAGATCAAGATCAGATCAAAGCACAACTACATAAATACGAAAATAAGCATAACCACAAGCCAAAGCATAACAATGGCATCTCATCCAGCCTTGGGTCTCGAGCCTCTACAACACACCCAGTGGAACATGAACAAGAATAAGAATCTGGAACAAGCAAGTCAACTCCCCTTTCCCACGGGGAATGATCGGTCTACCCATCTGCATCGAACTCGATACCGCCATCCCAAGCCCCCAATCAAGGGATATTGATATCGATATACCGCCTCCAACCCGACACCGACACCGATCCCAGCGCTGGGTGCTGGGTGCACCGGCACCCAACTAACACCGATATCCCTTGATGAGAACGAGCTGCAGATGCAGGTCCTTAAAAGCAGCGGTGTACGTATCTCCCGTTCCTCGTGCGAGAGAATCTTGAAGCCTACGCAGGTCTCTGCACAGGTACAGTACAGCCCGCATGTACCATGTACATGTAACACGTCCACCTACATCATACATGTCTATCGCATACTGTATAGTGCAGCCCAGTCTAGTGCGGTAGCTGGCCCACCCCCATCCCCAGTATTCCCCCGATTCCCCAGCTAAACCAAGCCAAGCGGATCTCAGTCAAGCCCGCAAACCCCGAGACTATGTTTTGTTTTGGAGGAGGGAAAGGATGTGGGAACGTGTCAGGTAAGACATTCTCTCCTAATGGCCGAGACAATACACCCGCCACCCTACTCCTGCCAAACCGAAACCGAAACTAAATTCAAACCCAAAGCCATCTGGATCGGCGTCAATCTGCATCTTGTTCCAGATCCGTAGACATGTTCTTCTTCGAGAATGTGGCAATTGCTTTCCATCCACGCGTAGGTCAAGACATCCAGTACGGACGGAGTACAGTACACGAACATGACCATGAGCAATCCAATCTGAGACTGACACACGCCTCAAGAACAACCTAGTACGGCAAATTCAGGCCAGCAATCCAGACACGGTACATGCACTTGCATCTGCAACCGTACTTGGCAGCTTGGCAGCTTAGCAATCGCCCAGTCCTACTGAGTCGCAAGATAGCTGTACTATACAGCAGTTCCAGTTCTATTTCGGCCGTGCAGAGCACAATAGAACTGGTTTCATCGTACATGATGCATGATGAGAAGAACGATACAATCTACTCTACCCTGCAGCCCGACCCAGCCTGTCTGTGCATGCATTCCTCGATCGACGACGACCGCCCATCAGTGAAACAAGCTAAGCCAAGCTGAAGGTCACGTCCCCGGGGGGGGCGGGTGGGAGCGCGCGCGTGGATGACTATAGTTTCCATGTATATGCGGGCGTCAAGGTTGACATTTCGTTCTGGAATGTTGAGACGGGGGTTGCGGTGAGCGGACCGCTCTTCTCCTAGAATCGACTGTATGGAGTAGCATCTAGATCTAGAATCTGGACTCTGATTTTGAACTTGAATTGGGTTATTTTGGGCGTGTTGCGCTTGCTCGTGGCTTCTCCTCTCGAGGTCCCTGCGCAAGCTATTCCAAGTGGGGGGAGTGTTACCAGATACATGCGATATAAAGTTACTAGAGAAAAGAATTAAACTCTGAGTGAATTGATGTTGAACATGACGGTCGACAAAAGGTGGGGAGGCCAGTTCGTAGTATGTCGTACATGAGAAGCTCTTATCGTGTTTCAGGGCTATACTGGGCACCAGAATGGAGTACACCATTCACCACACTCTTGAGGGAATTGCCACGCCGGGGGCAACTGGCGGTGAATCCGATCTAGCCCTTCCTACGTGGGCATCACCATAGCCAGTCATTATCGCGCCGGATCATCGATCGGCGGGCTGCTGCAGCCCAAGGCCAATCACCGACAAATGAGGCTTGGTGATGGGGCTTTGGTCTTGTTACACATTTGGCCCGAGCCATCCTGGTTATTTCGGAGATATGAGAGCTTAGGGAATCCCCTCTCCAATAAAGGAATGACTCCATATTGTGGCGGTTGCTGACGGCTACGGCGGTTGACTTACTCGTCCTAAGCAGGGCCCTCCCCTTCTCCTTCAACTGGTGTTACATGCTGAGTCTCAACCTTGAACGTGCAGTCGATCTCTTGGCTCCACGGGACAATGCAATGCGAGGTTAAATTCCCAGTTGCACGGCCCCCGCAAGGCCATCACGCCCGATCCTGGCGTGGTGCCATGTCATTCGTGAAGAGAGTGGGCGTCTCGCTCGTACAAGGAAATTATCAGGGCGTCACATGAAGAGGCTAGCTTCAGTACAACACATCAGTTCAGCTCAGGGAACATCCCTGTCGACTCGCCCAATTTCCCCCCTCCTCGTGTCCCTCAAAGGCCTTGTACCCCATTGTGCTCGTCTGACGGCCTTATCTGGCATCAACATCTGCCCAGACGGCTTCGGGCATAATCTCTGGAGGTACAACATGGAGCATGGCCCGTGAAACTACTGTACACTGCATACTCACTACTGTAAGTAACTACGTAGACAATCGAAAAAGCAAGTTTAATTAATTAAATCTCGGCTAGCCTGGAGTCTGCACGGACAGAGTCCGCTGCAGGGTAACTCGCTGCAAGGTACGGACGAACCCGTCGATCGAGAATAGTCAAGTGGAGGAAGCGCCTTTATTGTTCTCTATGTAACCTCTATCCTATCCCCCGGGCTGACACAGGGGAGAGAGGAGCATTGAGCATTGGCATTACCTAGTTCCCTAGTATGGCCTGTCATTGATCCTGGAATTATCAGTCATATATGGAGACCTGGAAACTGGAGACTGGAGACTGGAGACTGGAAATGGAATATTGAAATGATCATCTCCTTGCATTTCGGGCTCAACGGCCTTTGGACGATACATCACAAGTGCGGAGGACGATAACTGTGTGGTGGGGCGTCGCTAGTTAGTGGACTCTCGCTTGATCTGGTTACCGTGTCCGTCCTCCGTAGTGTACGCGCTCTGTACTTGTGCTGACCGAGGGGGGGGGGGGGGGGTCAGCTCCTCAGCTCGGGGAGAAGAGAACAAAGAAGGAACGAAGAGCAAAAGCCACCGGTCTTCAAACCAGTCCGTACATAGCCTATCTCCGTTTCTAGAGGCGGATCCCCTGTACGCTGTATGTGCAGCGGGTATCGGGCCGTCGATAGCGAGCTGCCATGGTGCAGGGATCTCCCCCTCTTTGCGACTTTTTCCGCGTTTTGGCTTTTCTTTTGTACCTGCGCAGGCTTTTAAGATACCCGTTCGCAGATATGCACAGTAGAGCTATAGCCATAACTATAAGTACATGTATAACTACTGTACATTGATAGTGGACTATGCTGTACCCAATTCTGGAAATAAAAGTGATAGTGACTCCGTTTCTCCCCGACCCCAGTTCACCGACCTCTCAAGGGTCTGTGTGGCGGGCTCGACTCGAGACCGGCGCCACTGAGAATCCACTTCTAATCCCACAAAATTAAAAATTGGAGAATTGGGGATTTAGGCAAAGAAATTATGGAATTCATATCCCGATTCCATACTGGTACTAGCCATCAATAATAGATATTGATCGGTTTAGTCCTAGGCCCATGTAGCCCATGTTAGCCCATGTACGGTGGTCCATGCATGCGAACTGAAGCAATGACCATGAAGCTGTCACGGATGCGTGGGCGATGGAATGACATCTGTCACCTGGGAACTCTTGTCCGAAATAGAGACTAATAGCCATGACAAAAAGCTGGAAATGCAAGGAGACTCTCCCTTGGAGGAAATAAGCGGTGTACTGGGGTCGAGCTGTCTTGACATCCGTCACTTTGCCCCTTGCTGGGATCTCCCTTTTTGTTGAGAGCTTTTGGGGTAACTAGTTCGGATTTCCTACCTGTATTATTTGCGATGATTATCATCCTGACTGGTATGAATATTGAGTCACGGTATACTGTAGTCATTACTGTAAGTCATCAAAGCCGATCTATCAGGCCATCGATCTCAGCAACACTTTACTCCGGACAGTGCATGTAAGAAAAAAAGATTCTCTCCTTGTCACGGGGTCCTCCAGGCCAAATTGTGATGCTACGTGTGAATCTCATTTCAATCCGGGCCAAAATTGGGTGGTTGGACGGAAATCCATTTTTCTTTTTCTATTTCTATTTTCTATTTCTATTTCTATTTTCTATTTCCGTTTCCATTTATTATTTTTTATATTCCTGTTGTCATTTTCTACCAGTTTCTCCTCTCTTTCGGTAAACGCCTGGACTCTGACTGGTGACAGGGATCTCTCAGAGAACAGACCCTTGATCGACTCAAGCCACCCGTGTTTCGTGGTGCCCTCTGAGCCACTGATTTCCCCCTCTGCATCCCTAGGGTGTGACGAGCTTTCTCTGTTTCTCTTTTTTTTTTTTTTTTCCCCCACCGTTATTCACGGCCCGTCTGAATAGATCGTCCCGAACCATGTAATATATTATATGATACAATACAACTAATGAGACGGTCCACTTAGGTCGGTTATAGCCGTAGTATCTGAAGCGACGGTGTTGAAACTTGACCAGGATCGACCGGTGTCGGCCTCTCTCAGTAATTAAGCCGGCGAGGCTCGGCCTGTGTGTTCGGACCTTGCAGACTAAAGAAGCGCTCGCAATCGACAGTGCAGCCGCCGCGCATTGCCGGGTTGAAAGATCTAGGCGAGACTGCAATTCTACAGTATTCTACTGTAGACCGTGTACTGGATAACCATGGCTGTCTCCGGCTATCATCCATGGTTCGGGAGTGGGACCCGTCCCTAACTCCCGAACAGCATCAACATCAACTGTAAACACAGACTCTACAGTACTTATTGTACACATCCATAATAATTATGTATTATAATATATTAAATAAATAATCGATCGATCCCCACCTAGATCCAGCGGGCCTATCCCGGCCGATCAGCGCAGTCACACAGACCAGGATGCCTAATTGGTATAGCCATGTTAACGCTGATCCGGAGAGTCCTTGCTTGGTGGCGTACAGGAAAAATAAAAAAGAGAAAAAAAAATAATTCACGAAGACATCGAGTCTAGAGGATCTCCACTGGCCTTTCTCTCTCTCAAAAGACGGGGCGAGCCGGGATTTCTGCAGACTTCTTCTCTTCTTCTTAGACACCTTAGTCAGCTCTTTCGTTTTCCCTCCACTGATCGACTTTCCCGCTGCGGCTCAGCGTCATCTTCTTTTCTCTGTAAGTTTGTGTGTTTCTGTTTTCTTGCTTTCTTCCTATTTTTATCATTTCTACCATCTTCACTTTGTCCACTTCCATGCTTGTCCCTTTCTCAAACGCCTCTCCAGCCTGCAGCGCATAGGGATGCGTTTGCTGCACCACCCCAGCCTCCACCTTTCTGTACGTCTAACCGCGCATTTCCCCCTCCCCTCGACTTGTCTGAGACTTTGGCTTTTCTTCTCCCCCTACCTTCCCGGCTTCGGCCTTATTTTTATCATTCAATACGCTCCATTTCACATGTTCTTCTTCTTCCTTCTGCATGACCTGAAACGACAAACTTACGTGATCCCTTAGTTCCCTGGAGCTTCGACCTAGAGTATTCGACCTTCACATGTGTTCGATTTCTCACGACTCTTAATGATTTTGATGACACTTCTGCTGTGAAGTTCCCTTTCTGTCTATTTGACCCCCAAAAAAAGTCCATATAGCGATTTCCGCTTGCCGCTTTCCCTTCCCGAGTCTTGAAGGTGACGATTTACTACGCTTTCCCACGACCATTTGCCCCTGCATTGCGTCTTGCATCTTTGCTTTGACTGAAAGCCGATTGATACTTTGTTTGCATTTCCCGTGCAAAATTCCCCCGGTTCCTGTGGTCTCCCTACGATTCTGCGCCAATTCTTCTCATAGCACGCCGGACCTCTTCCCACGTCCGACGTTCGCTTTATCTTCTGCCCTTTCAAGCCGTTTCTCCGTGCAACCGAAAAGCTGGAGCTGCCGTCGATCTCGCAGGTCCACACCCGCGGTCCTGCTGACATTCCCTGGTACAACCCACACGCGGCCGAACGACCGTTACTGTCCGGCGACAAACTCCCCGCTCTGAGCTTGCCGACAGCCACACAGGGCATCACCCGAATTTCCTATCAAGACCCCCATTCTGCCAGCTCCAGCGCCCGCACGAGTCTGTCTGGCGCCTCCATCCCAGTCAACGAGCCTAGGAGCCCTCCGCCCTCTGCGGACCTCTCTGGCACCCAGGGCCGATTATCGCTGGACTCTTCTGCCCCGACGGAATATAGTCTTCCGCCTTCCGTCAACGACGGGTACTATCCTAGCCCGACTTCTCTCGGCAGCATGAACCAAGCCCCGCCGTATATGGATGTTCACTCGCACATGTCCTCTGCTCAATCATACGCTCCCCAGGGTACAACCGCCGGCGCCATGTCCCACTATCAGTACCCCCAGCAACCTCCAGTTATGCAGCCTTCTACTTCTTATGCAGCTGTCTCATACCCCCAGTATGGTTACCACACCGGGGCCACATCTCCCCCAACCGGACAGCCCCCGAGCTCCATGGGTGGCCAGATGCCCGCTCAGCTGCTGCCCTTGCCTGGTAAGCTTCAAAGCATAAGCTCGGTCGATGATTATTCTGATCGTTATCAAGTGAGCAATCACGGCGTGGCCCCTGCAGGTGGTTATGGAAACAACACGGGCGCTCCTCTGCAAGGATTTGTCTTTGACCCTACGGGTCAAGTGGCACCCCCAGGAGCGAAGCCTCGTGTGACGGCTACTCTGTGGGAGGATGAAGGTAGCCTCTGCTACCAGGTTGAAGCCAAGGGAGTCTGCGTGGCTCGACGTGAAGGTGAGTTTGGATTGATGATCAATTGAAGGATTTGGCTGACTCGATTGCAGATAACCACATGATCAATGGCACAAAGCTGCTAAACGTGGCTGGCATGACCCGTGGTCGACGTGATGGAATCCTGAAGAGCGAAAAGCTCCGCCATGTCGTGAAGATTGGCCCAATGCATCTGAAGGGTGTCTGGTATGCATTTTGAAAGCCAGCAGAGTTGATCAATTGCTAATGATTATCACAGGATTCCTTTCGAGCGTGCTTTGGAATTTGCGAACAAGGAGAAGATTACCGATCTCTTGTACCCGCTCTTTGTGCACAACATCGGTGGCCTGCTGTACCACCCGGCCAACCAGACTCGCACTAACATGGTGGTGCAAGAGTCCCAACAGAGACGCATGGAAGGCCCTCCACCGGGTCCTCAGCGAACACCCTCTGGGCCTCAGCAACCCCCCAGTCTTCACCACCATCACTCCCTGCAGACCCCCATGTCTTCTCACATGTCGCAGGCCCCAATGTCCGGGCAGCCGGGCTCCCGCCCAGGCCTCGATCGGGCGAACACTTTCCCCACGCCCCCAGCCAGTGCATCCAGCGTGATGGGAATGAACAACCAAGGCAGTGCATACGAATGGGGTAGCCAAGGCATGAGCTCCAGCGTACCGCACACACAGCCTCTGTCCATTGACACTACGCTGAGCAACCAGCGCTCGATGCCCACGACCCCAGCGACGACCCCACCCGGCAACAACATGCAACATGGTCTTTCCTCTTACCAAGGCCAGCCGGGTTACGACAGCAAGCCCTACTACTCGGCTGCTCCTCAGTCCCAATCTCAATACGCCCCGCATACTCCATTGACCCAGTCAGGGATGCCCAGCTACGGCCAATCCTTGCCGGGAAGCTACATGAAGAACGAAATGGCCCCACCCAATACCAGAGCCCCTGGTGCCACTGACCCTGAGAGCGCAGAACGCCAGCCGGAGCATCACTACTCGCGAAGTAATGGTGCGCCGGGTGAATCCGTCTCGGAGCATGAGCAGGAGTACCTACAGGACCACAACAGCGGCTACAACTCGAACCGCAACTCCTACACTTATTCCACCAACCCCTCCGTGACTTCACTGGCGGGCGAGCACTCCCAGCTCACCCCAGAGATGACCAGCTCGCCTTCACAGCAGAACGCCTCGGGTCGCATGACGCCTCGCACAGGTGGTGCTCCTCCCCACTGGGCTTCTGGGTACAACACTCCTCCCCGTCCTGCCGCTGCCACGACACTGTACAACGCTGTCAGTGACACCCGCGGCACACCCGCGAACGGTGGCTCAGACCCGTACTCCATGGCTCAGTCTTCCACGCCGATCTACTCGACCGTCAATGGATCCATCGGCTCAGGCAGCAAGCGCATGCGCGAGGACGACGATGTCATCCGCCCGGACAGTGGAGCAGAGTACGAGACTAAGCGCCGCAAGACTATCACCGATTCAACAATCGGCGGTCCCGTCGGCGGTGCTCCAATCCTACAGCCCATGAAGACGAGCGCAGTCATGGCTCGCCATCGCTGAAGAGCATCGGTGTCATTCATACCACTTATTCCCACATATGATTATGTGAGCTCTAAGCTACCTTTTGTTTGGTCATTGTTCATGGTTTTGGTTATTATTTTGTTGCAATTTCTCGGTCGGAGTTGTTCATGATAGACTGCGCATGCTCCACACACCCGCCGTGGCGTCGCGGACTCTCTTCTCTCCAAGTGTCCTTACCACACACCACCCAGTCCCCAATGCATGACGGCATCTATGGATCGCAAGTCCTATATGTCGAAACGAAACGATGCTCATTTGTTGTCTGTGTTTTGTTGTCTGTTTTCTGTTTGCGTTCTGTTTCATGTTGGGAAAGAATATCTCGGCTTTACGCTTTGAGAACTATGATCCTGTGTGGTACGAGGCGCTCATCTGATCCTGATCCCTTAAACATACAATTGGCATCTCAACTTGAGCCCTTTTGCGATTGGATCAGGTCAGATACCCGCCCGACCTTGATGACTATGATGTGACGAATCTCTTATGAACGAATTTTTTATGTGTAACGGGGCCATTCATTTAATTGCTTTGATTCGTTCGTCTCCTGATCATTGTTTTTCTCTTTTGGTCTTTTCTTGTTTTGTTGGGTTGAAAAGGATACTTGTGGCATGGGCTTTTTCTTTTTTTGCGCCCTCCTCCACACCAACCCTTGACTCTTTAGAGAGATGATTATCATGCTAATGAACGGTTATGAACTCTGTGTCTGTATGCATGTCTTTAGCGACATACAACGATGGTTTTTGGTTCGGTCCATTCATCTTCTTCATCTCCTTCGTAGTGCATAGTAGTCTGGATTATAGCATGTAGCATGTAGCCTAAGATGAGACTACAATCACGTTCTTCTCGTGGTCCCAAGTGAGTATTAAACATCCAAGCCCTAAGCCCAGCCCAAACCCGGGGAATCGTCCCTTTCCAAACCCGCCGCCATTCCCACGCCTAAAAGCAGAGTTATACCCCGTCTCCGAAACGGGGATCTATCGACACAAAAACAACAAGAAACAAGGTTGAGTTCCACGCCTTCAATATCACAACCGTCTCAGATCATACGCCCAGATTCCCCACTTCAACCCACCCACTCCCAGCTCACGAAATGGTCAGTTCCGTGAAATCTGGGGTTGAGTCTGGGGTCCCCGCATGGTTGATTCGGTCTATATTCTTCATGCTGGTGGCATTGTGGGTTTTCTGGACCTGAACTGGTCCACAGTCTTGGGCTTGGGTGATAAGGGAATGAGGTGAGGGGGTTGCGGGTTTCTTTTTGTTTTTGGTATTGGTTTTTGGTATTGGTTATGTCTATAAATGGGCGTGGATGGCTCTTCTTTTTCTTTTTGCTTCATTAGGATTGACTGACTAACTCTCTTCTCTTGTCCTCTTTTCTGCGCTCTTATTTTGACATTGCTAGATCTCTGATCTGTATGCTGAACCATGGATTCCAAACTCGATCGTTCATCTCTGGATGCTAACAAGGCTGATATCATCCATGAAGAACGGGCCAGAGTCGACGAACTGGATGACTCAATCGAAGAGACGGATCCAGGTTGGGCTGTCTGGTTAATTGCCTGTACAGTGTCGATGGGAGGATTCTTATTCGGTATCTACACATCCATCTATTCATCTATTCCACCACCACAAAACACCCCCTATAACACCCAAAGCCACCAGAAAGCTAATACAACAGAAAAAGGCTACGACACAGACGTAATTTCCGCCATCCTAGTAAACCTAAACGAAGACCTAGGCCACACCCTCAGCAGCAAAGAAACAGAACTCATAACGTCCATAACCTCCGGTGGCGCCCTAATAGGCGCAATCCTAGCAGGCCTAACCTCAGACCGCTACGGCCGAAAACTAGGAATCTACCTTGGCTGCGCACTCTTCACCGCCGGCGCCGTCCTCCAAGCCGCATCCTTCACAGTCGCACAGATGACAGTCGGTCGACTCGTCGTCGGACTTGGTGTTGGCAGTGCGGCGATGATTATCCCGCTTTATATCAGTGAGCTTGCGCCTGCGCGGTTCCGTGGGCGCATGATTGTTTTTGATAATCTTTGTATGGCGGGTGGTCAGCTTGTTTCTTATGCCCTTGGTGCGGGTTTCACGCCCGTTGAACATGGGTGGCGGTATATGATTGCGCTTGGGGCTTTGCCGGCTATCCTTTTGGCGGTTCTTATGCCTAGGTGTCCTGAGTCGCCTCGGCAGTTGGTTTCTCATGGAAGGTTTGAGGAGGGAGGTGTTTCTGTGTCTGAGAGGAGTTTGAAGTGGCAGTTTGGGAAGTTGTTTTTTGTTCCTGCTAATTTGAGAGCGCTTGTTACGGCTTGTATGGTTATGGCTGGTGAGTTTGGATCTACGTAGAGGCGATGTGTTACTGACTTGGTTCTGGTAGTCTCTCAGCTCGGGGGCTTCAATACCCTTATGTACTACTCGAGTACGCTATTTTCGATGGTCGGTTTCGACACGCCTGTTGCAGTATCAATTGTGGTTGGAGGAACCAATTTCCTCTTTGGTTTCATCAACTTCGCAGTGATTGACAGATTTGGACGACGAGCCATTCTGATTGTCACAATTCTCGGCATGGTAAGTGGCAAACTTCATGTGCTCATATCGACAGCTTCTAACGATTGTTCTCCTCTCCAGTCCCTCTCTCTGGTAGTAACAGCAATCGCCTTCCACTGGATCCCAATAACACACATGGACTCTGCATCAACAACACTCTCGGGTTCCCAACCATGGGCAACAATCCTCCTCCTAGTAACAATCATCCTATACGTGGCCTTCTTTGCCGCAGGGGTTGCACCTGTAGCATGGGTCGGCACAGAGCTTCTTCCTCTTGAAGTGCGCGCACTTGGCACAATGATCAACTCTGTGACTTGCCGGGGATGCAATCTGATTATCTCGAGCACTTTCTTATCCATGATGAAAGCAAGGACACCGAGTGGGACTTTTGCATTCTATGCGGGTATTTGCTTTGTTGGTTGGCTCTTTGTTCTGGCGTGTTATGCCGAGGTGCATGGCATGCCACTTGAGGATGTTAGTGCTGTCTTTGAGAAGGGATTTGGGGTTAAGGAAGCGAAGATTTTGCAGAGAGAGCTTAAGGAGAGAAAGAGGGCCGAGGTTAGACAGGAGGGGTTACTGTAGGTGTGTGTAGATTGTTTAGTGTAGAGCTTATGGAGAAATGACTGGTTACTGCGAATGATATTGCTTTGCTTGAAGAGAGATAATAAGTATGGAAGTACTTAATCAATGGGTTGGGACCCCAGAGGCAGGTATTCACCTAATGCTTAGGTTCGTGGGAGGGAGAGCCGGGAACCAACCTCGTTCACTGTGGAAATGTTGGAAATGTGAGATGAAGGAGATATTCCGGCATATTGCTCCGCCAGCCAAATTTTGATCGCCTAGGCTCTGCAAAATGAAGACTCATGTCAAAGAAAAGCCCATACTTAAGGATTTAAGTACACATGTCATTGGGAATGCGAGCCAAAGCCATTTGATTGGGATGAGTTCGAGGCGATCAACGAAATGCACGAAGGCCCCGAGGGCTTTTGGGTAGAAGACTCAGACGTAGGTTCTCTATAATTACCAGAAGCTTGCAACCAAGCTCAGTGTTTGAGGAGTCCCATCCAAGCATTATGATAACACTGATGCGAATACTGACCTTATTATGTAAGTTTCCTTCCTGCTTGTCTTTCTTTCCCTTCATTTCCACCTTCCAATTCCAATGTGATTCTGGTTGCCAATGCTTATTCCTGGAGACCCTCCCCGGCCACGATGGTTGGGTGCTCCATCGCTTGGTATGTACCCAGTTCAGAAACTGGGCGGTACAGTTAATTTGGAGATGATTGAGATTGAGGTTTACTTGTCAATAGTCAACGTCAGCATACCTCGAGACACGTGATGCTCACTACCCTATCCCAAAACGGCAAAACCAAAATACCCTCGAACCATGGTTCATCCACTGGACGTCATTCCAAGATTTCAATCTTGACGCCAAACCAACCCCCACCCTACATGCCATCCTCGACACCCTCCCACGCACCATGACCGACGATTCATTTAACCAGCCTGGGAAGCCAGCCGTTGGACCACGCAACCATCTGATCTTTGATCCCTGGCAGTCAGCCTCGACCGGCCACCAGGTCGCGAACGCCGGCTACTCAGCCCATGGCACCACTGGCTGGAGGAACATGCGCGCCGCAAAGCTCAGTGAGCAATATCAGAACGGAGATTGTATCCAGGGACGCGGTCAGAAGGAGGTATCAAGGGGTGTAGCGGCCAAACAGCCAAGTCTTGTACCGGGTGCCTTTGACGGCCGTATCCCGACACAGTCCCCGCCGAAGGATGGCTGGGAGTGGGAAGTGGTGACCAAAGATATTTCAAAGCAGAAGCAAGCTGGTCTGCGTGATATTCGGAGCTTTATGGGCGTAGGCAAGCGAAAGGCCGTGGATGAGTCTAAGGAAATTGAAGAGAAGGCGGACAAGAAAGCCAAGTATGCAGAGAAGAAGAACCAGGTTGAGGCTCAAGAAAAGCTTCAAATTGAATCTGACTTTGCCTCCGGCGAGTCCAACCTCAGCCTCAAGGCGAAATCGACTATCTTCGCCGGTCTCACTATTTACATCAACGGCTCGACTCTCCCACAGATCTCCGATCACAAGTTGAAGTTGCTGCTCACCTCCCACGGTGCCAATTACACCATTTATCTGGCACGAAAAACAGTAACTCATGTTGTGATTGGTCAACCAAACGCCGCGGGATCTGGTGCTGGTGGTGGACTTTCTGCTTCGAAGCTCCAACAAGAGATTTCTCGTGGTGGGTGGAAAGGTGTGAAGGTTGTTAATGTTGACTGGTATGTTTCCATTTTCTTTTGCATAACTGGTGGGTTACTTTTCTAACATGCTTGTGCAGGGCTATCGAGAGTATCAAAGCAGGTCGTCGACTTGCCGAGTCTCGGTTCCCTGGTATGCACGTTGCAGCGAAGGGGCAGCGGAGTGTTGTTGGTATGTTTGGTGCGCAGGCTCAGTCCGGGACGAAGAAATGAGCTTTCGTTCTTGCTCTAGTCTTTTCTAGCTATTATTATCTCGTTCATTGAATCCGTGTGTTACAACACGGCACCGACGGCGTTTTCGATTTACATCTCTGGTTTCAGCATACGCTTATGATACCCAATGATCATGATGTTCATTCTTCTGATTATGCTGAATCTAGCATTCAATACCTCTTGCATATTGAACCCAATCGACCTTTCTAGTGTTTACTATAAAGAAAAAGACAACATTCATTAGGATCATTCATATTCTTATTGATCATGTATCACCATTATCATGACATCCATATAGTTATATACACTCATACACAAGGACAAGCACAATAGTACACACGCGATACTCAAAACTAGGCCAAACCCAAAACATAATCACAACCCGAAGAACAGAATAGGAAGAGAGAAAAAACTCAGATGAATCAACGCCGCAGCTATGCAATACATTAAGAACAAGATACATGCAAAGACATCATAGATCATAGATCACGAATGGAAACAAGCCCATTCCGAATGTCTTTCTCCCATTATGATTTCACGACATGTGTCTCCGCCAACCGCTCTGTCGACGGGTAGGGAGATGATCATCGACGTTACTTTCCGCACCGCCAGAGACGGATGTCAAGCCTGCGGATTCGGACGAGACAGATCTCACTCCGGGGCCATCGGTAGTTGGCATGAGATCGTTTGTGCTGATTGGTGTGATATCAGGGAGAGGCGGAAGAGGGTTTGGATAGCGGTGTGTAGAGAAGGATGATTGAGCAGGTGGTGGGGCGTGGGCGTAGGCTTGGGAAGAGGAGTTGGTTCGTGTGCGAGTCCTGCTTCCTGCTGATGATGGGGGATGTTGTTGCCAGGTGGAGTTGTCATGAGAGATGGGTTCGGGGGAAGATGTTGTTTGGCGATTGTGCGGGAGGTAGTAGGGGTTTGAGTTCGTGTCGTAATCGTGGTGGTTGTCTTCGTAGGCTGGAAATGCTGCGGTTGACATGCTCGATACTGAGTTTCCGTGGGGACGGCCTGTGTATAATGGCTGGGGTTCGCCGAGGTCGGATTCACCGCTGGACCAGCGCTCGAGCTTTTCGTTCAGGGGCTCTTCTTCGGGCTGAGAAGTTCGCGAGTCCCCGTGGACTAGGCCGAGAGATTCCTCTTCGGTGGCAGACTTGCGGAGATCTCCTCCCAGGTGAGTCCGGCGCAGGATGCCACGGGGTGAGGTGACTTGAGATTCACTGCCGGCTTTCACACGGTTCATCATGGTGTTGAAGGAGAATTGGCGGCGGGCAGTATTGGCGAGGGGTTCCGGGGCTAGGGAGTCGGGCTTTTCGTCAGCCCATGAGATTGATCGCGGAGTATCGCTACGGGGACGATTTGGATGGAACGGAGCATCCAAGCCTCCACCTCCGTGGTATTCTGTATCGGCGACCCCGTGGTGAGGCATATCTGTCATACCAACCGATTGTGTATTGGCGTCCGTGTTCTTCTCTTCCTGGGTTTGTACAGGCCTCCACTGGCCGTGGTGAAGCACGCTGGTAGCACGAGACCGGATACCATCCAAGAAAGAATGGCCACTTTGCTTTGTGGTGGGTCTGTGCTCGTCTTCTTCTTCCTCTTCAGCTGTAGGGAAGTGTGACATGCCCCAGGGTGGATGTTGCTGTTTGATTGAGGGTGTTCGCGGAGTACGTGGCCTCGACATGGTAGGTCCTTCACCGATGACAGTCTTGCGCCGGCGCAGACCATCCCATTCAACAATCTCACCCTCGCCGGGTGGCTTCAGATGGTCCTCGTGCTTGTCGTGGAAGAAGCGACGGGCTTCATCTGATTCCATGGTGCGACGAGCTGTAGAGATACGGCGGATGATAGAAGCCGCACCGCGAATAGAATCGGCCTTGGGTTCGGATTCAGGCTCTTCCACTGTAGCAACCTCCCGAATCTGGTCGAGATCACCCTTGAATACAGCGGCATCGGGAACATCTTTGGCAGACTTGGATAGCTGCAGCAGTACCACGCCTGCACAAATTTGCAAGAATCCAATTATCACGGTTGCGATCTGAATGCCTGTTCCCTTGAAACCCTGGAACAGGATAGCAGAGGTAATAATGGTGGCACTGGTGAACATCACATAGTAAGTCGGGGTGACCAAAGCGGCATTGAAAAGATTCAGAGCTTTCTAGAAAAAGAGTCAGCAGAATGCAACCAAACCAGAAGAATCAAAACGTACGTTCAGATAAATAATCTCAGTCAGTAATGTCCCAATAACAAAGACAAACAAGACATAGAGAAACCAATGCTTAAACTGCTCCTCGCCATTGATCTGAGCAAGAATAGCAGAGCCCAACCCCTGAGTAGCAACAACACTCAAGCCACCAACCATACTGCAAATGCTGATATAAACAAACATACTCTGTTTGCCATATCGCGGACCAGCCCAAAGAGCCGTAAAAACAGCCCCAACAATAATCAACCCAGCATAAGTCAAAAAGCCAGGTTGAATGACGAAATGCTGCATGCCCTGAATATCGTCGACAGAAGACTGTTCAGGCGCATTCATAGCAATAGTCACAGACCCAATAATACAACAGAAACAGCCAACCTTCCCAACAAAACTCAACCGCTCCTTGAGGAAAATAGCCGACAGAATCGTCGTAATAACAACAGACAACGCACCAAGCGGCGTAACGAGAATCGCATCGACAAATGCATACGCAACAAAGTTGCATATCTCTCCGATAATCATCAGCGTCATTCCAGTCCACCACCAGAAATTCTTCAGATATCCATATCCCTCTCCGGCCTCTTCATTGTATTTGACATTCGCTTTCAGCAACCCGATCTTCTTGATCACGAATGATATACCAATAAACACACCAGATGCAACAGCCAGCGAGATACCAATAGCTTTGTATACCGGCGGCCGACCCGAGCTCTCGGCGCGAGCGAGCAGCGTCGAAGCGTGCGATAAAGTGGAATTGGGATCCATTGTGAGACGTGATGTGCGAAATGACCACACTGGCCAGCAGTGTGAGGCGAAAAGAAAAAGGAGTTGTCGGGGGAGAGAGACGTCCGAAGACGAGACTCAGCGACTATCTGAAACACTTATCGAACCTGCCACGCTGTATCGCGTATCGCTTAAGCGTGTCGTATCGCCTGGGCGACAATCAGTGGGACCTGGTTCGGATCGAAATGGTGTGAAATGTCGCGACAACGGTAAGGGGAGTTGGTCTGGAATAGTGTAGTGACGATCTAGGAATGCTTCTGGAAATGAGACCACGAGGGAAAGAAATGTGAGATTTCCGCAAGGGGGCACGTCAGCCGTCGGCGCTATGACGGTCGGTGGCGCTTCGATGCAACGCAAAAATCAAGGGTTTCGAGAGTGTTAGAGGGAAAGGATGTTGGAGAGAAGAGAAGTTGACACCAGAAATCCAATTATAATGCGACGCTGGGAAAAGGGGAAGGGGATTGTAAAAGATGCAGAAACAAAGTGGCTGGGTTAGACCCTGTGGGGAAAGGAGGTACGGACGGGTACTTGTTGGTGGGGCAGAGACACTGCGATCGGCAGGTACCAACAATGTACCTTTGTTCCTAAGTTATCTAAATAGGATGGCGATTCTAGACCTGCTTATTGGTCTTGGCTTAATATAAGTAGATATTGTACAATCTACCGACATGAACTTATATGCATGCACTAACCTATCATGGATTAAGGGTTTCACTTGGACCCTTTTGTTTCATTCGAGACTATTAATATACAGATATCCCACATTGAAGTCTGTCATAAATGTCATCATTCATTATGCCCGAAGGCCGGTATGGGCAATCTCTCGAGAATCTCGAGAGATGTTCAAGTAACAAAGGAAAAACGTAAAGTAAGAATGAAACAGACTCGTGATTGCCTCCATGCGCCATGACACCTCATGCCAACCTTCATCACCGTCTCGAGCGAGGGGTATTCAGCAGGAAAGAAGCAAGAAACATAACAATGCAAATAGAAAGTTGAAGTGGATACGAAAAACCGAGTTATGAACACATGCGAAGAGATTACCGCACATGGAAGCTGGGTTTGCGTTGTCTGTTGACCACTGGGGGAGACTCATCAACGGGATAAGGAGGTCGGACCTTGCTGCCAGAGGAACCGTGGGAAAACAAAGGTGCGGGCATAGCTACACCACCCTCATCTTGCGATGGATATGGAATGGGTGTTTTGGGAGGGACGGGTGGTGGCCCGTTGAATGTTGCAAAGTGCTCATCACTGCGGTGGGGAGAGCCTTGTTGTTGCGAGCTCGGACGACCCTGATCATAGCTTCGACGATAATTGAGACCCTCGCTGGATTGCCTTGGGGAGGTAGGCATGTTATCAAGTGGCGTGGGATGGGCAGGTAACGAGTCATCCGGCGGGGAGACAGTCACACTAGTAGGAATCGGGGGAGGTGCTGATGTAGGGTGATGGGCAAAATCAATGGGATCAGCAGGGAGTTCTGCGGGCAACTCGACAGCGAAGTGCTGGGGAGGTGGCACGTATGATTGTTGAACGGGAGAAGAAATCGTAAGCTCTTCGGTTTCAAGATCAAAGGACAGGTCGTCACGGTCACCGCCAGCCGCAGCATGGTTTGCCAGACGGCGGTTCATGCGATCGATCTTAGCAAATCGGACACCAGCATCTAGAATCATCTTCTTGACTTCAGGCTTGGCCAGATATTGACGTGTGTTTGTGCTGATATCAGCCAACCGGTTCCATTCATTCATGCCAAACTCGCCAACACCAACTTCAACGTTCAACCGGAAGTAATTATCCTCGGGAACATTGCGTTTGGCCAGTCGATCTCTTAGCATTTCATTGTGAATGTCCTCGCAGCCTTCGATCTTGGTGATTAGTCGACGACGTGCCTCGGCGAAAGTACCGAGCGCATCGCCGAAGAAATCCTCCCACCATTCATGCTGTCGGTTGTTGGTACCAGCGGGTCGCTTTCCTGTTCCAACACTGATAAAGACACCAACTTCCCGACCTGGCCACTCGTTCACCACAGCCTCGTCAAGAATCTGCGGCGCCGGGTTATATGTGCCCGGGCCTTCATCGATAAAGACATGTTGACCAATCTGAATTGGCTTGAAAGCAAGACCGGTGGCAGAAGTCGCACGGCCTGCTTGCCAGACCGTGCAGTCAAATTCAGGTGGGGGTTCTCTGCGGGAATCGTAGGAGCGCAGAAGCACGGCCGTTCCTTTGCGCGGCGTGCCCTTGTAAAGAGCAGTGACAGCACTAAATTGCACGTTAGTAACCACAATTTAAAATTAATGCATGATAAGACTCACGTCTTGGTACGATACTCTCGACTATCGTAAAGTAGCGCATCAGGGTTACCCCAGCGCAGACCATTGATAAAAGCAGAGCCTCGCTGGCTAGTCGGGGACATCGGATGGGAAGCAGCAGAAGTGCTAAAGCTCCCCCGACTGATAGAACGCTGAGGAACAGAGTTCGGACTATACGGCAGGCTGGCAATGGAATTACGCGCGTTGGCATTCGGCGTGTCATTGCCCTCGGCCTCGAAGACTGTATGTTCCCGCACGCATTCCCGAATCGCCTCCTCGAGCTTGGAAGCCTTGAACAGCGTCGAGCGGTATGGAATACCAGCGATAGTTTTATCAGTCTCAAATACCTTGCGCGTCATGCGCACGTAGACCTCTTTGCAGGTCTCGAGGTCGAGGCGGAGACGACCGAGCATCAGGGCGATGAGACCGCCGGTGCCGGTACCCGCGATCAAGTCGAAATGATCACATGGCTTGGGAATTTGGTCGCGACGGGGTGGCTTGCCTTCGCATTCGACATAGGTGCGGTACATGAGTTCCTGGAGGAGAATAAGCATGGAGTAGCCACGTACACCACCGCCATCTGGTCAAGTCAGCTGAGTTTTGATATTGGCGGGGAGGTGAGAGAATACTGACCGAGCGAGAGAATCCTCAGTGGAGGACCCTTTGTGGTATCCTTGCGGCGCAAATGAGCAGAATCCATGGCGATTGTAGTAGCAGGAACGATTGCGATCGCCTTTTTCTGCGGCGGCTTACCCGCGGCGGGGCTTAGTGCCTTATGCACCGGGGGAATAAAGGTTTGGCGCCTGACCGATCCGGTCCGTGAAAAGAGGTGGAAGTGTCACAGTGGTGAAACAGCAGTTCAGATGTGTCGGGCGTGACAGTGTGGTGGGCTCAAATAGGCAGCGGCGGGTGGATGATTGGAGGGGCTTGAGCCCGGTCCCTGCGGTAGTCCGGTAAGGCTGGCTCTGCAGTAACGTAAACCGTCTATGGACAAGAATAGAGAGAATATCGACAGTGTGCAGTATGCAGGTAAACAGGTCAACAAGTCTAAAGATTCCAAAGTTATTCTTGGAAACTTCTTTCCATGGATCATGCAGGTCAGGTGACTCCTGGCTCGGCTGTGGCGGTGCACCGATATGATGTAACTGTGGCGTCCACCAATTAGGTCGGCTTATTGTGTGTCTCAAGGCTTCAATTTTGTAGAACAATGTTTCACTTCGAATATCCATAGGCAGGCTAAACATTTACCCAATCAATACTGCTATTCACGTTGCTACTTCGTGGGATTCATCAAGCCCACCATGACGTCACATTATAAAATTGAAGTATAGAAAACCTCGGAGCAAAACTCAGACAAAGTGCCCAAGAACTCAATTCATCAAACCGGGCCAATCTGAAAACCAATTAGCAAACCCACAATGTATCTCAAACAAGAAAGGTATGAAAGCACTCACCGAAGAGAGTCCTCTCCTTGCCACGCTCTGCAACAACAACCTCATCCCCAACTCTAAGATTCGTCCCACTCCCCCAGGGCTCCAAAAACGAATAGCGCCCAAAGACAGGACTAAATCGCGCCCCTTTATCCACCCTACGATCCTTCATCAACTTCTTCAGAACAGTGCCCGACTCATCAGTACCCATCTTGCCAGTAGTATAATCAACATTAAGACTCTGGCAGCGCACACAATTACCCGTCAACAACAGCCGCGTCTTTTCAGAACCTAGAGTAAGTACACTCCAATAGTCCTCTTCAAAGGCATTCTCAGCCCCGGAAATAACAATGTTAGGCCGGAATTTAGTCCGATCCATCTCCGTCCCGTCCGGCAGTCGTGCCGAGACATTGTCAACGGATGTCTCGGAGATCACTAGGTAGGGCGCACAGTCGGCGAAGGTAATGCGGTCTTCGGGCTGCACTTGTAGTATGTAATACAACACTAGCGCAACGGGCGCGAGGAGTGCGGGTAGGAGACTACTTGCTGTCTGGGGCATCTTTCCCTGTCTGATGAAGCTGTCTGCTTGGATGAGTATGTTGACCGTGAATGCGATTACCAGCACGGGTAAGAACCAATCCCGCTTCTTATCTGCGTTCTTATTCGCAAATAGGTCACGAATTCTGTGCAGAGCGGGCTTTTTGTTGGATTTTGATGGTGCTAGTGTGCCCAGTACTTCTCGTGAGTTTGGCCCGAGGTAGGCGAGGACTACAGGGTATCCGAAACACGCGCTGAACCAGTCGTTGTATTCGGCGCCCATGTTGTAGCCGGTTGTTGGACTTTGATGCATTGTGACCGTAAGACCACTGAGGGTCTTTATGTTGGGTTGGAGGGGGATCTCCAGTCTTTTGGTATTGCGGGGTTCGTCTTCAGACTTAGATGGTGCTGGGTGGTGTGTGACAATCACTTTTCCGCTGTCATTCCCCGTCTGGGGGTACTCGATGTCGGTATGGAACAGGGCCATCTCTGGGAAGTGCGGGACATGCATGTTCTTCAGAGTCGTGCTATTGGAGCCGTCTTCGGCGGGCAAGACCTTGAGGAGCATGAAGTGACGGTCATATTGAAAGCCGCGAGGGGTGAGGATACCCTCCTTGACGGTGGTCGGCCGTAGTGACTTGATTGGGTAGACGTAGAGCTGTTCGCGTTAGTTGCGTCGCATTGAATATATCCCAGTTCTAGATTCGCACCTGGCTGACTTTCATCGTCACGAGTTATGGGAGATAAAGAAAAGAAAAGTTCGAGCACGCCGATCCCGGGGAAACGATGTCTCACTGGGGTTCGGCGCGAACAAGGCGCTGATAAGTGATAAGGCGATCTACGCGACTTTACGGAGATGGTTGTGACTTTAAGTTAATTATGGGATCTAAAATTGTGCTACCATTTGATCCGTGTGTCTTTAAAAATCTTGAGTCATATTCGTTTCGAATCCGGGATATACAGAGAAAGGAAATTAGAAAGGAAATCGTCTACTGGTCCTCAGACCAGGGTAAGCTAAATGTGCCGACCCAGTCCTCGACCTCTTGGCGCAGGAGAACAATCTCAGAGATCTCCTCACCCTCACCCAGGTACTCCAGGAAAGCCTTGACTGTGCCGGGGTTCTTGACACCCTTGGACTGAGCGTGCTCACGAGCAACCTTGTCCAACTTTTGGGTGATAATGACAGCGCGGTCGACAATGTCAGCCACGCGACGGAAGTCCTCGGGCTGGAAGCCACGCGATGTCATGGCGGGGGTGCCAAGACGCAGACCACCGGGCTTGAGGGCGGACTTGTCACCAGGTACGGTGTTCTTGTTGCTGGCAACTCCGCACAGCTCAAGAACACGCTCAACACGAGCGCCGTCAACGCCGCGGTTCTTCAGGTCAACCAGCACCAGGTGGTTGTCGGTGCCGCCAGAGACGATGTTGTAGCCGAGTCCACCGTTGCTGGTAGAATCACCGAGGCGCTCGGCCAGAGCTGTGGCGTTGGTCAGAACGGTCTGTTGGTAGTTGTGGAAGTCGGTTGATTGGGCCTGCTTGAGGGCCACGGCCAGCGCGGTGATGGTGTGGTTGTGAGGGCCACCCTGGTGGCCGGGGAAGACGGAGGCGTTGATTGGGTTCTCAAGATCGTACATGATCTTGTTGCCCTTCTTGTCGGTGCTGCGCACACCCTTGCGGTAGAAGATCATGGCGCCACGGGGGCCGCGGAGGGACTTATGGGTGGTGGTGGTCACAATGTCCGAGTAGGGGAAGGGAGATGGGAGCACATCGGCAGCCACGAGACCGGAGATGTGCGCCATATCAGCCAGCAAGTAGGCGCCCACGGAGTCGGCAATCGCGCGCATACGGGGGTAGTCAATGAGACGGCTGTAGGCCGAGGTACCCGCAACAATCAGCTTGGGGCGGTACAGATTGGCCATTTTCTCCAGTCCATCGTAGTCAATCAAGCCAGTCGACTCATCGAGGCGATAGGGGAGGGTCTCGAAGTACTTGGAGATGGCGGAAATCTTCTTGGTAGGGGTCTGGTATCCGTGGGACAAGTGACCACCGTGAGGCAGGTCCAGGCCCATAAGGCGGTCGTGGGTGTTGAGAACAGCGGAGTAGGCCATCAGATTGGCGGGCGAGCCGGACAAAGCTGGTGACTGTTAGCATTGATCCTATCCTATTGCATCGGTCGAGATATCATACGCTGGACGTTCACTCCCCACTCCTCGGGGTTGAGACGGTAGGTCTCGAGAGCACGCTGCTGGCACAGGCGCTCCGATGCATCAATGTGTTCGTTTCCACCATAGTAACGGGCACCGGGGTATCCTTCGGAGTACTTGTCTGCATTGTGGTTAGAATGGCTTATCAGGCAAGCAAAGCGGGAATCTGAAGTACATACTTTGCATAACACTGCCGAGGGCATCGAGAACAGCTTGCGAGGTGAAGTTCTCTGATGGAATTAGGTTGATGAAGTGCTTTTGGCGTCTTTTCTCCTAGAGGGGTATTAGCAATGGTCGATTCCGAAGCTCTATGAGCAATGACGCACCTTCTGCAGGATATCGTAAACGGCGGGGTCGGAGTCCTTCAAGGAGGATGATAGCAGCTGGGAGAAGGTCAGTACATGTGTCTAGCTTGCCATTGAATCCTTTCCAACCTTGTGCTGAGCATCGGGAGAAGATGATACTCCCCGCGATTGTGGGACGGATCTGATTGAAGGCACGATAGAGGCCCGGGAGACGATAGCCCGGGAGCTCCCAAGGGGGAGCAGACGAGCAGCGGATCTGCCACAGCGAGACAACATGGTGTGAAGCTGAAGCTGAAGAAGTCAAGACCGAGGGGTATATGTACTTTGCCGATAGGGAAGCATCGGCTTTTAAACAACGAGTGCTTGTCGGACGGTAACTGACGCCTTTCCGTTCTCCGCGGAAAGCGGGAAACAACGCTATTCCTCATTGAGCTCTCCGCCTGGTCCGTGCATCAGCTTGGGTTTTTCTCGCTCGGCAAAATTTCTCCCTTCTTTTCTTCTTCACACAACTAAATCCAAGATGAAGAGACGGCGTTCCATCTGTGTCAGCACTCGTCGGTGACGGCTGGACTTCGGTCTGGCTGGAGCTGGACGGGCGCTGCTGACAGGTCCCACGCCTTTAACCATCCATTGAGGGACCAGTACCATCGGATTGGACTTTGTTGTGCGTTTGGTTTGCCGATCGGGATCAGGCTTGGGCTTCCCTTGCCATGATCCGGGATATATCACGGCATCCAACAGTTCCACTGTCGCATTGCGATACTCAAGTCCAGTGAGGAGTTGTTCATAGCAACTTCGAGCGCTTCGAGAGTCCACCATAGTGAAAAGAATAGGATATAACATAATCACTTCATTAATCACCGCTCGTCACACCGTAAACAAACTACAACGTAGCCTTTTGATTGGGTATTAAACATTTACCCCCAGACAGTAAGCAGCAGTGTGTTGACGTTTTCACTGTACTAACATAGGCTGTGTAGGAATGATGGCTACATGAAGATCACCAGCCCCTGTTTCCGTAGTGCCTTGCGTTAACTGCCATTTTATGATTTGCAAAGCTTATTTACTAAAATTAGCGATCACACTGACCAGCGACGATCAGAATTCATGACTGATGCTATTTGTATCGCCACTAATATGACAATAAAAACAACACTACAGGTGGTAGATAAAGTGCTCTTCTTAAAGGGGTAAATCTGTCACGAGATAGATGTTAGAGTGAGACCTTTGAAGTGCCTAACGCACATTGCCAAGCTTTAATCTTACTGCTAGACTGCTGTGCCCTTCACATTGGCTAGGAAATATAGCAGCGAAATTGCTCATATGGTCAAAGAAGTGTTGTCTATAATACACTTTCCTGTTTCTTCATTCAGACTCGACTCGACTATGAACTATGAGATTCTTGAGTTAGGCCAACAATCATATTGTCAACGGGTTTATACAACCATAGATACCGTTCGATCTATCTTGTGGTCAACGTCCACGGCTCACTATCGCGGGAACCTAGCGGGGCATACAAGTTGTCGAGACTCCACTAGACTTTGCAAGCAAAAACCTCCGTAGCAACTCCAGTGGCAATTTGTACGGAGAACAATCCAAAGGATTAAATGACTACATACCCACATCAAAGTAAGAAGATCAAAGAACCTAGACTCGGATAGCCAATGCCTAGAAAATCTCGTCCAACCCTAGCAGCCACAACAGCCTAAACAGGAAAGGATTCTCGGCCGCGCACGACAAATTGGTTCATCAGGGCGTGTCTATAGAGTCGAAGGACGCCAGGAGGAAAAGTGACTTGGAGACCCATAGTAAATTGGTGGCAGAACAAGTCCTGATTGAACGAGAGTCAGATTAGATGACGCCGTTGTTCTACGAGACTATTACCACGGCCTGTCTCTGCCCCTTTTCCCGTTTTTCCACAGTTCCGTGGGCACTGCGTGTTTAGTGCACGGGTACCTGAATCTCATTAAATTAGCATTATATACAGCCCGGTCTCCCTCTTCTCTTCTCTTCTTCACCCACGCTTACATTCTCTATCCCGGTTCTTGCACCGATTACATTCTTTTTACAAAGTCACTCTTTACACTTCGCGTGTCCATACCTTTCAACGAACATTCTTCGAACCCCTCTATATCTATCACAATGCGTTTCTCTATCGCTGCTCTCGCTGCCGCTGCCGTTGGCGCTGTCGCCTCCGGTATCACCACTGAGGTTGTCACTGCCTACACCACCTACTGCCCCGAGGCCACCTCCGTTGTGCACAACAGCCAGACCTACAGCATCTCCACCGTATGTTCATCACAAACAACCACAACCCATGAACATGGATACTAACAAATCAATAGCCCGGGCACATCACCATGACCAACGGTCCCTTCACCGTCACCCGTCCCCTCGTGACCTCGACCGTGACCCAGTGCAAGAGCTGGTAAGCACATATCCAATATAGACATACAAACAAATCAATTCTAACACATCCCAGCTCCTCTTCCACCCCCTGGTCGGCAGCAGCAGCGTCCCCGTCATCCCCAGCGTCGCCACCTCCACCCCTCTGGTCCCCAACGCCGGTGCCACCGGTACCCCCGGCTCCTCCGCCGGTTCCTCCGCTGGCAGCCCCTCTCCCTCCCAGCCCGCCTTCAACGCCGGTGCCATCAACGCCGCTACCGGCGCTGGTGCCGGTCTGGCTGCCGTCTTCGGTGCCGTGGCCCTCCTGCTGTAAAGTGGTTGAGTCAAATGGTATCATGAAGTGATGGCGTGATTCTCTGTGTTCGTCTTGAACTGAACATGGAGTCTTGCTGCTGTCGGGTGTTTGGGCTTGGGTTCTTCAGGGTGTATATGTCTTGTCTACGTCTTCTTAGATAATACATAATTTGTTCCTTCCGATTTGGGTGTAGCTTGTTTTCGTGTTTCCCTGCTGGGGCTTTTTGTTAGTTTTGCAAGTGATTCTCCTGGACATATGTTTTAATTTTTATTATCTCACTTCGAACGCGAATGATCTCTTTTTTCATTGTTAGCCCTCGTCTAAAGTAGACTTTATAGTCGACGCTCTCAATCACGATATGATCGTCGATATCTTCTGAACGCATCTTGGAATTATATATTGATCATCGGCCAAGCTTCGACGATCTCTCGATCTCGATCTACGTGAGATAAATGTATCAGCTATCGGGAAGGTGTCTAGGTCATCCCTTCAAATTGTAACAAGCCTATTGTGAAATGCAGATACAATAAGACCTTATATTCTGTAGCACAGTCGAATTGAATAGACTTGTGGGGTATTGCGGGGATTACGCAGGTCTATAAAGACCGAAAAAGCAAAGTGACAGTACACAATGTGATTCATCTCTTGACAAAGTCTATGGAGACTAGTCTATATCCACTTCAATCCTTCTTCTGCATGTATCAATGTCACTTTTCCGGTCATGGTTCTTGATGCACCTGTGTATTGCCCAGATATGTACACCCAGAGTCCCTCCCACATCAAGGAAAGAACCCAACACAAAAACCCATCATCATTAGAATATGTTGATACCTTACAAAGCCAATATGCACATGCCTAGTACCCCCAAACTAAACTAAAGCTTCGCCTTCCCACCAACCCCCTTCACACCCTCAAAGTACTCCCTAACCCTCCCCCTAGCAACATCAACAACATCCCCATCCTCAACAGTAGGCGGTACCTTGACGAATCCCCCATAATCTCCCTGAACGGCCAGTTCAACAAGCTCCCTCAAAACCCGTCTAAGAGTCTTCCCACTCCGAGTCTTAGGCAACATGCCCCGGCCTTGAATCATTCCACCTAGCGAAGCAATAGCGCCGATCTGTTCGCGCACGAGGCCATTTACTTCCGTGAAGAGTTTCTCGCTTGGTTTTGCCGGTAGATATCCTTCCGTGGATTCTTCCGGGATGGATCCTGCTTTTGGTTGGATGAATGCAAAGGGAAGGTGGCCTTTCACTGGGTCTGGGAGACCGATTACCACTGCTTCGCTGATTGCTGGGTGGGAGAGGATTGCTTGTTCGATTGTTCCTATTGATGGGTGGTTAGCTTCTCATTCCTGAAACCACATGTATATGAGATAGGGCCATGACTTACCAGTTCCAAGTCGATGTGCCGCAACGTTGATGATATCATCAGACCGCGACATGACATGCAAATAACCATCTTCATCAACCATCCCCGAATCACCGGTATCAACCCAACGCCCATCAAACCGCTTCAGGTACCCACGGTAGAAGCGCTCGTCGTCCATGAACAAATTCGTAAATGCGGTTGGGGCAAGTGGTAGTCCTAGGACGATATTACCCATCGTACCGGACGGTACTTCATTACCATCATCGTCCACGATGCGGACATCGAAGCCGGGTAACGGTAAGCCCGCGGATCCAGGACGGAGCGCAAGAGGTTTCTTATCTTCACCTTCACCCCCGTCTTGTGCATCAGAACCCGAGGAAGCAATAGCCCCCCGACAGTTCTGCATCAACCCCGTAATAGGAGACCCAGACTCAGACGACCACCAATTATCAACAACAGTAGCACCAGCGCTGCCAAACCTCTCAAGTAACCCCTGATAAAGCCTAACAATAGATGGCTCACTGCGCTCACCAGCAAGGAACAAAGCCCTCAAAGATTTCAGACCACCCCTAGCCCCAACCTCCTCTATCAAGGTATTCTCAGGATCATCCTTGCGCATGGCACGCATAGCAGTCGGAGCCGTGAACAACACGTTAGCTTTATGTTTCTCGATCAATCGCCAGAATATGCCTGCGTCCGGTGTGCCGACTGGTTTTCCTTCGTAGAGAATTGTCGTTGCGCCGACTAGTAAGGGTCCGTACAGGATATAGGAATGTCCTACCACCCAGCCGATGTCTGATGCGCAGAACATTACATCGCCTGGACCTTTTATGTTGAAGAGGGTTTTCGTGCTTAGTGTTAGGCCTACGGCGTGGCCTCCTGCTTCGCGGAGGACGCCTTTCGGGAGGCCTGTTGTTCCTATATGTTTGTTAGTATATGATTCGTTGTGTTGATATTGATATCTCAACATGAACAAAGAAAGATACGGTACTAACCACTAGTATAAATAATATAAATACCCTCCGTCCCCCGAACAGGAACAGACGGCGCTCTAATACCCCGCCCACGCGCACTTTTCACAAGCCTCTGCCAATTCCGCTGTCCTCCCCGTTTATCGGGTCGATTCCAGCGCAGCTGATCCCGCTGCCAGACAATTACCTTGCTAGGCTTGAACTTGCTTGCATTTATGGCACCCTCCACTAGCGGCCTGTAAGCAATAGGCCCCTTGGTCCCCTCAATACCGCACGAGGCGGTCATTATTGCGTGTGGACGGGCGGCTTCGATGCGCTGTGCTAGGGATTGTGGGGCGAAGCCGCCGAAAACCGCGGCGTGGATTGCGCCTAGGCGTGTTATTGCTAGGGAGGCTATTAGGGCGGCGGGGATCATTGGCACTATTTCATGGTTTTGTTAGTTTGGATTGGGCTTTGGGTTGTCATGTGGTCTATATTGTGGGGTTATTGTGGGGTGGTGATGGTGGCGGGGATGAGGATATATGGGTTAGGTATGGCGATGTGACTCCCATTGAGGGGTTATTGGGTTAATACGGACTGTAGATGATCACCACATCCCCCTTTTTGACCCCCTCTTCCCTCAGGACTCCTGCGAGAACCTCGATCTCGTCTAGGAGCTGGGCGTAGGTGTATGTCTTGGTCGATCCTGTCACCGGCGACTCCCATATTATGGCTACATTGTCGCCGTGGCCTGCGAGAACGTGTCGATCGACACAATTGTAGGAGGTGGAGATCTCGCCGTCGGCAAACCATGACCAATGCTCGTGTGAGACTCCACTGGGAAGAGTTTTGGTGTGGCGTGTCAAGGCGCGTGATGGCTTGCGGTGCCAGTGGAGCTTGGCTGCGTGATGGCTCCAGAAGGACTCTGGGCCGGTGAGGGAGTGGGCAGTTGCTGTTACTTGGGTGTGATGAGGTGGCATGGTTGGGTGGTCTATGGGATGTGGAGTAGAGGGAAGGAGGTTGAGGTTGAAGAGGGGAGTCTGGGGATCCCGTAGCTTAGCTACCCGAGGTATGGAGGTAAGCCCGAGGGATGCCCCGAGGTTCAAGGGGCTGCATGAAGTACAGGGATGTTGCGGGGAGTCCCCTCCCCGCACGTGAATCATTGGTAGAACCTGTATTGTCTATATATCGCAAAATCAAATAAAAACAAGCTCAGTCGTAGGGTATCATATCGAAATGCCTGCTAATGCGCGACTGCGATCTGGCTTCGTCGCCTGGGGATTTTTTTTGTATGGCGGAGAGAAAGGCTGTTCGAGAGAACCACCTAGGACCACCAACGCCGAGATAAAAGACAGAACCCTCCAGATGCACCCGGGACCAAAAATGGAGAGAGAGAGAAAAAAAAAGATAGAAAAGCCAATTCAAGGGACTCCGGACGGACCTGGCCGATCACAAGAGAACGCAATTGAGGCGACTGCGATGTCGCGACTTGTCGGGCCGGAAGGACTTGGGGTATTCGGGGCCGGCGTCGCGATCACGACCACCGGGCTGGCGGCGGTCCTGGCGACCACCTTGCTGCTGTTGTCGCTGCTGGCGCAGCATGCGGACGACATCGTAAAAGGCCTTCTCCACGTTGATGCAGTTCTTGGCGGAGGCCTCGACAAACTCGCATCCTAGCTCCTTGGCTAGAGCCTGACCTTCTTGTGCCGAGACTGCGCGCTCCACAGCCTTGTCACTCTTGTTGCCGACCAGCATCACGGGGACGGGCATTGCGGGACCGGAGGATGTGCTCATGGGGGAGTTCAAGTAGCTGGGCCCGGAGGGGGAGCCCGAGCTTGATGATTCCTTGACCATCTTAATCTGGTTGTAGAATTTGGTGATGCGCGAGAAGGAGGCACGCGACGTGATGCTGTACACCAACACGAACCCCTCTCCATCTCGAATCCACTGGTCTCGTAGTGCGGTATATTCTTCCTGACCCGCAGTGTCCAGCACCTCGAGCATACACGATTGTTGATCGATCACGACTTGTTTGCGATATGAATCCTCGATGGTTGGATCATATGTTTCGACGAAGTGGTTGAGGCATAGCTGGGAGGGTTTAGCGACATGATCTGTCCCGGGGTCGGGCAACCAACCTGAATGGTAAGGGCGGTCTTTCCGACACCTCCATCACCCAGCACCACCAGCTTATACAGGGTCATTTTCCCAGACATGGCGACAGAGAGCTGGGGTAGTTAGCAACAGAAGCGCAAACAAGACATGGTGAACATACTAAGGGGGAAAAGAGGGGAAAAGAGAGGGGGGTTGAAGTGGCCCACGTTCCAGGCGGGGGCGAAAAAGGGAGTGCCAGAGAGTGTGTTAGGCAAATAGGCGAAGTATTGGGGGGGAGGGAGGGTGGGAAAGTAAGGGAGAGAAAGTCAGATGGTAAGAAAGTAAGAAATTGAAGAGATCGAAGAAATCGAAGAGAGTTCGAATTTACAATCCTATCCCTGTCGGGTTGAAATCTTCCCCCCGTTTTGCCTCGAATTTTCCACTAGATTTCTTTTCCCGCTGAAACAGTTTCGGGTACCTCGAAATATAGACAAACGAGACTGAAATGACTGGTAGAAATCCTATAATTAGGGGAATCTAAGTGACAGCTCCATGAAGTCATACACTTTCGACCAGGGGGAATCAATCCACTTTAGGAAGTTAGTGCGATTTTTCTAGCAGCGTAGCGTGACACTATTCACTTCGATACTATTCCCTCTCTCTCTATACATTTTACAGGTACTCTTACTTCTACTTCTACTTCTACTTCTGCTTCTACTTCTACTTATAATATCTACTATCTGCTATAATCCATTGCCCATACCAGAGTATTCTATCCTATCCTACTCATACTGTAGCTCCACACGGAAAAGGAGAGCAGGCCCGGCCCTCGACGCACAGGACACAGTGGATATCGGAGTGAGCTTTTCTTGGCCTCATTTCCTTCCCCTTCACTCCCGGTGGAGAAGCTTGAAAGCTCTCTCTCTCTATCGGGTGGGAACCCCCCTAAGCGAGCCCTGACGCCTTTGTGAACATGCTAATACTGATTAGGTTGAGTCTAATTCGTAGACCCCAGTCCACACGTGGGAAGTGTGTCATCTCTTGTTTCAGGAGTCTATACATCTGCAGTATTATTCTGTTAGTGTCGATGGTGGCGCCCCAGATCCCCACAACCTCGTGGTTTCTGTAAATGAGATGGCTATATGGAGGTTAGTATAATAGTAGGATGCTATCCTAACCCGAAATATCGTATGCACGCCGATGGATCACAGCACACCATCACACATTCCAGAATGTGTTTAAAGGTTCAAGCCAGACTCGAATTGGTTTAGGGGAAATGTTATATCGCTCTGTTTATCACACTTTTTATCTTTTTCTAGTTCTTTCGGGTGCGGATGGGGGTCTTTGCGTTCCCGGTCCGCGATGTCCGATGTCTATAAGCGCCGGGTAAGAGGTTCCGGAACCCCAAGACCACTCTGAAAGGTTGAAAGGGGATGTGGATACAGTTTTGCTTATGAGGCACTTTACTGTATAATCTCGTTGGGCATCCATCGACAAACTCAAAAGCAAGTGCCACTTCGTTCCCGTTCCCAGGGGGGAGAACACCCATTTCCTCTTTGAGAGGAGAGGGCCCTCCGGGTCCCGACGGAGACTTTTCCACTTCTTTTCTTCTTTTCTTTTTCTTTTTCTTTTCCTTTTCTTTTTCTTTTCTTTTCTTATTCTTTCAATCTATTTCATTCCTTCGCCTGGACCCAATCAGCTTGGATCTAGACTCACCGTGCCCCCGGGGACTATTCGACCCGGTTCCCCTCAAGTGCAGAAGTGCAGAGTGATATGCATCCTGCCTTCAAGTGTAACTTCATAGACAAACGAATACCTTCGAGTCGGCCTGTCGGTCTGGAGAATAGTACAGGTACAGACCGCAGACCGCATACTTTGAAGGGTGTTTCAGCCCCCTGTTCACACGGACGGAATGGTCCGGGTAACGGCTGGACCGGGGGAGCTTTGAACGCCGCGCCAATGATTGCCGGGAATCGATATGAAAAGTGACAGGGGGAGAGTGACGGATCCTCCCGCTTGGCCGTTAGATGGAGACGTGTTGAACGGTCCACTATGGCCTCGTCCTGGCCCTGGCCTGGGACGTAATCTCGAGATTGGGTTGCATTGGCGACCTCCCGTCAACGGGTATGATGTCAGATGTAACGGCATATGCCTTGTCTTGATCATGTTGGACTGCATCTTGATAGGTCTGTTGTCTGCTTCCTCCTTCCTGCTTCCTTCCTGCGTCCATCGTGCGACACTGCGCCTAATCAGCCGTAGATCAGCAGGGACGGTTCCCAATATCGATCTTGATAAACAGCTTCCTGTTTGAGATTGGCGCGGGAATCCTTTGGTGGTAGCGGTGGTGGGAATATCGCTCGTTGTGGCCCGATCTTGGGATGTTGATATCGAATGATCGGTCGATCCTTGCATCGAGAGTGCATATCGCCAATTTTTTTGGATCACATGCAGTTACACGTACAGTACAAAAAGTCATGTCGATCTCAAGCTTGATAGATCCAGTGATATCTTTTGTGTCAGCCCAAATTTCCTGCATGGGGATCGCTGATGGGATCTTCGGTGCGCTATTGGTTTTGAACGTCAGGTGAGCATGTGGCCGGTGGCCCCAATAATGAATAGCGTTATTTGTGGAGTCAGGGGGTTGTAGCTCGAGGCTTGCTTAAGCTATGAGACACCTTATCTGTTATTATTGCTGGTCTAGCGTACCGGTTGATCGTCCGGAGTCTTGGTCTTCTCCCGCGGCCCTATAGACGGTACAGGCCGCTCTTCGGCCGGATCTTTTGTGTGAGATCAGATGCACTACCTCCGAGATCTACAAGTATGGCCATATTTGGTTAAGACACTGCAAGCTGCTCCAGGCATCAATCTTTATATCTCAAAATAGGGGATGTAGTGGATGCTGGGACAGCATAGCCCCAGAAACAATATATTCGCAAGATAAACACGCTCAAGCGTGATAACCAGAACTTCCAACGGAAGGATCGGTCTACACTTTAATACGGATGATTGACAACTGTTACGGCTGTCATGATTGTCTACTCTCAGGATAGGGGAAAACATTCGGGGTCTTTTGCTGTAAGCATGCGGCAGCTTGGGACAGATACTGACCCATACTTATCTTTAAAACAACATTGAACGAACTTTTTGCTGGGGGTCATTGCTCTTCGGTCTCTTCTCGGTGTTGCTTCGTTCTCTGCTGTCCACGGACTCCGGTTACATTAAAACGCTTCATTGCTAACTCCACTTCATTTCTTAGACATTCAATAATCCGAGCGCTCTGAGTTCTATCCGGGCAATTTCCGAAGTGATGACTTCTATGTTGAACCATGTGGCTTAACCGTTGGAGGTGGAAACCGCATGGACGGCCCCTGTCTTGGGCTGAGATAAGCTCTGATCCTTCAGCTTCACTTCACTAGACCTACTACTCTTCTTCTACCTCAAAGGCCTGTATCACATATTGAAGTAAACAGGAACAAGATCGTCGCGGATCACGAACGTGCCCTGAAACTATAAAAATCTAGACATTCCATTCCATCTTCCTCCTTTCCACTACTTCGACCTAGGTGGAACAAAGAATAAGTTCCTGACAATAGCGTCGAAGAGAGACTGCCCTGGAGATATCTGTTTCCCATGAAATTTGATATTGACGAAGATGCGCTGGAGGCTCGTCGACCTAGCTATCTACAGGGACATTCCTCGGAGCTTTGCGACGACGAACCCGAGAAAGAATACTTGTGGCACCACCGTCGCTAAGAGCATGGTATTCGGGGATATTATCTACTCCTCAGGCTTACGAGTAAGGCTGACAGGCAACAGCAGCATCGCCAAAAATACATATTTCACTGAATGGACCGAAACTGGGGTATGACTTGGGCAACCGATTTGAGTCTCTTCCACGAATGTGTCAAACAACAATGCCACCGCAGCCAGTTGATTTGGAGGTGGTCGCATGCCTAAAAGATATATTCAACTATTTCTGCATCTGGGATTAGTGTTCACATACTGCAGGTGAGATGAATCATTTTTATACACCAAAAAGTATATATGAGACCACTCAGCAAAACTTATGTTTGTCTTCCATTGCTCGACTATTGCTATATCATTCTCGTGTCTTTTCTTCTTGTCTCTTACCAATTCTAAGCATCAATATAATAGCCTTTCTACTGAGTTTATGCACGCAAACACTATGTGCGGCTTCGAATTATCTTGAACTACTAGCCATGAACATTCTCTCTCTCTCTCTCTCTCTCTCTCTCTCTCTCTTCTTTCTCTCTTTCTCATTACAAAATCAAGTTTCACCGATGATAACGGTACCAGCTCCATATGTCTTTCAATAATCCTGATTGTGATAGATGAATGGATTGTAAATGCAAAAAATCCGGTAAACTCCCTGTGGGACTAAAACGCATCCTCGAAACCAAGGGGCGTAGCTTGCTTTGCTAGTCGCGAATGGGATAATGACACAAATATACTCTGGCTCTATGTCCCATCTTAAAAGACAGTCCGTTTCAACAAATAATAGTCATAAGCAACTCACGCTTTACTATCAAGAGATATCCCCTGAGGTAATTCGATAGGTGGTACAAATCCAATTATGACGATGGAGGACCCAATGGCATCTCATTCACACAGCATGTCTTGACCTATGTCTCTCCCGCATAAAGGAATATTTGACTTGCTGATTGGGTCTGATGGAGGTTTCCAGCTTCTTTGGGGACCTTGATTGGGTATCCTGGCTGCCGAAAGTCTCGAGGGCTGCTGTCACATGCTTATAAATCCAATCATTCATTATATTCTATGCAGCTTTGATTATATATTCTTCTCGGATATTTACACCCTTTTGTTCGAGCGACAGATAAATTTTGAGCGCCAAATAACACAAACTACATCTTTCCAACTGAGAATTACCCTCGCTGGATATCATTCAGGTAGGATGTCACCTGCTCGACCAGGATCCGCCGCGGCCTTGCCTGATCACTATCACTCAAAGCATGCGATGCACCAGGAATAACCATACTCCTTGTGTCCCAAATCTGCCGTCCACTGCTATCAGCAGCAGCCTGCCACCTCTTCAGCAGAGCCTCCTTATTCACCCACGGAGGGACAGACTGATCTCGCCCAGAGTACAGTACGAGCATCTTCTGCTTCAACAAGGCCCGCTCCGCAATCATACCAAAAGTCCCCCGGAACTGCTCATCGCTCAAATCGGAACTAAACAAATCATCCTCCGATGGATTCTCCGGACTGTCCGGACTAACCAGACTCAAAAACCGACGACTGCTAACCGGTGCGGAAGGCGGGTATCCAATACGCGAGGTTACAACCAACGGAACAATCGTATCAACCAAATCATGATCCTCATACGTCGCCCGACGCGCATCCGCCACAGCCTTATCATAAATCTCCCGCATCTTTAGCGGGCTATCACGTTCAGTGCCACACTTCACAACCCACAAGATGCCCTCACGATCCGAAACAGGCGCTTGCATAATAGCACCATCAACCTGCTCTCGCAAGATGGGCTTCCAATCGCGGTCGAAGACGGGGTGTGCGGGCCGTGGGTTCGGACAATTAATGTAGTGCATCACGTCCTGACTACCCGTTGAGTGACCCATGATCACCACCTTGCCCGGTCCAAATTGTGGCTCCTTATATCCGCGCACGTAGGAGACGCAATGGGATAGCTCGTCAATGTCTTGGCCTAGTCGGCCCATTCCCCACCCCCGCCTGCGCAGGACAGGCCTAGATTGAAGATGCTCCATTCTGTTGGATCGAGGGCGTTGACTACTTCCTTAAGATAGTCGACTGAGCCGAGGCTGTCTCCTAATCCGCCTACGAAGACTAGCGTATGTGGTTTGCGGATTTGGCTGCGGGTGTATTCGAATGCGACGAGGGTGTCCGTCTGGTCGGGTGTGGCCGGTTAGCTAGGGAGTTTGTTTGGGTGGTTTGCAGGGAGAGGGCTTGTGTACGCAGTGGTGGAGTATTCCAGGTTGGCCTCGGGCCAAAGATAGTTGCTTGATTTGCATTGTGAGGTGTGCGTTGCTTGAAGGGGTAAGATTTGGGAATTTGCGTCAGATCTGATAAGGAGGCATCTGATAAGGCGGTGCAGTGACTTTGCCGATACCGGCTCAAGGCGGCTTATGCTGGCATTATGGCCTGGGAAGTATGAGACCACTTCGTTATACTTATTATGGATTTTTAAGCCCTTTCTCGATCCATATGCCTTACAATTTTATGGCGAGTTGGAGGCTACCAAGAGTAGAGGCGTGGTATAGGAAAGGCGGCATTCCGAGCTAGTAAAAAAACGATTGTCAAAGTACAGAGTACTCAAGGCTAAAGTGATGACTGAGGAGCAATAAATAGCCATGATAGCCTCACAAGTAGTTCCAAAGCTCCGAAATCTTATGTCAATCAACTCCCTTGTGCGGGAACAGTATGCTGCAATGAAGAGCACCTCGATAGCGAAGCAGTGCATCGATCTTGCCGTCGGGGATTTTCACTGGCGCACAATTCAGATCTGCTAGACCTGGGCAGTCAGAATCGTTTGCAGCAAACACGTCTCATGTGGCACTAGATGTTCACAAGTCAAATGTGAAACCGTGCCATAGGTAGTATCATCAGCATGGCCACTATGGCTGCAGGCATAGTGCCGCAAACTAAAGGCAGCAAAGAAAAAAAAAAAAAAAAAAAAAAAAAAAGATCAGACTCAAAGGTGTAAGACCCGAGCACCTTCCCCAAAAGAGACACCAACGACGTAGCCCGGCCAGGTGTAATCTCTTGCTTCTGGCGAGAACGAGAACTGAATGGCACAACCATCATGGCAAGATCATATGGATGTATCCGAGTACAACATCAACTGCAATATAGAAGTAGAGTTGCCGATCAATCCATTCCTAGGCATCAAGATAACCTCGGAGGTTGATAATCAAATCTCCTTGCCAATCGAAATGCCATTGGGAAGGAAGTTACAGTAAGGTCATCCAGAACAACCCACATCCTGCCGGCATGTAGTCAATCGGAAAATCCAATTCCGTTATCGTATCTCCTTTACTCATTTCCACATGTCCAGAGCTGCAGTATTGGGGATCCACTAAGCTTTGAAGAAATGAGGCTATGGGCATCGGCATCCATACTTCTATACTGATGTGTGTTTATACATGTATAGTAACGGTACATGTATACATACCAAGGTTACGATACCGGACAGGTAACTTTCGGAAACGCTCCGCTTATTAAACATATGCCATGCGCCTCCCGCCTCCACATCGTTGCGTAGTGAGCTCCACAGGCTTTGTTGATCTCCATGGCATGTATGTACAGAAAGACGGCATCTGGGAAAACATGAATTCAACCTCAGTTGGGCCAAGTTGTTCAAAAGGACAGGCTTTCTCGCGAAGTGCCCAGAAATTAGAAAGAGCTTAAACTTCTTAGTTCAATAAGGTTTGGGGGCCAGGACACAGTAACAGTTTCGGTAGGTGATCGACGAGTCTAAACCACTTAGACTTGGCGGGACCCACGATTTCACAGGATTTCGGCATCTCAAACTTGCGATAGAATACGAAAATGACCGTATATTTGCCCATACAATGCAGCTGGCTTGATCGACGCCCCAGTTGCCCTGTCCATCAAGCCTCCGGGTTTCAACTCCATCTGCATTCAATTTGCTAATGAGAGCAGCTTGCGAAATCGGTTCCGAAAGGCCCACGGAGTGTTCCGGAATCCAAAAAAGTGGTGCTCCTGACCGGCCGAGCGTTTATCTGATCTTGTATAAGTCGCTGCAAGCCCATTTTGATCTGATTAAAACCTGTTACCTTCCACAGCTTTGAAAAATGACTTCATCCTCCCAACTATTGGCCTCAGCCAAGATTCGCCTGCCTTATCCTTATTTGACCACTTACAATGTGGTTCCCTCCAGCAAAGCTGTTAGCGACCCCAAGTCCTTCCAATTGCGCAAAGCCGACAATGCGCAGGAAGCACAGCCATTCCCCCAGGCTTTGCACAATGATCAGCTCTACTTCACGGCGCCCACCCCCGCAAAGTCAGAGACTGTCCCACCAACCTCCAACAACACCGCCTGGGCTCGCGCGCAAAGAAGTCCCTCAGCAATCGCGCGCTGGGAGAACCAAACTGCGCCTACAGTAGGCCAAATCTGGCTCTACCTTTACACAATCTTCACAGTACAAGAAGAAATCGAGACCTTCCGTCTCCAGCTCCATGGCCCGAATGCAGACGCCGTGGCGCACGCATTGCGCCTATCAATGGTTGCAATTGACCACCCGCGTCCAGTCAGCGCCTCCACAGCCTTCACGCCAACCCCCACTGAAGTCCTTGTTCTCCGCAGCGCCTTCTGGCAAGGATGTGCCTCCCCACTAGGCTCGCAGCCCATCTGGCTTCCATCTTGGAACCCGGCCGCGGCAGTCCCCCACCTCGACTGGACTATGACTTCAACGGAAACAGTGCACAGACGCCACCCGCGCCGTAACCCTAAGCCGACTCCCGGCTCTGTCGTGTACAGTCGCTATATCCCCTTCTTGGATGAGCATTTCTCTCTTGTCGCTTTAGATTATCGCAACCCGGACCACCTCAACCTCTTCCACACTTGGCAGAATGACCCGCGCGTGGCACAGGGCTGGAAAGAGACTGGAAGCCTGGATGAGCACCGCGAGTATCTGCGCCGACAGGATGAAGACCCGCACACGCTGACCGTGCTGGGCCATTTCAATGATACGCCATTCTCGTACTACGAGATCTTCTGGGCGAAGGAGGATAACGTTGGTGCGCACTATTCTTCTGGCAACTTCGATCGCGGTCGTCACACTCTTGTCGGCAATGATGCGTTCCGTGGCCCCCATCGTGTTATGGCTTGGTGGCCCAGTATGATCCACTACTGCTTCCTTGATGATCACCGCACGGAGAATATCATTGGTGAGCCTATGAGCACTAATGATAAGGTGCTCACTTATGATTACACTTTTGGTTTGCATCAGGATCAGCTTATTGATCTGCCTCATAAGCGTGCTAGTTTGGTCAAGACTACTCGTGAGCGGTTCTTCCAGCTTTGTCCATTTAACCAGGTTAGTCCGCACATTGCGGGTACTGGGTTGGGCTTTAAGCCTCGTCTGTAAATTTGGATATGATAGAATGTGAATGGCGTCTATACTAGCTTTAAAATTGATCTCTGCTTTTTCAATTTAATCAAAATTTGTATGTCGAATGTAGAAGTGATATCCCCTTGAAATACTGGGGTTTTGGAGCAACTAGCCAAGAATAAGATATGAGGAATGTGAATGTTAATAGGTCTATATTAAAATTACGCACAAAGGATATATGCAAAGTCTAGATAAAATGTAAGACAATAGCACTCAAACTAATCGCCACCAAATGTCTGACTGAGAACATTGGTACGATAGCTCTCAGAGCGAGTAAACAACTCCTCATGAGTACCAGCATCAACACACAAGCCAGCCTCTATAAGGTAAATGGTGTCAGCCTTGCGAATAGTATGCAGCCTATGCGCAATGGCCAAGACACTAATACCCTTCGACGCAACTTCCAGTCCCTCCTGCAAGAGTTTCTCAGATTCCGCATCGAGGGCACTAGTAGGCTCGTCGAGAATAAGTAGTCTGGGTTTGCGCACAAGAGCTCGTGCAATGGCAAGCCGCTGCTTCTGGCCACCCGATAGCTTGCTTCCATTTGCTCCACAGGGTGTGTCATAGCCCTGAGGGAGGTTGATAATGGTATCGTGGATGTTGGCTAGTTTGCAGGCTTCGATGATCTCCTCGTCTGATACCTCTGCATCGGGGCGGGCGCCTAGGGATACGTTAAAACGCACTGTGCCTTCAAAGAGGATTCCCTCTTGTGGAACCAGAGCAATGTGGTCTCGGAAGGAAATGTCGTCTCGCTTCGTGATGTCTGTTCCGTCCACGAGAATTTCTCCGGAGGTGGGTAGGTACATGCGCTCCACTAGAGAGATGATGGTGGATTTACCAGCGCCTGATGGCCCGACTAGTGCACAAAACTGGCCTGGCCGGACGTGCACATTGAGACCGCGGAGGACGGGGGCATGTGCGCGTGCTGGGTAAGAGAATTTGACGTCTCGGAATTCGACATCTACTCCTCCCTGTGCTTTGGGGGCCAATGACTGGGTCTTTCCTGTAGACTCGACGTCCTTCTCTGTGGAGGTCTCGGGTTCTGGAAGGGTATGAGGCCGGTATTTGGGGCCTGATATCCCAATCTCCAAAATGGACAGTACTCTTGCGACTGCAGCTCGTGCGTTGGAAACTTCTGGAGCAAGTGCGAACATCTGACTCCAAAGCTGGGCGCTGACAAGCAAGGCAAACATGACAATAATAAATTGAGTCTCGCTGTAGGTGCCGTTGAAGATCTGCTTCGATCCCCACCAGAACGCCAGGGCATAGGACAGATTACCAAGGAAATAGGCAAGGCCCAGCCAGAGGTTAGCGTGGAGACTGATAGCAGTGGTCTCTCGGCGAGGACCGTGAAGAGTCCGTCGGAATGCAGCTAGGGTCTCTTCTTCTAGAGACAGCGAGGCAATGGTCTTGATAGAGTTGATAGCCTCAACACTGATACTGACAGATTGATTGAAGGCATTTTCATGACGCTCTTCAAATTGACCAAGGACTCGCAATTGCATAACGCCCGTGCCCAAGAGGAGTGGTACGACAGCAATACACACAAGAGCAATCTTCCAGGCGATGCAAAGAGACATCACGACCGCGACGACGAGGTTGATACAGATCGAGAAGATGGTGCCGATCACTGAGCCGCTAAGGCCTGCAATCAGGTTTCCATCGTTTGTGATATAGCCCAACAAACTGGTAGGGTTACGGTCATCAGATTGATGCCATTGTAGGTCTTGTTCAAACAATGAACGGAATAGCAATACCCGAACATTATAGATCGACTTCTCGGACACCCATCCGAAGCCTACCCAACTGACAATATTGGCGAAGAACTCGATGATGGCAAGAATGAAGAACATCAAACCGAAGAAGTTGCCACGCGAGCGGATGTAATCAGGAGTTTCACAGGGGGTGAGGCTGCCCACAGTGTTACCGAAGATCACTGCCTCGGCGGAGAAGGCAGCGCCGACGATACTCGCGCCAAAGAGAGCAATGAGAGAGAGGAGCAGATATGGGCGCATGATTGGGAACATCCCCTTGCTCAGGTGCCAGAGGGACTTCTTGGCTGGTTTCTTGGCTGCATGCTCCGAGGGGGCAGGAGACAATTCGGGGAGTTGTTCGGTGGTATTGATAGAGACTACTTCCTTACTCTTGAACACCTCGGCCGTGTCTTCGTTGTCATTGACTTGCTCGGTTTCGGTAATATCACTCGAGGGGTTGTCGACTTTAGTGCCCGACGAGTCGTTGTTCAGATTTTGCAGTTTGACGAGACCGGAGTAAGCCCCTTCCTTGGCCATCAGTTCAGCATGGTTTCCTTCTTCAACGAGCTCTCCGTCACGCATCACAATAATCTTGTCGGCGTTCTTGATGGTCGAAAGACGGTGCGCAATTGAGATCATGGTTCTTCCTTTAGAGCAGCGCCCAACAGCTGCAAGAATCTCCCTCTCACTTCGAGAATCGAGGGAGGCCGTAGCTTCGTCGAGAATTAGAACCTTAGGATCTTTGACTAAAGCACGGGCAACTGCGATTCTTTGCTTTTGACCACCGCTCAGTAGGGTACCATTGGAACCGACGATGGTGCCGAGTCCTTCTGAAAGCCCATCGATGAATCGTGTGGCATCGGCAAGGTCAGCTGCATGCTGGACCATCTCGATGATTTTTACCACTTCAGGCCCATGTGCCGAAACAGCTTCACTTGCAGACTGACCACCACGGATTGCAGTAGCCACTTCTCCAAGCTTGGGTCCAATCAATACAGAGTGGAGGGCTTCGTGCTCTGGTGATGCCGAGTTGACCAATCCATGAGCGATGTTCTCCAAAATTGACCGATCAAGCAGTGTCGCTTCTTGCTGAACCATTCCGATACAGCTACGAAGTTGTCGTGTATTAAGGTCGCGTACATCTTGACCATCCAAAAGAATCAATCCCTCGGTGGGATCATACAATCGGAGCATCAAGCTAGCAACAGTGGACTTTCCGCTTCCGGACAGACCAATAATAGCGGTCTGCTTTCCTGGTGGGCATTCCAAAGACACATTGCGGAGAACGGGCTGCTCGGGGCGAGAAGGATAGGTAAAGCCCACGTTTCGGAGCTCAAAGTGTCCGGCGGTCGTGGAAGGCAACGCAAAACCAGAGTCGGACATTCCATTGATTAGGGATTGGTGGTTTATGTCCTTCTTCAACTTTGTGAAAGCAGCTGAAGCAGCACCGAAAATTTGTAGGAACGGTGCAACCTGGCTGAGAACAAGAGTTGCTATGATAGAGATCAGTCCAGAATCACAAGCTTTGTGGCTGTTTGAACTTACCATCAACCAGAATGAAAATTACAGTGAAGATCGATCCCACAGAGGTACCCCCGCCCGAGTTAGTGGCCACTGAAGTGGCAATAGTTCGACTTCCCTGCCAAAATGCCAGAGCGTTGGCAGCGTACGCAATGAAGTACATGAAGCCAGCCTGCACACCTGTTGCAAAAGCTTTTTTCAACCCCTCATTCCTTGCCATACGCAGATGGCCCTCGAATTTGTTTTCAAGTCGATCATTAGCATTGAATGCGTGCACGACGGAAACGTTAGCCAGCCCCTCCGAGGCAACGGAAGAGGCAGCGGCAAAGCAGTCCGACATGGTGCCTGAGTATTTCTCAATGAACCAGCCACCAACAAGCGACATGATAAAGTATGCGGGTACCAGAGAGACAAGGATTCCCGCCAGCTTCGCATCTTTAATGAATGCCACAACATAGGAGGTGACGAAGAAGGAAACACTGGATATACAGATTCCAACTTTCTCAGAGGTTCCTGAGCGAATTGTTGAAATGTCACCGTTCAACCGGGAAGAGACTTCTCCCGAAGGCAAATCATCAAAAAAGGAGGGCTCTTGGCGCAAAAGACTTCGGAAGTACTGTTCACGCAGACGCTGGGCCAGCCGAGCGCCGCCGAGGGACCAACACACCAACTGGATGTACATGAATCCAAATTGGGCAATGGCGAGGTACAAAACATAGAGAATCTTGCTGTTGACTTCGGATTGGTACTGGGCCTGGACTTGGGGGCTGTAGTTGGTTTTGGTTGTGCAGCTTTCCGAGTTGAAGTCATCAATGAGTTGACCAAAGATGATACCCAGGAGAGGGAAAGGAACACCGGAGGCGATGGCGAAGATCAGACCAGTGATGAGGAGGAAAATATCAAATTTGGTCGGGTTGACTTGGGCATAGATCGCGAAGTATCCGAAGACTTTCTTGAGCTGTTCGTGAATAGCGATTTAGCCTTGGATCATGACACTCAGGAGCTGTGTCAAGCTTACCTTTTGGATAAATCTGGAGCCCGCTTCGGGGGGCGTAGAGTCTGTCATGGTGGCTATAAGGTGCCGTGCAGGGCGCCACCAACGTTCAACTCGGTAGTATACTGGCTGGCAGCACTGCCAACATTTGAACACGTTCACGGTTACAGCTGTACTTCAACGATCAACTCAGAAGCTGTCTGCAAGGTAGTTCGGCCCGATACCGGATCATCCCACTGCTTCACGCGTCTAATTAAAAAAAAAATCTGATAAGATCGTCCACTCCACATTGTGATCCAACACTGCCACGGAGCCATATTCCACTGTGGACTTACCCCTGACGTGGGAACTCACCGCGTAATGGAGATAAAAAGATGGAGCCCAGTCCGCCGTCCTGGACAGTATTACGTGCTGTGCCGATCACTTCAAGCTTTTCCTGGCGGCATTCCACGGGCTACGTATTTCCCGAAAGGCTTGTCGATGCTTAACTTGCCGAGACCAACAGCTTGGCATCTGGTCTCTTTTCTTTTGCAGACGTAAAGCTCGATGGTACTTACTTTGATACCAGGGACTCTTATGTCGTTTGATATACACCTCGTAAAGCTGCGAGAATGCCGCCGTTCCACGGTAACGGAGAAAATGTGGAAATCTGGGCTGAACCCAATTTTATCAGATCGACAGTCGGCGTTTCAACACTTGTGGACCCATTCCCGCTCGTATCACTCCTGTAATACATCCATGTACCTGAAAATGGGGCCAGCCGTGCTGAAAGGTCAGGTACATGTATTCAAAAACCGAGGCTTCAAAATCTCTTGCTTGAATTTGATTGCTATATCTCTACTCCTGCGTCTTCCTGAAGTCAAGTAGCAAAAGTCATATTCCTCTCTTGGATTAAGCCCACATACACAGCCATGCAGCCTCAATCATTCAAGCGGCAACCACCGCCACAGATCTACGGTGCTGTGTCTTTTCCTGCTCCACATGTCATGCTGGTCGTGTTCAATCGGCCCAAGGCCCTCAACTCTATGACCAGTGCTGGTCAATACGAACTCGAATCTCTCTTCTCCTGGTATGACAGTGAGCCATCACTTCGCTGCGCAATCATCACAGGAGCTGGCCGTGCCTTCTGTGCCGGCATGGACTTGAAAGAGTGGAACCAGTTGAACGCTCGTCGTGCTCGTGGGGAACTAGAGCAGCAGCCGATGATGCCGCGATCAGGGTTCGGCGCTCTCTCCCGGCGTCATGGAAAAAAGCCTATCATCGGCGCAATTAACGGGTTAGCGTTTGGTGGAGGCATGGAGATCGTCGCAAATTTGGATCTTATCATTGCTGCACGGGGTGCACTCTTTGGCCTTCCAGAGGCTAAGCGAGGTGTGGTTGCAATGGCGGGCTCGCTGCCGAGGTTGGCACGAACAATTGGCCGCCCAAGGGCTACTGAGCTGGCTTTGACAGGGAAGAGTATTACAGCTACGGAAGCAAAGGAGTGGGGCTTGATCAATTCCATCACAGAAGATGCAGCCGCTGACTGCACGGTGGTGGAGCGTCCGGTCGTCAAAGCGGCTTTGGACCTTGCGGCGAGTATCGTGAACAATAGTCCCGACAGTGTGATTATTAGTCGTGCTGGGATCGTTGCTGGTTATGAGGATGGGAGTGCAGAGAATGCTAGCCGTTTATTGAGCGAGCATTGGGAGTCTGCTCTTGACGACGGGGAGAATTTGCATGAAGGTGTACAAGCATTCGCTGAAAAGCGGGCTCCTCGATGGGTTGACAGCAAGCTTTAAAAGTTTGGTCTCATGGACATACTGTAAATATAGCCTTATGATTTGATTTATCGTGATATTTTCAATGCCAAGCCTATCCTACATTCTGAGAGTACTGTACAACAATTTCGTAGTTTTCAACCTATCAATGCCCAGCTTCGCGAAGGGCCGGAATTCAGAATTGAAATTGACGCTCTTTCCATGTGCAGTAGTTCAATCGGTTAGTTAACTAGTGAACCGTCCAGTTTTCTGCAAGCACTAATACAAATCTAATTTCGCTTCGGTTTGCTATTGATGTAAGTGACTGTTGGCTCTTGGCAATTGAGTTGGCACACCGGGAATGCTTGGCTTTGCCTTGTAGGACATGTAACCAAATATGCTACCAACAAGCAGAAGTGTACTGTAGCTGTTACAATGAATGGTCATGTATTACACATACACGAAACACTCCTGGTAATGATGCGGTAACAGAACTAAATACAAGCTTATACCAAGAACCAGTGGACCTTGGCGGGATCGGCAGGTATGGAGTCCTTCTCAGCAACTGAAACTGCGCCTGTTCGTAAAGTCCACATCATTTGGCCCAAGTTCTGTTTATTACTGTAACGCAGTTTCCCGTGGAATTATCCAATTATACCGAGGTTGACGTATGTCCCGCTTCGGTGTAATCCCATTTGACAGCATCGGCCCCTTCAGCCCACTCGGCCACAGCACAGAACGTTGTGCCCTTTGGCTTCGTTCTATGCAGTTTTGCAGTGGCCGGGATTCAAAGGAAGAAATGCACCCACATGTACAGGGTAGTTCAGTGGTCTGTTGACTTCACATGTCACGTATTCAGGAAGCGAGTGGCGCATCCCAAAGCGCCATGGTAATGATCACTTCATTGTGCAGGTTTCATATCTTGTCACTAGTGATTATGGTGGCGGCTCCTTCTGCTCCCATGATTTCGATGGTCTATCTAGCCTGTTTCTAAGGCTTAGGGAGGTTCAAGGGTAAAGTGGTTTATAGAGACATGGTTGTGTTTGTAAAAGCTATAACATAGCCTCATTCGAGGCAATGTAATAGAACAAACATCATGCTATCCTTAAATCAAGGAAAATACAAGGGTCACAAGGTTCGGTACGGTGTCATGAAATATCGGAAAGTCCCTTCCCAAAATCCACAATGCAATTATACCGGTTTTGTCATGGTTTTGTCCTGGCTTGGTCTCTCTTTTTCGCTTCCTCGTCTCTTTTCGAGTACCTTGAGTCAATTACATAGACTAGATGAAGGTAGAGGCTTAAAGAGACTCATAATCTTTGCTATACTAGCAGTCGTGTTAGATAAGGTCATTATATGAAAGACAAAGAAGAACTATCTGGTGTTCAGGTATAATGGTTTAAAATACCAAGTTCACAATACTATATGATGTTTGGGGTTGGACCACTCGCTTACCGTATAACTTGATCCTACATGTATAGAGAAAGATGGCATAACAGAAACACTCCATTCGAAAATCTGGAACTCTTGGCTTCTGCATACGATACGGTTGCAAGGTTCGTTATGCAGTAGTTTCACCTCATACGGGCAGACATTCGTCTTTGGTGTGCCAATGGCTCATACAGGATGATCATTAAAGGCGCTGTGTACATTAAAGGCGCTGTGTACATTACAGTGGCTGGGCTAACCTCCTAAAGAGACATCCTGGCCAGCTGTTAATATGTTAAAATTAGAAGATGAGGTTAAGAGTAAGGTAAGCATTATATAACTTGCTAGCTCTCGAGAAAGCGTAGTCTAGCGTGACTTGGTGCCGCCAAGCCAATCCTGCCTAAGATATGCACCTCTCAACCCTTAAACTTCTATTATTGATGACGATCTACCTACGAAAATACTGCATTTTATTGCATAAGACCTCGATAGCAGAGACATCTATCACCTAGTACTCTTATCACGTCGGTTACATGATGTATTCCATCAAATCGACACCAACGAATCTCATTTGACAACTCCCAATGCGAGAGTATAAATCAGACAGTCACCATCTTCCTATACGCTGTGACTCGAAGCCCAAATCTAGCTAGCTATGTTCGGTCCCTGGATGTCAATTATTGGAATGTGCAAGAGGCCGATGAAGAACGCTATCCCCGGAGATTTAGGTTTGATGACGGTCTTGTACGCAAACTTGTCAGCGAAAGACAGATATTTCGAAGACGGGCTGGCTGAATGGCTGGAAAATTCAAATTTGACAACGGCGGTGGGTGGCTGGGTTTGCTAATTCCACAATTGAAGCAATTGCGGAAACTCAGCCTCACATGGCCGTGGTGCTCACCCTACGTTTTGGATATGTTGCAAAAAGCTGCGATTGAGGAGTAGCCGATATTCATCATTTCGAGAAGGTCTATCTAGCTTAATTCGATTCAGAGGGAGGATTTCCATCCTATCACATGAATCCCATTTTCACATTCCCGTCAGTGCGCAAAGTGGCCTACAACAGGTTCCTAGAGTATGAGAAGGACGAAGAAGACGCTTTTAAGCCTCTGGAGCGGATTTCACTCTCGCCATAGTGCTCTAACATTACCCACATCGACATGGCAGAAATTAATGCGAAGGTGGAAATGCGTGAATGGGTTCAGGCCTGGAAAACACTAAAATCATCCCATGGTGGAAACGACATCTCCTCCAATTACTTTCAAGCACGAGAAATCCACAACCGCTCTTGCTTCAGATGTCGTCACTGGAATGTATCTGGTTTGAGAATGATAGTCGCGGTTACATGCACTACAACGACGAATGGATGGGTATTTCAATGACTTTACTACTTCAAAGTCATTTATGTCTGCTTTCCCAGCCTTGTGGGACTTGATGAGCATAATTTACCCGTGCGAGAACTTCGGCATGTTCTTCCTTTCTTGGAGACACTTCATCTGCCGGGAATTACGAAAGCTTAAATGAGGCTATGGATCAGGTGGCGGAATGGGCTGCCTCGGACAGTTTCCCAAATCTAGCCACGATACATGTTGAATACGAAAGCACCAGGGAGCCGGAGAAAGCTGCAAGGCTTGTAGGAAGCATCAAGAGATCGGTAATTTGGGCCTTACTTATAGCTCCGAAATGTAGGAAGAAAGGGAGAAGCTGAGGATGGAAATACATTGGCCCTTACATCAGGCTAGCCTGCCTGAAAACCAGCCAAGTATATAAGAATCAAAAGAAACCCTGATATCAATAGTCGAAGTACGACAGGGGTCATAAGTCTGTTCACACTGCTAAGGAATATTAGACAAGTTCTTTATATCCTCGAAGTGAGTATGCCTGTTCATACATTATTTGTGTTCTGACTTGGCCTCTCTTTTGTTCACATTTCTTTTGTCCATTTTCAAGTGCCTTTGCTGAGCCATTCAGACAACATAAACCTAGGGTGTGAAAGGGCTTATGGCCGTATTTGAGTACTTGGTTGGATTGCTTTTCACTTGTGTATTAGTCAAATAGTAATCCTAGCTGACCGAAAATGCAATGAACCCAGTTGTTGAGACGTGATAGACATCAAAGAAAGAAAAGACTAGCTAGATCAACCTTGATTTCTTCCTTTCGTAGATCATTCATGAATATTATAATAGATCTTGAGACTTAGAAATTACATATATACATACAGTGGAGCTGCTCACAAGGGCAAGATCTAATGGACCTTACAGGCTCATTTGATCCACCTTGGGTCTAGCAACCACCGAAAGTAATGGACTTCATTCGATCCCAAATCGCCTAGCCACTTCTAGAAAGCCATCAGACTTTATATCGATCCACATATCAACCCATCCCTCAGCCTTGGCTTGTGCAATCTCCTCAGGCGAGCAAGTCTCCTCAAATTCACGCTCAACATAGATAGTCTGGAGCCCACAGCTTTTAGCCCCCTTTAGATCCGTTAAATGGGCCGCGACCATCCCACACTGGCCAGACTGCAAGTCAAACTTCTGAGCCGCCCCTTTATAAACCAATGGCGATGGCTTATAAGCACTAAAATTCTCCGAGCTGGTCAAGTGCGTGAAAGGCAACGAACCATGTCGCTGTAGATCTTGCAGCAAGGACACATTACCATTCGACAGCGTCGAAGTCTGAAACTTCTTATTGAGCTGTGCAAGACCCGGAACACTATCCGGCCAAGGGTCAAGTCGGTGCCAGCTAAAAGCAAGCTCCCACCGTTCCTCATCGGTTAACAGACCATCCAGACCGTGTTTCTGGAGGAGGTCCTGGAGAGCATTAAAGTGGTGTTGATCAACCGACACGAACTCAGTTGATGGATCAAATGTAGCTGTGAAATCGCCGTAAGACTGCCGCCATTGTTCGGCAAATGCTAGCCAGTCGTGCGAGGTCATGGCTGCTGCGCGGTCCCGCACATTGGCTGAGAGGCCCTTGCGGGGAGACTTTACAGCCTGCAGGACGGCTGTGTTCAGCTCTCGGGTGACGCATATGCGCCACTCGACCACCGTGCCGAATGTATCGAAGAATAGCATTTGGGTGGGGTGGGTTGTCGACATTGTGAGGTTGCTTGGATCTGCAAGGCTGTTGATATTCACTATGCTTCCGCCTTGTAGATTCTGTAGGTTGCCGAGCTGCATCTGAATATTCAATTGAGATCCTAGCCAGGTGAGAGTTAAATGAGTCTATTGGAACGTTTCATTGCTCATGATCTATGCTTAGTCACGCCGAGGTTAATCGAACTCGCGGATCTAACAGGCTGATAGTTCTGGCAGAAGTCAATTGTTCAAACGATCAGCCTTGTAAGAGTTTCGAGGGTTGACTTGATTATGACAAGTATGAACTTTATTGTGAGGCTCGTGTTGAGAGTGTTGAAAGTGGAATGTGGACAGTCCACAGTGCGAGAGAGACAAGGGACAACACAACATTCTGCCTCTTCTCTCCACTCCCTCTTTCTCTCTTCTCTGATCTTTCAATCATTTGCGAGTGCACCATGGACAGTTTCATCCTTGACTATCGGCCTAGTTGTCAATTTATCAGACTACTGTACTGTATGCACGATAACCCCACCAAGCCCTCACTAGCGCCCCTGTCAAAAGAAACTCTCGGCATAGAAAATAGACGAGTCTCACCAGACCTGTCAACGTCCAAATCAAAAGTACCGTGATTGCCCCTGAGCAGTGGAGTCACGGCAAGTGGTTCGTGGAGACTCTTCCTCCTTCGCCTGCTCCCCGTTGCTAGTCCGATTGGAAATGGGACTATCTCGGGGGCTTGATACATAGACTCTGGCCAGTCCAGCCACGGACTACACCGGATATTACACCAAGCAGGATTTAGTGCCAATGATTGGCTTGTGGCAATCCCGCTATTTCTCACGTTGCCGTCACATTCAACGTTCGCAGAGTGCCAGGGTGCGACCGGGACTTGCATGAACAATGCAAAATGCAGGCGAGACAACACTGGGACCCCAGCCATTTCAGAGATCCAGACCCTGATTTCGAGCTAAATCCCGCCTCAAAATCGCGTCCCAGACTTCAAACGGGCAGAGTTCGGTTCTCATTTCGGCTGATGTGGATGCTTTTGTTTCCAAGCTCCGGTGGGGACCTCGGACCTGAAGCTCTACCCCTGATCAGCATTGTTTGGGACCATTGTTGCAGTACAATATTGTTTGAGAGAGCAAACGCGTCACAAAGAGGCATGTTCAAATAAGCACTCATCAGATGCAACCTGGATTTCTGAAACACAGACCACAGGCTCTCGAATAAAATTGCCTTAGCCGACCATGACACGCTAGGGCCAGAGAGAACAGTTATTAATATTACTCTCAAACACGCTAACCACCGCTTTCCCCCATGCAGAACGCGCTCCAATTTATTCGATGCACTTGCTTTAGTGCTCCAAAATAAAGGATTCAGAATGGATTCTATTGGACACAATCACGCCTTTGATATTATATTATTTGCCCTTTTTTTTTATTTACTTCGCTGCATACTGAACGCCTTCAGTCCACTTGATATCATCCAACACAATAGGGGGGGGGATCTTCCTTGCACAGCCGCCTCAGAAGCTTTGGAGAGCTTGAGCTACGCGGTTGGGACCCATCCGACGCGCAGTGGAGCATCCAGCCTTCAAACGAACACCTTCCCCATGCCCAAAAAAGAGATGCAATTACTGCAACGTCAGGATCTCGACTCCTTTTCCAATTGCGGACTCGTCACCCTGGCCGCATAACTTGCATCGCGAGATTGCAAGGGCTCCATTTGAATACATTTTAGTCTTTTAACTTTTCTTTGTTTCTTTGTTCTAATTTTCAGAACGTGTTCGGATCCCTGACAGCTCCATTCTCCACCCAAAGACCGTGGCGTTTCCCTTTCCTGTAGACTGTTTTCGATGATCTTTATCTCGCGAACAGGCCTCGACATTGAACGTTCCGAGCGACTATACCTAACCGGCTCAACATCCATGCGCTTCGTGTCTTAGGCAGCTGGCAGTGGAGCATCTATTCGCGGTGGCTAATCGGGTGGGTTTCTTGCTTCCCCATGTCACCCCCTAACGAACACCCCTGTTTTTTTTCTAATGCGCGAAGTCCAGTCCTTGTCTCCTCGCATCCGTACTTCCGACATGCGGCAAGGCTGATCTAGGTAATCAATCGAAGTAGGCGTGACTCGTCTCAGATCGTTGCCGTGTTCGTAAATTTAGTGGCTGTTGAGCGCTCATCACTGTCTCCCCCTCCCCTCCTGTACGGTGATCGCGATCGGCCTTTCTCGAAGACCGCGTCTTTCGGACTGATCTCATTTCTTTCCTCATTCTCCCCGGGATCGGCCACTATCCTGAAAACCAATCTTACTCGTCTCCTAGACGGGTTACTGCTAGATCTGCTCTCGATCTTTGATATCGTACAGTAAGTATGTGTTGGCTCTCCCGTGCATATCCAAATGTACGGCATTGGCTCATCACGCTCAAGCTTGCATTCCACATCTGCATTGTAACCGTGGCTGACCTCTTCGTTCCACAGAGTTCTACAAGGTCCCACGTTGAATAATCCCCTCATCTCGAGTCTCGCGGACTGGTCAATAGCAACAGTGGAACATTGAGTGGAGGCAATATCATACAAACAACATCGACGGTTATCACTCGGATGGTCGAACTACGGTAGGCTGTGGGATCCGGTGCGTAACGTGCTCTGGTTAGCACAGGGAATCGCGAAGCCCGGGTTATGGTTTGAAGCCAGTACATGAAAGAGATGGCCACAGACTTGCAGTCCCCGGCCTCAATGGTCCACCCATCGCCGGCACCATCCCGACCTCGTGCTATATCGAAACCGAGATCGAGATCGAAACCGTCTTTGCGCCGGCGAGATTCCTCCCCACCACCTTCCTCCCCACCTGGCCTGCCGACGCCTGCATTCTCGCCGGATGGACATAGCGGACAAAGTGACGATGATGATATTGTTGAAGATACATTGTCGCCCTTTGATCCGCGCAGGATCACCCCCACTCTCCATGCATCGCTTGTATCAGAGATTCTTTCGTTGCGACGCGATATAGAAAACAAAACTAAGGCAATTGACGTATTGGAAGAGAGCTTGGACGAGACAAGGACGGAAAATGAAACATTAACCGCGAATTTGTCGCAAGTGACTCGGGATGGACGTTCTTTGAAACACCAAATCCAATTACTAGAAGGAGGGACATCATCTGCGCTCACGGAGCTTGCCCGCGAGCGCGATGAAGCGGTCGAGAACATCAGCGATGTTCGCAAGAAGCTCGAGCAGGTGCAGAAGAAGGCTCGCAGCCGGCAAGAGGAGGTCGAGCGAACACAATCATTATACGCGCGCGATCAAGAGGCCTGGGCGGGTGAACGCCGAGCTCTGGAGCACAAGATCCACGTGGTGGAGGGTCGGTTGAAGAGTGTCTTGAATGAAGTCGCAGCCGCCCAGGAAGCGGGAACCCTCCATTCTCACCCGAGCGAGAACGGTGACCTCGCTCACGATAAGACCAAAGGAAGCGACACAGCTAGCATCGCGACTAGTAGCCTGGGCCGTCGGCGCACGAGTGTAACCTCCGTGAGCTCCGGCGAGGGTGAAGAAGTGGCCAATTATCACAATGTGCGGTACTCTGTGATGAGTATGGCGCATGGTGCCAAGAACAATTCCGGCTTGAATCTGGCGGAGGAATTGGCATTTGATGAAGAGGACGACTTTGTCCAGTCTGATGAGGACGACAGACCCGCCTCCCCCGAGGCTTTGCCTGAGGAACGCCCAGCATCAGTTCACTCACAGGCATCATATACTGTGGCTTCAAAGGCAAGGAGGATTCTGGGTCTTTCCCTTCAAAGCTCAGATTCTACCAATGGCGCGGAGTTTCGTGCTCGGGAACTTAGTAGTCCCAAAAGGTTGAATGAGATCGCAGTGGAATATCGCGATACGGGCATTCAGTACTCGCCTCCGCCCTCACCTCCGGTGTTGCCCAAATTCGAGGTGAACGATATTCCTGAGTCCATGGAAGCATTTTCGGGGCCGAACGACGACAGTGTGAACATGCCTGAAATGAAGGACAGTTCCACTCTCACAATCGCTACTGAAATGGTCTCTACATCTTGTCAAACCATGGGGGAATTGCCCAGTCCTCCTTGGACACCCAAGGTGGCAGACTCGCCGCCACAATCCGTCGAATCTAGCCCACAGCCAGTGCAAATGGCATCGTCATCTACCCAGACCGATACTGCCTCGGAGCCAGATGTCCGCCAGAAGCGTCTCAGCTTGTCACCAAACGATGTTCCATCTCAGATGGACATCCCAATGATCGCCATTCACCCGCCTGGCTCAGAGCCTCCTTCGCCTCGAAACAGTGTCGTTCTCCCACCGCAAACCAAGAACGTGTCTTGTCAAGTCAACTTCCGCCCAGTTGTGGAAAGTCGATCCGTTTCCATTCAAACAGAGGGGATTCGAATCGACCAACGCCCAGTCAAGCTGCCCGCGAGTCTTCTTCCATCTGCTATTTCAGATGTTCTGCCTCGCCCCGAAACCTGGGATTCCAGCATCGAGGCATACCCTGTTCCTCCAATTCCACCACGATCCGCTAAGCGAAACCAGAGGGCTTTGGCAGCAGATCGCCCTGTGAAACCTCCAAGAGCATCCGTATCGGATCATGTGCAAGCTTACCCAGGCCATAATAATGATAATGGTCCACTTTCAGAGGATGCTGTGTCCGGAATCCGACGACCGTTCCGATCTAGCAGTCTCTTTGCTGGCTTTGACTACAATAGTGAAGATGAGGGTCACCATATAGATCGTGACGTCTTCACTGACGATGAGCTCCTCAACCGCCCATTCGCTGCATACACTGTCAGCCGCGGCAAACTTGTCAATGCCAAGTCAAGGCCTAGCTTGGACGATATGGCTCTCCCTGAAATTGACGAGCAGCTATCAGACCCTGACTCCAGGCCGCCTGACATCAGCCGGGAACCTTCTCGGGTTACCCGACAATCTAGCACGACCACATCTAGTAGTCGCCAACCGGGCATGCGCAGGATAGCAATGATCTCTAATGGTACTGCTGCGCACCAGAAGATCCGCTCTCGCAGTCCCAGCGAGCCAAGTGTTGACAGCGGCAGCGTAACTTCAAGCATTGCGCCGCCATTCCCAGTTCCTATTCGCTTGAGTTCACGCAAAGTTCCGCTCAACGGCAGCGACGGGCCTCCAAGTCCGACTCGCTCAGCTGGTAGGCAATTCTCCGACCGGGGTCGCCAATCCCTCGCCCGGCGACCTACCCTCCGCCGAGTCCGTTCCGCGGCTGCGATGTCACAGTCGGACCTCGCAGAGCAGCCCGAGACCAGATCTTCTCCAACACGATCAATTTCCTCCTTTACTCCTGACAGCCCGCCGTACCGACCTCCGCCTATGCCGTCTGATGATATCACGGCACCCCGTGAGCGGCACGCAACTCACAGACGCACCTCTCATCGTACGATTCCCTCTAACAACTGGAGTACCCATGAGCGACAGGAACATGAGAGAAAAGATTCTATTGGTGGAGTTCAGCCCACCAGTGTTGTTGATGCCATTGCCCAGACCATGGTCGGTGAATGGATGTTCAAATACGTCCGTCGACGCAAGTCTTTCGGAATGGGCGAGTCCAAGGATAATTGGGAAGGCAAGAATCCCGATGAGGTATCGGCGAACATCACGAACAGTGGAGTGCGACATAAGAGATGGGTTTGGCTTGCACCGTATGAAGGCTCCATTATGTGGAGTAGCAAACAGCCCACCAGCGGGCCTGCCTTGCTGGGCAAGAGTGGCCGAAAGTGTCAGTTCACATATCTGATCATTCGACTTGAACCGTGCTAACTTGTCCTCGCAGTCACCATCCAATCAGTACTAGATGTCAAGGATGACAATCCCATGCCAAAGAGCACCGGTTCTACCACTCCATTCAACCGCTCCATCCTGGTCTTGACACCCCAGCGAGCTCTCAAGTTCACAGCTCTGACCATCGAACGACACTATGTCTGGCTGACAGCGCTATCCTTCCTAAGCCATTCCTCAATGGGCCTGCAGGAGCTAGCAGTCCTCCCTCCTATCCCGCAACAAGAAGGATCAGCAACACCACCAACAGCCGCGCTCCGCAGAAATCCAATCCGTGACTCTATCCGCGTCGCAAAGGGTCGGCCCCGTCCCATGCCAAAGGGCAAACGCTCCTTCAACAGCGCCGGCGCACCGGAACCAGTCCCTGAAGTCCCAGGCGGCAGCATCGACCTCGCCGCCGACGCACCACACGTCCCCCGATTCTCTCACAACCGCAAGCGCAGTAACACCGCACCCCGCCCTCCAGCCTTGCACACTCTCCGCAGTTTCTCCAGTCAAGGCACTATGCCTTCATCCCATAGCGGGACAACAGTCGGCTCCCCAGAAGTCTATCTCCCACCCATGCCCCCCCCAAGTCTGCCTCCAGGCATCGGGAGCCGTCGCAGCAGTGTCAGTCGCCGGACCTCCGAGGCCAGCGGTCGTGCCTCTAGTACCGGACAGAGTAACATGTTTGACATGGGCACTGTCCGGATGGAGGCCTTTATCGATCACCACGCGGAACAGATTAATCGGCCGCCGCCGCGCCAGCGTCCGCGCCATGTTCGCCAGACTTCTAGTCAGTGGAGTCAGGCCCGCTATGACTTTGATGCGCCTTCTATCAACGACAGCGAGATGTCTTTCCGGCCTGATGATCCATTTCGGGGATTCTAGGGTTTGGCGCTCCACATAATCTTTACCTTCTTTCTTTTCCCCCTTTTTTCTACCTTATACCTATTCTTTCCCTTACTTGTCTTATATCTAGTGTCTGTTACTCTATCCCCTTCTTTTACTAAATCACTCTTATTGGCGCAGGTCGATCGCCACATCTTCTCTGCGGCTTGTCTGTCGCTGGACATACATCATATCCTGTTGTCACTGCCATATACGCCTCACTTTCTCTCTACTTGTCATCTACCTCATACTTGTCTTTCTGCATCTTCCATCGCGATTTACCATCTGCCTTTTACTCACCATTTGTCGCTTTCGAGTTGATACCACTTTGATTTGACCGGATACCAATTCTCGTGCAGCGCGGGAAAGAAAGGCGTTCTTGTTTTTGTTCTTATTCTTGTTCTTGTTGAGATCTCATCCATAGCCATAGCCATTCGCTAAATCCTGGATTCTGTCCCAGATACATAGGATAATGTATATGGTTTTGCATGACCATAACCTTGAGAGACCTCGAAATCGCGGGTATATTTCGCTAGTAGAGTAAATACAGATCTGGCTTGCCACCAGGGCCAGAGCGTATGCGAGCACAACATGAGCCCAGTGGACTGATGTTGATACCCCCATCCCAATGACCATCATCTATCATTTCCATAGTGCAGGTTGCACATTGTATAATATTTCCAGGATGGTATTCACAGCTTCGCGGCTTCCTTGACCTCGCCGACCTTCAGCTTGGGCGAGTACTTCTTCAGTACGGATTCGTTGTGGTACTATTAATGGTGCGTGTTAGCATGTGTTGTTTCAATAACAGACGACTCGGCCGATTGCCGATCCGAGTGTATACGGGGAAAGCAACGGGAAGGATAACGGGAAGGATAGAATCAGGATTATAATTCTGAGAGGGGTTGTATATAGCTTACCTTCCAGAACTGCTTTGAAGCATCCTTGCCCGCTACGCGCTTGAGGATCTTCGCACCGCCGGGGTGCTCGTCGATGAAGTTGGTTACATCGTAGACATTGCTATCGACGATGATGTAGAGGCCTTTGTCGGCAGTGTTGTGGGCGGCAACGTCGGCGGGAGTGAATGATTGAGACATGATGTGAGTGTGAAGAGAGAAAGAGAAGAAAAGAACGTGACGTATAAAATCCGGGGGGAAAGCGGAGAAACCGAGGTTGAGTTGTTTGCCGCGGTTGGAATTAGGTCAGCTGTGATTGGTCATGCTTCTGGTGCCTGAGGCTCATGTTTATACTTCATGCAACGCCTGTCTGTTCATAGTGCCCAGTATTAGACAAGTTCTTTACATACTCGAAGTGAGTATGCCATCTCAGGTATTATTTCTGTTCTAAGTTGGCTTCTCTTTTTCAACTGCTTTTTTACCTCTTTTTTGCAAGTGCCTTCGATAAGCCATTCAGATCATATCAACGTGGAAGGGTGAAAGGACTTATTGCCACTGTTGTATTGCAAGTTGATATATCAAACATACAGCCCAAGCAAAGATCAAATCAAAGACTCAATCTACATTTACTCTCGACTCTTCTCTCCAACAGCTCCTTGTCCCTTGCCCATCTTCTTCTCCAATCCCAAACTCTCCAAATCCTTCTTCTTATAATAATGCGGTGCAACCTCAACCAGCCACTCTGCCTGTAACGGCATATTACTGCGCATGTACTCTTTACTGGTAAGTACCAGCTCAAAGTAGATCACCCAGCGTGGGTTCACCTCCATCAGCGTACTAGATGGATGCAAGTACACTGACTGTCCGTTCTTGATAGTCCTATAGCTATCACCACCGCGCTGGAGTCGTGCTGCGTTGGGGAAGAAGCCAGCTGTGATAGCCTTTTGAATGGGTTGGATGTTGGTAGAGCCGCAGGTGCTGACAGTCACTTCGACACGGTCACAAAGTTTCGCTAATTGATCGCGTACGTCGCGTGCTCGTGTCAGACTACGCTGCTGGAGGAAGTTTTCTTTGGCCCAGATGAAACTGAAGTCTGAGTCGACCCATTGGTTCCAAATGTTCAGAAGGGTGAGGTGGTCACCGCCCTCCTTAATGGTGAAGCGGTTGCGTGCGCTGTCGGCGTGGATCTTCTTGTCCTTGGGTCGGAAGAACAGCGCGCTGGACTCGCCCAACATTGCAATAATCGAGAGGACCTCTTCGACGCACCCGTACTTGTCGGATGCAAGAATTGCCTTGGCGAGCATTGGATCTGTGGGGAACTCGGCCATTTGGCGACCAACCTTGGTCAGGTCGCCTCGGTCGTTGAGTGCTCCAAGTGCATACAGCATCTCCAGTGCTCGAATGATCGTCTCGGCAGGTGGCGGGTCCATGAAATCGAAATCGAGCAGTTGGTCAATACCAAGTGACTTGAGCATGAGAATCACTCCGTTCAAATTGGTACGTTGGATCTCTGGGGTGGTGTTCTCCTCCAGTTCGTTATAGTACGCCCATTTGGTGTAGAGACGGAAGCATTTGCCTGGTCCAACACGTCCTGCGCGACCAGCACGCTGGTTGGCTGAGGCCCGCGAACATGGTGTGACCACCAAGCTCTCCATGCCCGTGCGTGGGTTGAAAACGTTCTCCTTAACGAAGCCAGGATCAATCACATAGACAATACCATCGATAGTTAAACTGGTCTCGGCGATGTTGGTGGCAAGTACCACTTTCCGCGCCTTGGGTGGAGTAGGCTCGAAAATTTTAGTCTGTAGCTCTGATGGCAGGTTGGCATAGATAGGAGCAATAATCATTTCCGGTATTTTGCTCCCCAGTTTTCGAGCGGTTTCTTGTAAACTTTGTTCAGCTGCCTCGATTTCCTCTTGACCCGTCAGGAACACAAGAATGTCTCCTGGGCCTTGAGTAACGTGGATTTGGAACACTGTAGTGATAGCCGCGGCGAGGTAATTGGCTTCTGGCTGCGAAGTGTAGTGCACGTCGACTGGATATCGACGACCGGGAATGTTGAAAATAGGCGCATCATCAAAATACTTTTGGAACTTCTGGGCGTCCATCGTCGCCGAGGAAATCAGCAGCTTCAGATCTGGTCGTGCCTTGGCGATATCCTTGAGCAGACCACAAGCAATATCTGTAGGTACAGTCCGTTCGTGAGCCTCGTCAATCATCAGGGCGGAGTATTGGCTCAAATCCGGCTCAGTCAACAGTTCTCGCAGTAACATTCCATCAGTCATATACTTCAAAATTGTCTTGTCACTCGTGTTATCCTCGAATCGAATAGCATATCCGACCTCGTTTCCGATCTTCGTGCCCATTTCCTCGGCCACGCGAGCTGCAACACTCATGGCAGCCACTCGACGGGGTTGTGTACAGCCAATCTTCAAGCCATCCTTCGTATATCCAGCCTCGTGGAGATACTGTGGGATCTGAGTTGTCTTTCCAGAGCCCGTTTCACCAACAATAATCAGAACCTGGTGGTCCTGCACAGCCTGGATGATCTGATCGCGAAACTGATAGATTGGCAGACTCTTGCGGGTTTCCTCCATCGACAGTGCCTTTTTCTCTGCTTCATCCACCTGCTCCTTGAACCGCAGCTGTTCCTTTGTCATTGGCTTCTGCGTGCCCTCAAGCTTCGCATCCATAACAAAGCTGATCTGCTGCGAATCGTCGAAGACATATTCATAGTCTCCCTCATCAACAAATTCAGCCTTCTTGATCTGTGCTTTGGCTTTGGCCGACTGCTCCAACTCCCATTCCTCGTGCTCGGTGACATGCCGCTCCTGACCCAGTTCATCGCGCTCAACGTACCGCTTGTAAAGAGCGTCCTCCTTCTTCTTTCGATCAATCTTGCCCTTCTCGGTGATGTAATCGTCGGGCATCATGTATCCATCGCGATGGTCATCGATCCGGAGCCGTTCCTCGGCAATACGAAGAACCTCGCGGTTGCGCGCAAACTCCTCCTTCTCCTTTCGAGAGAGATTGGGGTTCTCACGCAGCTCTGCGGCTTCCTCTACGACCTGTCGTCGTAGTAGCGCCAATCGCTCGGTCTCACGCTTCTTCAAGTACTCCTGTCGAGATCTCTCGCGCAGATCTGGCATCATCTCAGCCCGCGCCTTAGCATCGTCGCCCAGCGCACGTCGACGTGCAGCCTCGCCATCGCGCGTTCGGTCTTCAACAATCTTCTTTGATTTGCTGTCATCTTTGTTGGCCAATCGCTTCGCGAATTCGTCTCGTTCACGAAGGTCTTTCTGGCGATCGATTTCCTCTTGAGTCCGGGGGTCGACATCTTCGGTGGGAGAAGTAGGGCGAGGGGAAGCAGAGCCATCGTCGAGTCGTGTACGCTTCGGAGCAGATTCTTCAAATTCTTCTTCGGGGTACGTCTCATCTTCCGGGATTTCCTCGTCACCCCATCGGTCCTCAAAGTCATCCTCCTTCTTACGCAACTTCTTCGTGCGCGGCCGATCACGACTCTCTGCGTCTCGACTACGGTCTCGCTTCCGGCTGTCGTCCTTGTCTGCGCGACTCCGTTCAGAGTCTCGCTTCCCCCTGCTCCTTTCGTGGTCATTGTCCCTATCTCGGTCCCGTCTCCTCCGTCGCTCCCGATCTGCCTCGACATTCGTAGGTCCTAGAGAAGCGGCCGTATCTGGCTGATCTTCGGCCATATCCAACATACGGTACTTCTTTTTCGAGGATTCCTTGGAAGCTGCGGGCTTGGAGGACGACGCGCTGGGCTGTGCGCCCTTGCCCAGGCGGCCATGGAGCTCTCGAGCGAACGCACCGATATCAGATGAGCTAGTTTCCGGGCTGTCGAGGAATGATACAAGTGTGTCTTGGAGGGAGGAGGGTGATTTCGATGAGCTGGCGGTCGCGAGGACAAAATCGATGACGGTCGGGTCCGACGCGCCAGTCAGACGGATAAGGGAGTCTGAGACAAAGGTTTTGTTGTCCATGATGTGCGATCTCGTCTTCAAGTCGTTTTGTAGCAAATTGGAGTAGCTTGGCTCCGGCGGGGAGCTGGGTCGTGTAGGTGCAGGTAAGGTGTAGTGTCGTCAATCCGGCTTAGGCGCAGCGGCGCATGATGCCGGGCACGTAGTAATGCGACAGGACAAGCCCAGGGCTTGCAATGATAATGTAGAGTAGCGGGTGGGATAAAGAGGAAAGGTCGTTTCAATGAAGTTAAGCGTTCGATTCGGAGAAGTCTGCGGCCGCCAAGAAAGTCTGTGGCAATCCAACCCCGAAATATATCTTGACTAAATATAAACAGTGAACACTGCAGTTTTTACCGTAACTTGACATATATCATAAAAGACATATCAGAAATGTCGATTAAGCCCATCGCAAGTAAGCCAGCTTCTTATATTTACACAATAACCAGTACAAGGAGACTAATCAAACACATACAGATTAAATCATGCATGTACAATGCTAATGTTGAAGCACAAGACTAAAGTATTTCCCAAAATTCTATCTACTCATTTAAACAGCAAGTAGCTACAACCGAGGGAAGGAAGAATGCACAGTCAGACATGAGAGGTCCTTCCAATTCATAATTCCACAAGCTCTAGACATTGAAGGTAGCCAAACGGACTAAACAAAAAGAGATTGCGCTTAGACAGGGCGAGGGTCATCAAGGTCGTTGAATGAGCAAAGGACACACAAAAACAAACAAACATGGCAGTGATGTTTCCAGTCAACCAGGTTGATATCAGATCTAGATCAACACAAAGAACAAAACTACAAGTGGAATACGACAGAGATCGGAACAGTCAAAAGACCCACATCTCCAGAGTGAACAGTGGACACCTTGTGATTATTGGTACATTTTCTGGCATCTCGCAATGCTAGCTATGAATCGTACAAAGGAAAAAAGATCATTCGTCAAACGAATGGAGAAAAGTACTCCAACGCTGAAAAAATCAGGGGTAAACACCCTTCAAACTCCACCGCGTCATGAACGTTCGTGCAAACTGCCCTGGGTAGCGCTGCTAGACCCCAATTCATATCCAAGGATCAGAAACGCCCCAAGTTCCAGCCCGCAAAATGAGAAAACCCCCAGAGCTTCGCCCATGAAGCCGGGGGTTGGAGGAGGGTAAAGTCGTGTCGTGAAAACATGGCATCAAAGATAGGAAGAAACAAATGCTCCGAGTGTGCGGTCGAACGCCGAAAAACGAGGTGACAAAGGAAACAAAGAAAGGGGAATAAAGCATGGAACACCTCCATATGCACAAGGGTTGTAAGGGTGATAAATTACACATCGATCATTTCGGCATCTTCGGCCAAGATCTCGTCAGCGGGACCCCAGTTACCCTCAAAGACGGTGGCGCCTGCGCGGCGTCGTTGGTTAATAAATTGCACTCCGTAGGTCTCCAGGATTTGGTCGGCCGTGGGACGGTGCTGAGGCTCAGGGGTGATCATCCAGCGGACGATCCCGTCCAGAGCTTGTGGGTGATTTGCATCGACCATGAAAGTAGGCGGGTCGACCAGCTCACCACTGCGTGCAAGTCGCTGTGGCTTGGGCTGGTTCAATTGACGACTTGTCAGGAAATCGTCGTCAAATTCGTGGTCACCAAGATCCGACGTACAAAGCTCCTCGAAGGAGGAACCGTCGGAAATAGGGTTGCCAGTTGCATCACGGAAGATGCTGGTGGTCTCCGTGCTCCAAGTCAGGCTGGGGACATCACTAATGTCTCCATTTCGGAGCTTCTGCCAGGATACTCCGTTGTCAGGGAGTTCAACATTTCCGGCAATCTCGAACATGATCAGACCAAGTGAGAAAATATCGGCGGGCTTGTCGTAGCGGCCCATAAGAATCTCGGGTCCAATGTACTCGCGGTCACCTTCACCTTCGATGCCCTCCTCTGCAGGCCAACGTGCGGCCATGCCAAAGTCGCCAATCTTCAAAGTACCTTCAAAGGTGACCAGAATGTTGGCAGGCTTGAGGTCAAGGTGAATAAAACCCTCGTCATGGATCTGCTTCAGACCCAGTGACAGTTCAAGTAAAATCTTCCAAATACGAAAGTCATCAAGTCGGGCCTTGAGTCCGGCTTGAGCCAAGAAACCATCGAGACTGCCCTCCTCACAAAACTCTGTTTGAATGTAGAGATGACCATTGTTTTCCCAGCTGTCCATGAAGGAAACGACGTGATCACAGTTGGTCAATGTCTTGAGAACGTCCACTTCGCGAATACGACGTTCACGATCCTTCAACCCGAGATATGGCTGCTTGCTCTTCTTGACAGCCCATACCTGGTGTGGGATAGAACTGGGAGACTTTGGCTCGCTTGATGGAAGAGAGAATACAGAAGGGAAAGAGGCATCGTGGGGCTGTGCGACGCGATACACCTGAGAAAATTCACCAGTGCCGATAAGCTCGACGCTGTCGAAGCGGGAGCTTAAACTCGAATCTACATCCGGCGCATGATAGCCGCTAATTTGCAGACTGGGACGTCGGAGTGATGACCAAGAGTCGCGGGGGCCAGTGGGTGTAGCAGGGAGTTCGTGCTCTAGCTGCACAGACTGGTCATTGGGCACAGAAATCGATAAGCCACTGGGGTCAGGAGGGAAGAATTGGTCGCGAGGGGTGTGAGGTGATGCCTGGAGGAACTTCTCGCGTAGCGGACTGGCAGTTTCAGACAGTCGCTCTAAGGAAGGAATTTGGGAGGTGGTTGGAGGGTAGGTGCGAGAGGGCAGGAAAGGTTGCTTGGTGGGAGTAGGAGGGAAGTCGGAGTCGTTGAGCGGTTGGCTGTCATGCCGGGAAGAGGGCGATTGAGCCACAAGATCGTCGCCATCAATGCTGACGAAGCTTCCCCGGCGCGAGGCCTCCGGGCGGTTGAAGCTGTTACCAAAGATGCCCATGCCTCGAGCAAAGGGTCCTCCCTTGGGACGCGAGGTGGTGGGAGGGTTGAATGGTGAGGCGGAGACAGAATCGGACTGGTGAACCAGACGAGACTTGTCAAAAAGTCGGTCTGTCGGATTGGCGCCAGCTGCAAACATGTTGACAGGTCGTTTGCATGGTGTATCGGGCATACTCTTGTTAAAACCAGGACCATTCTCCTCAGCATTGCGGTTCTTCTTAGAGATAAGTCCGGTTGACATGAATGCCGCTGGCAACGGCTTGACCAACTTGTAGTTCTCCGGGGTAGCAAAGTTCTCCGATGAATCCTCTCGTGTGATCCGGCGCACGGGAGCTGGGCGAGTAGCTCCGGCGGGTAGAGACTTAGAGAAGTTGAACATCGGTCGAGGGTTGTGAACGGGTTCATGTGTAGGCGAATCATCGAGACTTGACCCCGAAGAGGATTGGGTGATAGTGCGAGAAAGAGGATGAGCAGCAGGCCGAGAAGGTTGAGTAGTGGTGGTATTAGCGGGTGGGTTAGGTGCGAAGAGAGGGCTGGCTGGTGGCCGAGGGGAGAAAATGTTCTCGCTGCCTGGCTGGAATAGGCTGCTATCAAAAGAGTTGCGAGGCCTTACAGTCAATGGGGTACCAGCTGGCGATGCTTCAGGTGAATCACCCAATGCCCTTGGTCGTCCAAAGAGAGGACGCTCGCCCCGTTGCTGCAGGGTGGAGCGGCGTAGAGAAGATGAGCGCTTAGGAATTGTTGCGAAAGGACTGTGGGGTTGGACTGGCGTGGGGAACGACGGAATATCATTTCCTGGAGATCCACATGGGGTGGTATTCTCATCCTCGTCATTATCGTTATCAAAAATACTGAAATCAGTGGAGAAGGTCGGCGTGTGTACACTACGCCGTTTCGCAGAGGGGCTGCCTCGCGATGCCTGGTCCAAGTTCATGATTCCGTCGCTGCGCTTCAAAGGACTGCCAGTTGCGATGGCCCCGAAAGTCCCACTTCGTCGCTTCTCAATACGCGACAATGTTGATCGCGGCGCAAATGTCGTTTCCCCCTGAGGAGCCGAGGGAGTGTTGATAAAACAAGGACTGTCTGGGGTGGTGCTTTCTGGCACAAGATCGTCAAGCGTCAGAGCATTTTCATCACCGGGCACCATGATCGGTTGAGCTGGAGTCGCGTTGCCGCCGTCTGTTGACACGCTAAGAACGCGCTTTGGCGGACTGCGGGGTGACGTGCGGCGACGCATAGCCGGCCGAGAGATTTTCGCACTAGGAGGGTAAGGTACAGCGAGAGGAGACTGATGCGAAGATGGAAAAAGAACAAAATTGTTCTGAGAGGCGCGGCGTGATGGTGACAAGGGAGAGGAAATGTAGGCGGATTTGGAGGGAGACTGAGTGCGCGTGTTGAGGAAGAAGTTGGAGCTTTTGGACGGAGAACGCGACAGCGAGCGCCTCAGTTGACGAATGGCAGAGCTGGCATCGACATGGTGAATCCCCGAGTGTGGCAGATGAAGTGTGCCGCCCGAGTCCCGGTGCGGCGAGAAGGTTGCAACCATGATCGGGGGGAATGTGTCCACGACGTGCCGCGCAACAAGAATAGAATATCGAAGGGCGTCGCGATTCTCTCACTTATTTCCCTCCAGACAAGAGTCTCGGAAGAATTAACTCCAAGTAAGATCAGATGAAAGTGACTCGAGACCGAAGACTCACGTCAACTCCCAAAAAAAGAGAAGTATTCAGTTTGAGTCAAGGACGAGGAAGGCACGCGCTTGGAATGCTGAGGAAGGCGCAAGTGGCAACACGTATCGAAAGGGCTGACCAAGTCACCCACTCATTGCACCTGAGGAATTCACTGTTGACCCTCCCATGCGCCTACGCGGGGAGAGGGCGCAAAACACAACACGCGTGAGATGTTTCACTTTTATGTTCCTACACTTTTCGCGAGTCCCGGAATGTTTCAGAGACACACATTCGCGTGATTAGGGCGATGTTGGTGGTTTTGGTCCCAAAAGGTGTAAGGAAGGGGGGGAGGGGGGTCCCGCGATAGTTATGCTCCACGAGGGCGAAGGGCGAGAGGAGGGGTGGATTGGACAGAGTTGATGGCCCAGAAGTTGTGGTATGTGAGGTGAGAGCAAGTAAATGAAACCCAAAGTCGAAGGGCCACGGCGTTGTCTGAAGGAGTGACAATATAGGGAGGGAATAAAGTGAAGAATGCTTAATGGAAGGCTGGTCTCATTAACGCGGAGTCGCGTTGTTGATCGTCGATGCCCAAAGTGGATTAGGGTGACGCGTGAATCGTGACATAAACAAATACTTAGGTAAGCATGCAAAACAGATCTATACAACCTCACTTCTTGCTTTTTATATCCAGTCTGGTTCTGAATACCTCTGGGGTTTATAGGTTACCTCTGTATTTGCTTCTTTTTCTCTTCTTTTTCATGCATAGCTCGGATCCCCGGTCCCAAAACTCAAGAGGTTATGCGCGTAAATTCGCACGGCCCCTGCAGAGACTGAACGCCACAATCCATATACCCCGTAGCACTATTTCTCATGTTTATTTCCCGCTGTACATTGGGGCACTGCGTATCCCCGAGTACACAGAGTTTCAGACTGGTATAGACCACGCGAATCATCGCCCTTGCATGACGGGCTGCCCATGAGCCCACTCACATGCCTTGAATTCCTCAATCTGATTGATCAGGCTCTATTCTGGGACCCGGAATGAGAAAAGTCTGCCCACCGGGTGGTGTCCGAGTGGATGGGCTAACTGTGGAGGCGCATAGTTCAAAGTTTGTATGGGATGCTCATGGCTATACCGTAGTTGTACTGTGTACAGTACCACGTACCCTATACCCCATTAGTTCCTCTCCTATACTCCGTAGTTCTCCCTTTTTGTGGTACAATGTACATTTCCTACACAATGTCCTTGTACCTGTGTGTTCCTGGCCCGGGATCTGCCCGTCCCGTTCGTGGGTCCCGCCGTCAGTTGTCAAATCAGGACTTCACTTCCATACAAACTCGATACATAGATTTCTAAAGCCACAACATACGCATCGATTTCTCTAAAAAGCAAAAAAAAATATGCACAGGAAAGGAGATGCCCCATATGAGAAGTCAGAACTCCAGTAACACCAAAGGAGAAAACCCATATACAATCGCCGTGGGAACACCGTCTTCATACTTCTTAATCTTCTCATCCCTTCCTACCCTCCTTGCTCCCCCCATATGGTTCTACTGTTCGAAGCCTGTCACCAATGCACCCATCTCCCGTCTCATAGCGCCGATCATGCACTCGGCACTATCGGAGCTCAGCCGACACTCGGGTGCGAACAGTCCAAAGTCCAGCCGACCATCGCGAATTGCAGCTTCGACGTCGATTGTTGGCTTTTGAGAGGTTAGCAATTGCTTTTTTGACCTCTTATTATCGTTGAATGCAGTCTTACCTGGTAGACAACTTGGGTAGCCGCCGTTGGGGCGCTCGGGTGCTTGTTCTCGGCTGCACCCGGTGGCGCTGTACCATTGCCATTAATCTGGGTCTCGGTCTGCGTTGCAAGCGTGGCTTCGGCCCCGCTCAGCCTTGACAACTCCTCGCGTTGAATCGCGGACAAAGAAAACTTTGTGTCGTTGCTAGGCAATTCATTCTTTGGAAGTCGCAGGAAATTGACGCAGGTATCAATGTGGACGCCGGTCCATTCGGCAATCTCCAGGAGAGATACGCCCGAGTATTCCACTCGGCTGATCTCATTGATTTCATCTTGAATTCTGCGGGCGGCTTCGAGTAGGCTGTCATTTGTGTTGCTAAGTTTGTCATCCAATCGTAGTGGAACGATATTGACGGTAGGAATGACAGATTCCACCAAACCTTCGATGGAATGCGACCGATTAGCAAGGTAGAGGCCAACCGTTAAACGCCTGTCAGACCCTTCATAGTCTGCTGTTTCAGCAGTGCTGAAATTCTGCTGATGAACTCGAGCATAGATGGCCAGGAAAATGGTTTGAATGCTGAGGCCCTGGCGCTTAGCGACCTTTTCGACACACGCCATATTAGGCACAAGACCCGGTCGGTAGTACTTTTGCACAGAGCCGAAACCATCTACTCGCTTTGCCGCCTTTTGAGTTGAGATTTGGCCTAGATACTTCTGCCAGAATTGACGCCGAACGTGCACCGGCGAATGGAAATGCTGGAAAGCCACGAGCCCTGAGAGGTCAAGACCAGGTTCCGATTGAATAACCTCATCTTGACTGCATTGAGCGACAAGCCGTCTCAGAATTTGTGGGAGACTGACTGCGTCATACAGCGCGTGGTGAATCTGCAGAGTTAGCGCCGTGCCCTTGGTTGTTTGACAGGCATGCAGTGCAACCGGCACAGCCCCAAATTCTTTCTTAGATTGTTCTGAAACAAGTTGATTGGGTGTGGAATGCCAGATGATAGGAATGTGCACCGCCTCAAGCTCGATCTGGATGTACGGCACAGGCTGAGGCCCGTGGACAGGCAGGAATGCTGTTCGGAGCATCGGTGTTTGTTCAATGACACGAGCCCAGGCACTGTCAAGTACATGCCGGCTCAATTGACGTGATGCCATATAGTAGAACTCTGGATAGAACACCTCCGGATTCAAGGCGTGCATCGAAAGGAAGTAGGACTGTCCAGCAGTTGCAGGGAAGACCGTCTGCACTCGCTGTGAATCAATGCCATGCGACTGTAGTAGGGTAGTCACATCGATACCATCAAGCAACTCATCAAGGATGCTCGATAGGTTCGTAATTGAGAATTCTGTTTGTCTGCTGTTGGCTGCTTTGGCCATATTTTCGATCGTACCAGCCCTAAGCATGTCGCTGACAGCGAGCCTAATCGACTGTTTCATGAGAAGCGCAGCAACTTTGATGGCGCTGATACTGTCCAGTCCAAGCTCGAAAATAGTCGATGTCTTCTCAATAGAGTTCTCTGGTACACCAGAGACAACGGAGAGAATATTGCGAACTTTTGACTCAACCGGCGACCATTTGGATTGGCTTGACGCTGGTCGAAGTGTCCCATGCTCAACACCTTGAGCAGGAACATCCTCGAAGGATGAAATCCCACAAACACTCACACCCTTACCAATGAACTCGATCGTCTTCTCTGCTGGCTGATCGATAATCGACGAAAAAATATCCGCCATCTGTCCCAAAAGGACAAGGGTATCTTCATCCCCCATCACATCACCCCGACATGCAACACGACCAACAAGCTCTTCCCCAACCCCCTCAATCTCAGCACAAACAGGATATTCAACACTCGCATCTCCACCAGTGGACTTGTACAATACCGGGGCAGACCCAGTTTGAGATTCTTCAACCGGTCTCTTTTGATATATGAAGAGCGTATCAAACAGCTGCTTCGACCCTGTATCCGGCCGAGCACGTCGAAGTGGAAAATGTTGATGCTCTGCCATCATGAGCAGAGCCTCCTGTACATATTTCACCAGCCCCAACCGTGTTCCATGGAGAATGACACGCATGGCCACGGTATTCATCGTTGGGAACATCACGTGCTCGGACTCGGCCACGTTCCGACCAGATAGTACAAGGCCAAAGACCACATCCAGCTTTTGAACATGAATGGCAAGGACTAGAGACCAGCAAGTGACCAGAAGAGCTTGGAGAGTAATGCCATGGAGTTTACAGAATGACTCTGCCCTGAAAAGCGGGACAGAGAATGACTGTTCTGCTCGGTGGACGACAGCTGAGTCGCTACCGGCATGCTTCATCGGCAAGAATGACGCTGGTGTGAAAGCTGACAGCGTCGCTCTCCAGAATTTGAAGGCTTGATCACCTGATGAGTCGATGATTTGTTCGAGGATTTCATCGGACGATGGGCGACTGCACTCTTCGCCCGCGTAGGACTTGGCCACATCCTCATGGAGCAGGTTGATTGACCAGCCATCATAGAGAGCGTGTGAAATTGACAAAACAAGGTATCGCTTATCGCCTTCCAGCGCGATGGTGATGCTAAGCAAGGGGCGGCTCGCGAGTTCACAGCGGGCCCTTGACCGCTGTGTTTCTATGATGGTTTCCACGGATACACCATGCAAATGAACAGTTTGAACATCAAAGCAACCCTCATCGTGGATAATTTGAGCGTAGGATACAGGAATCTTTGGATCCCAGACTTCGACGAACGAGGTTCGGAGTATAGGGTGAGCTCTGACAACCGCTCTCCACGCCTGCTCCATTTTTTCAATGTCCACTTCAGGCTCAAGCTGGAGGATTTCATGGTTGTAATAATGCTTGTATCCAGATGCAGCAATTTCAGCAACCATAGCTTCTTGGATAGGAGTAGCTGGTAGAACCCGCCTCGCGCTCGGAAGAAGAAGCCCATCGTCCTCGAGGAACTTGGTCAAAGTCTTCTCCATTTGAGCGAGCAAGGATAATGTTCCGTTCTTGTGGTGGCCATTTGACGTTGAGAGCTGCTTGCTCATGGCCTTCACTGTGCGATGGCGCATGATCGAGCTGACAGGAAGTTTGATACCAGCTTTACCCAGGCGCGAGGAGAGCTTGATTGCATCGATGCTGTCAAGTCCGACTTCAAAGATGGAGGTTTCTTCACCAATAGACTCAGGCTCTATTCCTGCAAGAGTTGCAATAATATCACGAATAGTGGATGCCTGGGAAGTCCACTCAAACAGAGCGCCACTGGTTTGTTCAGGAGCTCTGACAGATGCGCCGTGACCGTTAACTTCGCCATTCGTCACAGCATGTGTATGGGAGGCACCGCTCATCTTGGGTACTCCCTTGTTCAAATCTTTTGCAAATTCAAATATGGTCTGCTCAAACTTGGAAAGCAGCAGCTGGGCCTCGTCGGATGATACCACATTGCTTTTCGCAGCAAGGGTAGCCGTCAAAGATTGCGTGCCGTTGCGTACAATCTCAAATGCAAGAGGATATTCATGTTGAGCCTCCGAATCAATAGTGGACCAAAGACTCTTTGACAATGCCTCATCGTCATCATTCTCCCGCTGGAAAACGAACAGAGAATCAAAGAGTCGTTCGTCAGGGCTTCTCCCGAGCCATTTGGCTATATCACGGAGTGCGGTGTACTGGAAGGGCATCATAGATACCTGGTACTCATGGCAGCACCGCGCAACATCAGACCAAGTCTCCAAGCCAGTCAGTTGGACATTGCTTGGGATGGTATTGAACAGGGGTCCGATCATATTTTCAATGCCTGGGACATCGATAGTTCGACCTGAGGCAATGATGCCAAGTGGCGGCACGAATGAGTACTGCTGCTGGAGAGTCAGAAGCCAACAAGCGTGGAGGACGGCTTGCTCGGTCACATTGAGGGAGCGACGAAGATGGTCGATCTGCTCGGTGGCATTGATCTGAGCTTTGTGGAGAATTGGTGTGCTATCTTGTCCGTTTTCGACCAAAGGCTGGTTGTGACAACCCGCCAAATGTTCTTTCCAAAATTCCTTTGCGGAAGGGTCTTTGCAAAGAGGGCCCAAGTGCAGGACATCGAGGAATTCGGGACGTGGCTGAGATTTCTTGCTTAGATAGTTCCCAGCAACAGATTCAAGGAGAAGCACCAGACTGTTTCCATCATAGAGGCCATGGAAAATGTTCAGATACATCACTGATACAGCCGAGGAACTGATAACTCCAACTTCCCACAAATCGGAAGAGAGACTATCAAGTCGGGCTGTCCATTGTTTGTACCGCTGTTTGCGCAGACTCTCAATTTCTGCCTCTGTCTCAACAGCACCAAAGAACCAGGGAAGCGTGTCTTTCTTCAAGATGACTTGAGCATAGCCATCTGGAGATGGCGAGAATCGAGCACGCAACATTTGAACTTCTTGCTGAGTTTGATTCCAAGCTGTCCGCAATGCTTCGAGACTGACAGAGGAATCAAGTTCAAAGTTGAAAGAAGAGCAGTACAATGGTGTATCACTGGAGAGATAACGGTAGATGATACCCTCTTGAAGAGGTGTACAAGGCGCAATCTTCTCGACATCACCGTTAAGGACTCCGATGTGTTCGATGACAGTATGAGAGTTCTTCTGCGCGAAAGCGTCGATATCTTGCTTGGCATTTCGCTGAAGGGTTTCAACCGAAACATTAGATGGAGTAGCGGTCTGAAGGGCAGAGGCCATTCCAGCGATAGTAGGATGCTTCATAATGATAGAGGGTTGAGCCTGGGAGAACCCTGCCTCTCTCAAAATTCTCGAGAAAGCAATAACAGAGATCGAATCCAGACCCATCTCATAGATGCTGGACCAAGACGAGACCTCTGTGCCAGACGAGCCAGTAAACTCCGCAAGAACAGAAACAATCTGCTTTCTGAGCGCGTTGTCGGTCGGTAGGTCGACACCCATGGAACTCAATTTCTGAACATCTTCCAATGAAAGCTCCTGGTAGATACCCTTCAGGGCTTTCATATCAGCCTTGTTGTTGGCTGATAGGGGGAATCGAGTCATGGGGATGATATGTGTCGGCACCATATACCCAGGAAGGTGAGTACGACAAGAGCCCTTGATCTTCGAGAGGAGGATACGGTCATCATCGGAGGATCGAACCTGGACATTGACATTACGGGGCTTCTTGTCTCCATTTGCTGACAAAGTGGTGAAGAAGGAGACAAGTTGGTCTTTGGCTTGCTTCGGGTGCGTAATGACAAGAGTAGCGACTTCGTTCAATTCAGGCGTAGCCTGTTTGATGACTTCGTTGATCTCCCCAATTTCAAGACGCTGACCACGAAGCTTGACCTGGTCGTCGATTCGACCAAGAAATTGGAAGCTTCCATCGTGTAGGATCCTGACCAGATCACCGGTACGGTAGATACGGTCTCCGAACTGGGGTAGGGTTTGAAATCGCTCTTTCGTGAGCTCTGCTCGATTGAGATAGCCCTTTCCAACTAGCGGTCCTGAGACACAGAGTTCACCAATGCTACCACGCAGCACTGGTCTCACTGTACCGGGACGGAAGACATATGAGCCGACGTTATCGAACTGCGGTCCAATATTGGAGGCTTTGTCGTTTGCAGACATGCGGGGAAGCATGGTGCATCCGATTGTTACCTCCGTAGGCCCGTAGCCGTTGTAGATAACGCCATGCATGCCCCAGGCATCGAGGATTTCCTGCTTCAAAGCCTCACCACCGGTAATGAAGACACCCCGACAGAGCGAAGGAACTTCATCTGGGTGAACAAGTTTTGCCAGACTAGGCGTGAGATCGATGTGCGTGATCTGAAGCTTTTGGATTGTGCCAGGCAGATCCTCGAATAAAAGGTCTCGGGGACAAGAAGTGACGCAAATTCCAACACTCCAACTCCAGTATTGTTCCAAAACACTGACGTCGAAATGGAAAGATGCGAATTGCAACCACCTGGATTCTGCATCCCAGTGGCCTGCGAACAGTCGCTGGAATGCTAGCATTGCCTGTACGGCATTGTCATGTGTAATCTCACATCCTTTGGGTGTTCCGGTTGTACCAGATGTGTACAGGCAATAAGAGGTATCATCTGGCCTGATTGCCCGAGCGAGTGATACATCAGCAGTGGAGATGCCATCAAGTAGACCAGGTTCATCCAATGCCTGAACATCAACACCCGAGAGATTCTTCAACTCGGATAATTTGGATTCATTGCAGAGCAGAACCTTGGTTCCTGAGTCCTCCAACATGAACTGCTTGCGGGAGATGGGAGCGCTGGGGTCAATAGCCAAGTACGAACATCCCGTCTTCAGAATACCCAAAATGGCCATAGATGCTTCAGGGGACTTGTCGAAGCAAATGCCAACCATTCCACCAGGAACAGCTCCCTTGGTCTGCAGGAAATGTGCAATTTTGTTGCCGCATTCGTTGAATTGGCGATAAGTCCAAGACTTCTTCTGTAGGCTCTCTGCAGTATCCCCTGACGCGAACTCGAAAGCAATCTTCTCGGGGATCTTGAGCGCGTTGACTTCGACGAACTGGTGCAACAGAGAGACCGTGGTTGAAATGGGTGCTTCCTTGGCGGGTGTCACTGATAGAAGGTTGCTACCCACAGATTCGTGATCGGTGGAAATGGCATCCGGATGGAAGACAATGTCCTCCAAGATTTTGTCATACTGACCCAGGAGGATGGTGGCTTGCTCCGGAGGCACGATGTCACTGCGATAGCTCAGCTGGATCTCGAGGTCTGTTGAGTGCGGAATCAACTCAATGGAGACGGGGTACTAAAAGCAAAGTTAGTTGACGTCGCAAAAGAGGTGACATTGCTAGAAGCGCTCTGTCCACTTGCATCGATCTTCGTGGCTTCATCGACGATATCCCATTCGTCAAACTCGGTGGTTTCGGAAGTGAATTTCTGGTAGACGAATAGAGTATCAAATAGCGGCTCCTCACTACCAACCCAGCGTTGAACATAAGAGAGGGGTGCGAATTGATTCTTAACCAGTAAAGCATTTCGCTTCAAAGTCCGATCCAAAAGATCCCGGTTAGGACCCTCGATGCAAAGAGGTGTTGGGACAGTGACTAGACACGGGAACACAGCATCTTGTGCGTCTGTAGACAGATTCCTGCCCGAAAGAACAGTTCCAAAAGTAACATTCGACTCTCCTGTGTAAGCTGAAAGCAACCTAGCCCATGCAACTTGGCCGGCTACTTGAAGTGTCACACCAATACTCCGACAGGCATCTTCGAGGGCCTTTCGAGGTTGCGTGCAGCGGACAGAGGTGCTGAGGAGCCTGTGCTTGTCGCTACGGATGGGATGAAGATCAGGGAACTTGGAGGAGTGGACTTCTGGGCCCAAATCTTGCCAGAAGCCCTGTGCGGACTGGGTCTGACGCTTGCTTTCGAGTAAGATTGGCCCGAGTGTTGCGGTGACTGGAGCAGGGGCGGCCAATGTCTTGCCCTCGTATACTGCTTTGATATCTGCGAAGATAGAAGACAGAGATTGCGCATCGTAGATGGCGTGTAGGGCAGAGAAATGTAGAACTGTAAGACTTTTCTCGGCTGAAACCTCGATGCTCCAGGGGGGGCGGTGGAGGTTTTCCAGCACCTGCTTTTCTTGGACATAGGAGGCTGAAGTCTCATGCCAGGGCAGTTCAATATTCTCGGGATAAGTGATCATGGCAAATGGATGCTGTTGATCGTGTAGCTGAACAAAGCCAGTACGAAGCATCTCATGGCGGGCCATCACCTTGAACCAAGCTGCCTTGAGAAGGGCTTTATCCAAGGGAGTAGAGAACCTCAATGACATTCGATTGAAGTACACATCACCATGCGAGTGCGTAAACATGGCGAGCATACCATTTTGAACCGGCGTGCAAGGGCGCAGAGCCTGTATATCTTCCGGCAAAAGCCCAAGCTGCTCACAAACAGATTGCAAATGTTTCTTCTGGAATGACGAAAAGTCGAACTCGGCTTCTGGGATATTCTTCACACTAGAAGTGAGAAGAGCAGCAATTTGATCGATAGAAGCAGCCTGTTCAAGTTAGCCAAAGCCATTGAATAGATTATAAGTCAGCTTTGCTCTAGCACATACCTCGAGAATCTCACCGGAGGAGATCTTACATCCCAGCCCACGCAACTTGGCAGATATCTGAACAGCATTGATACTGTCTAGGCCAAGCTGGAAGATGGTTGTATCCTGGGACACATCATCCGAGTCAACATCAGAGAATTTGCAAAGAATGTCACGAACAGCCTCTTCTTGGGTTGACCAGGGGCGAGTCTGACGATGTTTGGTCAGGAACTTCACCGCATTCGTCGTTGAAAACTGCTTTTGCTCAAAGGCTCTGGGTATATCCAATCCAAGTTGTCTCTTATCAGATGCTTGAGCGGAAGGGTATTGAGTCATGTGTTCAACGAGAGCCACGAAATGGACCGTAATGGTTTCAGCCACAGCCTGGGAGATATGTGACGACTGGAAATGAAGACAGATCTGGATCTTATCTTCTGTCTCGTCAGGAATGATTTCGCAGATCAAAGGGAAGCCCATGTTTCCTTCATCCTGGAGAAGTTCCCAAATTTGGGAATCCAGGTCGGTGTTGCTGTTCTGAAAGATGAGAAGAGTATCAAAGAGACGAGAGCCTCCGCCAAGGACGCGTCGCTGAATGCGTCGTAATGGACTGAGTTGGTGAGGCAGAATGTTGCTGTTGGTCATTTGTGACAACTTCATGATATCACTATTTGTCGCGGTGGAAGAGGATTTGATTCGGATTGGGAGGGTGTTGAAACAAGGCCCGACTATCCGGTCTGCGCCATCGACAGGTACAGTCCGACAGCTGAAGACATTGCCAAATGTGACGTCCGAAGAATCGGTGTAGAGGGAGAGAAGTCGGGCCCATGCTGCATGGAAGACATTCAAAGGAGTCACGGAGAGGTCTTTGCATTGTTGTTTGAAGGATGCGAAAGACCCATTCAAGACTGCGTGATATTGCCGAGAGGCTGATTCATCTACACCGGCGGAAGGTGTGGGAAGTAGAAGTGTTGGCGAAACACCGAACAAGTAGTGGTCCCAGTATTCATCAGAGGACTCATAGTCCATGGCGGTCATATAATCAATGAACCGGTGGAATGGGGTGATGACTGGCAATTCCTGGTTTGATAGAGACCGTTGGACCTCGTTCAACAATTGCGCGATTCCCTCTCCATCATAGAGTGCATGATGGATAGAAAAGAGTAGGTGGGTCTTCTGTGCAGCAGAATCGGTGACAAAAGTCAACGAGTAGGGCAACTGACCGTTGACAGGAGAGAGACCCTCGAACTTGGATTTGCTCTCCTTGATCAAATTATCGATTTGATTGTCAGTGGAGGTTTCGATATGGAACCAGGGTAGGGCCGGGCTATCCAGCACGACCTGAGCATATGCGAATCGTTTATCATTAGTCTGCGTGAAACAAGTTCTAAGAATGTCATGTCGATGCATCATCTGAACCCAAGCAGCTCTCATAGCCTCGGCATCAGTGCGTACAAGAAGAAAGAGATGATTGAAGTATGCCGAATGATCGCCAGAATCGGCTGCAAGCATAGCCTCTTGCAGAGGTGTGCAAGGGTGGATTTCCTGAACGGAGGCAGCGGCAGCACCGAATTCACCTTCTACTTGATGAATGAAGGTCTCCTCAAACACCGTTGTGGGTTGGTGTGCCTCGACCTGTTCTGGCTGATCCCCATTGATTATGAGAGGGATGACTTCTGCAAGCTGGGCGATAGAGCTATGACGGAGGATTGTGGAGACTGCAAGTCTTCCACAGCCGGCTTCTTGCAACTTTCGGGAGAAGGATACGGCGGAAAGGGAGTCTAAGCCCAGTTTGTAGAATGATGTGTGTTTGCGGATTTTGATTTGGTCAGTGCCAGTGATTGCGGATAGAGCTAACAAGATTTTCTGCTCAAGCTGGGTGAGACTGGTTTCAGTATCATCAGAGATGGACTTCGGCGAAAACATTGTAAGCTCCTCTGGCTTAAGCTGTTCCACTCGTCGCTTCAAGTCAGAGTAATCAGTCTTGTTGGAGAGGGTGATAGGAATCTTGTCAATTGGAACAAGAAGCGAAGGCATTCTCGAGGAAGGAAGTTTTATCCCGAGCTCCTTGAACAGGTTGGTTGTGAGATCTTGACATTTTACAGGGCCAGCAGACTGAGAAGGAACCCAAAATGTTGCCAAATGCTGTTGGCCAAGTACCGAGCTATCCAAAATCATGCTCACGGATTCGCGCACACGTTTCAAAGACAAAATAGCGCGGTCAACTTCATCGATATCAATGAGCTGAGCTTGGATGTTCGCTTCTCCCCGTCTTCGGAGAAGTATGGTTCCATCTGGAAGTAGCCTGCCAAAATCGCCTGTTCGATAGAGCCTCCCGTATTCAGGGTGCTCAATGAATTTTCCGACCCGAGAGGAGCTAGAGTTCGATAGGGAGCGTCCAACTTGTTCACCACCAAAGCATAGCTCTCCAACAGCACCGCGAGGAAGAAGAGTGAACGATTCTTGATCTGCCACAACCATGGCAGAGGTGTTCCTCAGTGGCTTTCCAATGTTCTGAAGAGATGTTGATGCTTTGACATTGGGATAGATAGCACATATATGAGTGAGTGAACCAGAGCTGTAGGCTTGATAGATCTCTTTCTCGGCCCAATTTCGATGAACGCTGGAAGTTAGTCCTTCACCTAAAGTCAGCAGATACTTTACGCTGGGGACAGATTTCGGGTCAACATGAGATGCCAGCGTGGGTGTCATATGTAAATGTGTGACGGCCATGCTCTGAATGGCTTGCTCGACAGAATTCTCAGAGAAGACTGAGCACAGTGTCATGCCAGTGTGCCAGGAAAAGAAAGTCTCGAAGATTGAGACTATGGAATGTTAGCAAATTATTCCTAGAGTGGGTAATGTTATCAAAACTAACCGCCTGATCCAGAAGGAGATGTAGAGAGAATCTTTGATCCGGCATGTTTTGGGTATGCCTCCGAAAGAGTCTGTATGTTGCTCTCCAGGTTACGACGAGAAATGACAATATCATCTATGGAATCACCGTCGAAAGTGATCTCCACATAGGCCACATCAGACCCTTCCTCGACAGTCGGGGGATTGTCATAATGGCAAGGATACATGGAAGAGGAAACAAAGATTTGCTGAACACAAGACACAGAATCCAAATCAAATCTCTGCACAGACTCAGAGTCGACAATGCACAATTTCGACTCTGCCGTGGAGAGAGCTGATCGAACAGCCTGTGAGGTAGCATGGGGGATTAGGAGAATACCAGCACCGGATTTGGCGACTGCAAGGATGGCGATGTAAAAGTCGACCGAGTTGCTCAGGAGAACAGTGATTAAATCGTTGGGGGTGACACCGACATGATGCAAATGATGTGCGAGACGGTTGGCGTGAGAGTTCAATTCACCATATGTCATGCTTTTAATAACCGAAGGGGTAGAGTTCGACCCCGAAAGCATCAACTCGAGCGCTACCCGACTTGGATTAGTCGAGGCCATTGTTTCAACTCCCGAAGCCAGACTTGGAAGTGTGACTTGCTCGGCTGCAGCTGTATTCTGAACAGACAATGCTGATAAAGGCAGAAGAGAACGGATATTTTCAATCGGAAGTTGGACATTATCGATCAAAATTGAAGCCACGGAGTCAATTTGCTCCAAGAGAAGAGCAGCTTGCTCACTTGGTAAGATTGACTGCTGAGAAGTCGCTCTGGCAAGTACACACTCGGCTCTAGGCTCAAACTCTAGCAAAAGCGCAAATTCCAAGAACTCTGCAGCATTGACTTCTTGGAATGGCGAGTCCTGCTGTTCACCGGACCAAATGCTTTCTTGCCATACGACAGCCGTATCAAAGAGATTGCGGTCTAATTCGATTCCAGATGCTTTTTTGATGTCTTGCAGAGATAAGCTGCCATGTTCAAGGGACTTGCGGTTCATGTTCTGGATAGCTAGGAGGAGGTCTGTTACGTTTTGCATCTTGTCCAGATTCATACGTGTGGGTAGCGTTCTGATGCATGGTCCGAGGACGGTTTCTATGCCTTTCAGTGGGAGTGTACGACCTGAGAAGACTGTTCCAAATGTCACATCTTCTGTGCCAAGATAGGAGGAGAGGATGTAGCAGAAGGCGGCTTGGAAGATTGTTTGTCGACTGATGCGGAGATGTTGAGTGACTTCGTTGAGTTTTGGTACGGAGACTCCAAGTGTGCGAGTGGCTTGCTGCGTAGTAAATGGGACGTCTGTCTCCCTTTGGAAGTTGGGGAAGTCTGTTGGGTATAGTCCCTGTAGCTGGTCGCGCCAGAAGGTTGAGGACTCAGTTGCTGACTTGTCCAGCTTGTGCTCGATGAAGAAATTTGCGACAATATTGTAAGGAGGCCTTGAGGTAAGTTCATCCACGGACAAGATATCACGAAGATCGCTCAAGATCAATTGCCAGGACCATCCATCATACAGCGCGTGATGGATATGTACAAGAACCCGGAGTCCACTCTTCTCTTCTTTAATCTGGACTTGGAACGGGTTCAATACATCCTGACCCGCACCCAATGACGCATCGTAATCAAGATCTGCTTGCTCATTGATATGCTCGTCAATCGAATACCAAGTGAATCGACCATACAAGTGATCCTTGAGTCCGATTTCCACAAAACCAGAGCGCAGAATGTCATTGTGCTGAGCAAGTTGAACAAAAGCATTCTTGGCAGAGGCTGAACTGATCGAGGGCTCGAATTTCAGCTCGACCCAGTTGCAGTATGCTTTGCTGTTGCGCACAGTCTCCAAAACCATAGCCTGTTGGATATGACTACATGGAACAACTTCTGAAGCCTGCGAAGTCAACCCCAAGGATTCAACCCTTGCTGCACCTGCATCCGAAACAAATTGCAGAATTGCTTGAAGGGCTGCCTGGATATCTTCGGTGGAGCTGGAAGCTTCCAGGGTGGTGGAAAGCTGCCAGATCCCATCCACGGAGTCGGCTTCGAGCAGGTTTGCCACGTCGAGACGGATCCCCGCATCCAAAAGATGGGATGCAAGACGGATAGCACCAAGGGAATCAAGACCTGCTGATGCCAGACTCTCTGTAGATGTGAGCTTGCGACCAAGAATATCAGTCACGCATGAGATGATAGCTTCTTCCTTTTCATCTCGACAAGGCACTTCATCGAAAGACTGAGCCGTGCTACGGTGGCGCACGAAATCGGCTTCCAGCGTCTTCCGGTCAATCTTTCCTGACGGCAGTTGAGGGAATTGATCCACAAGTACGAATTCTCCAGGGATCATGAATCGTGGTAAGAGCTGGCGACAGACGTCTCGGATGGCACGATCAGTCGTTCCATGGCCGGTGGCTAGGACAAAAGCAATTAAATTGCCGCCAATGACCATAGTCACGGCACTGCGAACACCATCGGTTCTGGTGATAACATGTTCGATCTCTCCGAGTTCAATACGCTGACCTCGCAACTTCACTTGACCACTGGAGATTCGACCGAAACATTCGATGTCTCCGTTTGGAAGCATACGAGCTTTGTCACCTGTGCGGTAGATTCGACCGTACAATGGACTATCAATGAAAGCTTTGGCATTTTCTTCGGAACGATTTATGTAGCCATCTGCCAATTGAGGACCGCCAACGACAAGCTCTCCAATCTGGCCAAGTGGGAGAGTATGAAGCTCTCGGGAAGGCGGATCGTCATCTGATGGGAGGGACATGATGTACGCAGAAACCGTTTTGAACGGTTTTCCAATCATGTTCACGCGATCCTTCGCTTGAAAGTGGGTGGCGGCGGTGCAATGAATGGCTGCCTCGGTGGGCCCGTACATTCCATGAAGAATGCCCTTTCTGCCTTCTGACTGACCAAACTCATCCACCACGCGCCGGGTGAGCATTTCACCGATAGTAAGGAGCACGCGCAGAGAGGGTGCCGCAGCTCGCGTGCGCAGTAGCTCGCCCGCTACTGTAGGAGTCAACTCGGCAGCGTCGACTTCCATACGGGTCATCACCTGAGAGATATCGAGAAGCATGTTCTCTCGCTCGGAGCCGATTAAAGTGGCCCCTCGCATCATGGGGAAAAAGACCTCGAACACGGATACATCAAAGGTGGGAGACGCAAATTGCAAAAATCGCTTGAATGGGGGTATCAAATCATCATGAGCAAGAAGTGACTGGGTCGCAGCGAGATGGGACACTCCAACACCTTTAGGGCGGCCTGTTGAGCCAGACGTGTACATCACATAGGCCAGATTAGAGGATGTGCATGTAGTGGGACAGGGCTCAGTTGGGGGTGAGTTGGATTCAAGGTTGTCCACAGTTAAAACGGACAAGTTCTCCTTCGATGGGATTTTCGATGCAAGAGCATTTTGTGTAATCACCACGGATGCAGCTACATCCTGGAGAATGAATTCGATGCGGTCTGGTGGTGCGTCGGTGTTGAGAGGACAAAATGCAGCGCCAGCTTTGAGAATACCCAGCCAGGAAATGTACAACTCCATTGACTGGGGCAAAAGCACTGGAACAACCATGCTTGCACCATTAATCGTCGAAGCACGGGCAATATCACCCGCCAGCTTCGAAGACAACCGGTCCAAGGCCTCATAAGACAAGCAGCGGATGTTTCCCTCCGCTGTAAGAAACTCAATAGCATGTTTAGCATTGTTGAGGCCGCGTAGTGCTAGCTCATGCAGTAACCCTGGCCCTGGAAGTGTGGCAGGCTCGTCATTTGTAATAGATAGAGTGGGAGCCTCGGATGCAGGTAACACCAGCTGCATGCCGGTACTAACAGCCTGTTCCTGCACGATCTGCTTGAGCTGCTGGCCCAGCTGATGCAGGAAATCGGCATCCATGCCTCCGGTCGCATGCAGCGCCCCCGACTGCATCGTAGGGTCCACAGTCCACAAAAGAACCGGAGGCTGTCCGGACGGATAATCGCCCAGCACAACGGCCGTATGCTTGACTGAGAGACTGGCTACCTCGGCGAGGTCTGCTGGAAGCACTGTCTGCGCAGAAAAATCTGCCTTGACGGGGTTCCCGTTCAAGAGAAAGACCGGAGTTTCATCGGTCGTGAATGCGCGCAATAATAAAGCCCATGACATGGCAAGTAGTTCCGCGGGGAGCTGGGCATCGATATGCCATGGCACGACATGGACAGCATGACCCTCGTCATTGACGACAGGGAATTGAGTGAATCGATCCATGACCGGGTTCAACTTTTTCTTGCGTGGGATGTCACTCCAGCATATTCGTATATAGTTGGTGTCTGCTTATTACCTGCGCTGTGAGTGGCTGGAGCACAGGATCTAATGCAGGCGCTTAGTCGAAAAAGAAATCCGAAAAGTGGCCCTTTAATCAAATGACGCTGAATTAGTAGCGCAAATCGCGAGAGGGGTAGCAAGAAATCCTGATGATCTCCAGCGAGCCAAGCGCGAAAAAGGTTGGAGGGGTGTCTGAGATGCCTAAGGGTATCTCCGATCGGTCATCCGCCTTAGGACAGCTAAGTTATGTAACCTTATAGCAAATGCACCAATATTGACCACCTCATCGCTACTAGCCCACAACTATGCAGTACTCTACTGTATATTCCTATATCTGAACGCACCATAATCATATGAAATTATCTTCGAGTGAAGCGGTGGAGAAGAGCCGGTCACTGTATTGGAGTATTGGGGTATACATGTATGGACAGTTACAGGTATTGCATTTAGTGCTTATTTGTATTTTACCTTAAATTTGTTGGATAGCTAATAGCAATATATTGTAGCCTTCTACTGTAGTTAGATTGGTTCTCTTATATGAGGCAGTGGTTTGAGAGAGACCTGTGGTGCAAGATGCATGGCATGTTGCATGTACTTGTACATGTACGTTTGCAATGTGACTATTTAGGTAGAGCATTACATCGTCTAAGCGTCCAGATCAAGCCGGAGCAATTTTCCACCTGCAGACCCCACCACACACGAGTTCAATGCGTCTGCCAAGACATAACGGAAAGTCTGTAGAAACACTAACACGGAATGTTAACAGCCACTTATGTAGGGCCGACAGACCCAATTTTTCCCGACATCGGCAGTAAACTGCTCTCTTCGGATTAATGCGTTATTATTAATTGCCTTGCTCCAGTTAGAATGGGTGCCCAGTTGCAACCTCAACCTGTTCTTGCATGTTGCTAGTAAACTAGTGGGAAAGCCTCATAAATACCAGAATCTCTTCACCAGAAATGGCAAAAGGAAGAAAATAATAAATCGGTGGAGACACTGATTGATAAATTCACAAACCTTGGGATTACGAAACTTGGCGACTCAAGCGAGTAAGTAAAAAATGAAGATCCACTTGGCTTTTTTTATCTGATCCGCTGAGATTCTTCTCGGGCATATGGTACGTTAGGGTGGGCCGACAAGACTCTTGAAACATAAAGTCCGCATCCCTGCTCTTTTTTTCCTCCCTCCAAGCTTGGAAGCTCCTCTCTTTAAGCTCCTCTCTCCTTCTACCAAGGCTCGCCCTCTATACTATACTTTTTGAGGTTGATCTCATACCCTGTCATGGAGCCCATCAAGTCTGAGCTTCCCTTCTTTAACGAGGTGCCGCGCACCCAACCTCAGACCGGCCGCTCTCTGTTGCGGCCTACTCCAGCCGACGAGATGCACGACTTGCTCTGCGTGGGCTTCGGCCCGGCCTCGTTGGCCATCGGTATCGCCTTGAATGACGCCATGGACCCGGGCCTCGGCGCAAAGCAATCAAACTTCAAGCCCAAGGTCACCTTCCTCGAGAAGCAGAACCAGTTCGCCTGGCACTCAGGTATGCTGGTTCCGGGCTCGCGCATGCAGATTTCCTTCGTCAAGGACCTGGCTACCATGCGTGACCCCCGCTCCAGCTTCACATTCCTGAACTACCTCCACCACAAGAACCGCCTGATCCACTTCACCAACCTGGGCACGTTCCTACCAGCTCGTGTGGAGTTTGAGGATTACATGCGCTGGTGTGCCAAGCGCTTTGATAATGTGGTCAACTACGGCGAGGAGGTTGTCGAGGTTGTTCCTGGTCAGACTGATGCCCGTGGTGTTGTGGATTACTTCACCGTCGTGTCGCGTAACACTGGCACCGGTGAGATCACCTCGCGCAATGCTCGCAAGGTGGTGATTGCCATTGGCGGCAAGGCTAAGATGCCGCCTGGTTTCCCCCAGGACCCCCGCATCATGCACTCGTCCAAGTACTGCACGACCCTGCCTAAGATGCTGAACAACGATATGGCTCCTTATAACATTGCTGTTGTTGGCAGTGGTCAGTCGGCCGCTGAGATCTACCACGATTTGCACCGTCGCTACCCCAACTCGCGGACCACCCTTATTCTCCGGGACTCCGCTCTCCGCCCTAGTGATGACTCTCCCTTGTTTGTCTCTCTGTCTTCTGTTTTTTTTTTTTTTGTCGATCCATCTAACTAAATTTTGTTCAGTGTCAACGAAATCTTCAACCCCGAACGCGTCGACAAGTTCTACGGCATGTCCGCCGACGAGCGCAAGAAGCGCATCGCCACCGAAAAAGCAACCAACTACTCCGTCGTCCGCCTGGAACTCATCGAAGAAATCTACAACGACATGTACCTGCAGCGGGTCGAGAACCCTGACGAAACCCAATGGCAGCAGCGCATCCTGCCCGAGACCAAGGTTGCCCGCATCGAGCACCACAACCCTAGCAGCCGCATGCGCATCCACGTCAAGTCGGTCCAGAACGAGACCGAGGGCAAGGAGGTGCTAGATGTGGACGCCTTGATGGTAGCCACGGGTTACCTGCGTGATGCGCACGAGGAGATGCTCGAGCAGGTGCGCTCGCTCCGGCCCGCCGGTGCCGCGACGTGGAACCCGGGTCGTGATTACCGGGTTTCCCTGGACGGTGCCAAGGTCAGTGCCCAGGCTGGTATCTGGCTGCAGGGTTGCAATGAGAAGACCCACGGTCTGAGTGATTCTTTACTTTCGGTGCTTGCTGTCCGTGGTGGCGAGATGGTTTCCTCGGTCTTTGGCGAGCAGTTGGCTGGTACCGGCTTGGTGCAGGACACCCGGTTGCGCGCTATGCTCTGAAGCCTTGAGAGTGATCGTCTCGGATTGACTCCTTTTGGAAGGGATCCGAGACATTAAAAAGATATTTATCAAGGAGAGCTACGGCAGAATTGCTCTCCACGGCTTTGTTTGGTATATGATTCCCCCTCAGTTTTGGGTGAACATTAGATTTTCCCTTAAATTGATTCTGCATTAATGACAAGCTATTCCATTGCTTCAATTGCTTTAATATTTCCGTACAAATGTATAATAGATCTTCAGGTACCGATCAACATGGCCTGACACGGTGGAGTCATGGAAGTGAGCGGTTCCAGTTAGAGCAAAGTCGGCCTCGGCCGCAAATACCACGCCAACCGCGCTGAAATTTGACCAGCCGATCATTAAAAAAAAGTGAGGGCATGAAAAAGCAATTAAAACCTTGGCAGGCCAATTTCCTTTTTCCCCGAGATCAAATCAGATAATCTCAAGTGGGTCCTGCATGGATCAGATAACTGAAAACTTTTTATCTGATCAGAGACACTTGGAGGGGGGAGGGGGGTCAATTGGGCTGAGACACACAGTTCCAGGGTAACAATTAGGCCTGACCGTAATTCACCATCCCCATTTATATCGCATCTGGCACAAATCTCTCTAGTGGAGTGTGAGGCTGTTGTCTATCACCTGCCTAGTTGGTCCCTTAGCGAGATATGGAGCCCCGGGCTTACGTTGTTCGTACGGAGTCACTTGTACGTGTACATGTATATTGCTTATTCTGTCGTATTGTCAATTTCCTTTCTTTTTTTCTCTGATTGAGTTTCCACAAGCGAGGTCCATGTGTACGCTCTGTACTCCGTACGATGGGACCAGAGCCTAATCTCTGCCAACCCACTTGACCCGAGGTCGCGTAGGGTTCCCGAGGCCGAGATTAGATCCTTCAACGGAGCCAGTGTGTGTGTGTGTGTGTACTTGTACATCTGTAACTAACGTTAGTACACGTATAGTATAGTTTTCGGCGATATCGGATGTAAGTGGAAACCGCAATATTCCGAACTGTCACCTCGGAGACATGTCTTACCGTCCAGTCTTTTTCTGGTCTCCATTTCCCTGCCTTGCTTGCCCTGCTCAACTATGGATCCACGCCTGGTCTCGTGGAGAGTTCCATGTATGGAAATACAAGGTCGGAACTTGGAGCTGCGTTAGGTAGGTGACTTTCAGATTTTAGGCTCGGCTTGCCTAGCGCTAGGCGAGGCCCTGCATTGTTTGAACGGTGTATCAGATCAGGCCACCCTGGAACCTACATTAAGGCTGGGCCAGGACTTGCGCAGGCTCATCTTGGCTACATGGTGTATCTTTTTTTTTCAACCCCTGTTGCTTGTGGGGGTTGCCACATGCAATGCAGAATGCGTAGCTACATGGTAACAGAAGTACGGCCTAGACTCCATCAAGGTACTTGTATGAAACTTGTATCGTAAAGCCGAATGCTTTCAAGATGTACTCCGTGTACTCTGGGCCAATCGGGCTTCTTCGGACGAGACAGCGATTTTGGGTATATTTCCAGAAGGTTGGGCGTCTGAAGAAAATATCTTATCTGATGGTGGGGAGATCGGGACTATACATATTAGGTTGCAAAGATATCATTAATGTCCGACATCAACTGTACAGGTCTCTAAATGCAAACGCAAACGTTCGTGCCACGTGCCTAATAATGCAAACTCGAGATCTGCTGGGATATACGCCCTACAAATCCATAAAAACACAAGAATACAGATAACAGATAACAGATAACAGATGTCCAAGATCGTATCTTAGACCATGCGTTCGGGGTCCTCGGCTGCAACACTGCGGTAGTTCCCGCCCTCGGACCGGCTACCGGTGTGCATGCGCATCGGGGGTTCATACATGTCATGATAGTTCACCACTTCACCACCCAGCATGGCAGATCCAGACTGGCGCTTGCCAAAGAGAGGAGCTGGGTCACACCAAAAGTCGCGACAGTTGGTGAGGGGTCCGCGAGAGAAGGGGTTGCGGGGGCGAGCTGCTTGTGGTCCATCGCGGAGTCCATCCTTGGCGGTCGTCCAGAAGGTGTCGATTCCGAGGAGGGAGGACCATTGCTGGAGACAGCCACCTCTTGGGCGGGGTGCAGGGCCGCGGTTAAGGGCTGGGTTGGGGCCGGTGCCGGTGGCAGAGAGGCCGGCAGCTTCCATGGAGGTGGTTCCGGCTGTCATAGCTGAGGCAAAGGCCTGAGAGCTTGGGTAGGACCGGTCGATGTGGTGGCCTCGCATGTTCTCAGAGGTGGTCTGGTTGCGGGAGATTTGGACCAGTTGGACGGCGCACAGCATCGTGACCCAGACCAGCTGGAGGATGGTCCAGATGGTGAGAACCAGGGTGAAGGTGTCCCGGGAGACGTAGTCACATAGTGTGTCATTGATGACACTGCATGTGGCGCCAGTAGGGGCGGGAAGAGCATTGATGTCTGATTAGGGTTAGCTAAAAGTCAGGGTAGATGTCGTGGTACCACTCACAAGCAATCGTCAGCTGGACAAACAGGATGATGCCAACTTCGAGGGAGATGATATAGAGAACGAAATGACGGAGGTTGTTTGATCCCACGCAGTTGTCAATCCAGGGACAATGGCTGTTCAATAGTTAGTAAACAAGTCGACGTGTAAATCTCGGATCAAACACATACTGATCATGCTTCGCAACACAACGCCCGCAACGACGGCAGTGCTTGCTTCGGAGTGGCTTGCGAGACATGCAAGGAATGCAGAAGTTCTCCTCGTCGAACTTCCACTGCTCGAAGAGTTCCTTGACAACCTCTCTTTGTTGATTCCTGCTGCTAAGCTTCGGGACATAGCCAGGATCCTGTACCATAGCAAAGATGTAGAAATAGGCAGTGAGGCAGAAGAAGACAGCGAACAAGATGTTCAGAATCGGGTTAGAAGAGTAGGTCGCCGGCAGCACCTTGAAGGCATAACGGAACCCGACCCAGAACAACGTAGCTGCGAAGACACCAGCCAGATATGGCGTCTTTTGCAGGATTCGATATTCTGAAGGTCCCTTGTTCGCCACCTGCTGTGCCATATACTGCATACCAAACACGGTCACCAATGTAACAGGCACACTAATGAAGATTGCCAGATTACTTAACAACCAGATGGCCAACAGGATAGTCAAGAAGGGCCAGAGGAAGAAAAACTTGGCCATGAGGCTCTTGCTCCGCACGAAGCCCGACATGCCAAAAGGCACCACCTTCTGGCTGCCATCGGGATCATAGCCGCGCTCGTTGAGCGAGCGGTACCACACCCGCAAAGTGTTCATTTCCTGCGCCACAGTCGATGGGGACTTGCCATCCCGGGTTTGGGCGAATCGGTCGGCACCGAATTCAAGCAGCTTCAGGACACAGGGCATAGAGCCCTTTACCAGCGCCCAGTGGAGCGGTGTCAAGCCACCTTCGTCCACGGCATTCGCATTGGCGCCCCAGCGCAGGAACAAGTCCACACAAGCAGGATATCCCTTGTACGCGGCCCACATCAATCCAGTATGCCCTTGTTGATCAATAACGTCCACGGGGATCTCCTGGTGGAGAAGCAGGACAACCAGGAAAGCGTTGCCGTCGATGGTCGCGAGGTGGAGGATGTTGTAGCCTTGTACGTCCGTCAAAAGAGGGTCTCCTCCATTCTGGAGCAGCAGGTTGACAATGTAATAATGGCACCGCTGTGCTGCCCACATGGCTGGCGTCGCCACCGACTCTCCTCCCTTGGCGTTGACATCGGCTCCGGAGTCGAGTAGGAATTTACACATCGCATATTGGTTGTTGATAGCGGCCCACTATAAATAGGTGGTCAGTCAGTAAACATAGCTCCATGATTTGCGCAGTGCGCAACCTCATCGAAGAACGAACATGTAACGGGGTGATGCCCTCCTCATCTCGGTGGTTTGCGGTGAATTTCTTGGCCGCAAATAGATTCTGCATAGCACCAATCTCCCCCATCCGAGCCAACTGCATCACATCCTCCCCCAGAGGGATTGAACCCTTGGGGGGATCAGATCGCATGGGCTTCATCTCCACCTCGGTGTTCGAGGGGCTATTGGAGGCTGACGTGGCTCCGGAGTTTTGGCCGGGACTCGGGCCCCGAGATTCTGACGGTAGTGTTTTTGAAGACATCTCTGTCTAATGGCGATTATATCGGTAACAGTAACGAGGGACGCTGAAGTGCTGTCGGAAAAGGAGATGGAATCGATTCGGTACTGTTTAGACGCGGTGATCTAAGGGAACATCGCGATTCTCTCGGCGCATTCACAGATATCAAACAAGCAAATCCCCGGTGAGCAAAGATGCGAAACGGCGAGAAGGAAATGCCGAAGGGCGTCGTGTCGACAGGGCGAACTTTTTTGGGATGCGGTACCGTTTTGCGGAGACGCTAAACGCTAAGACTCCAGACTCCAAGACTTCTACTTGATACAGCACACACACACACGCGCTGTACAAAAGGTTGATGGGAAACTTCAAATTGGTCAAATTTGAGGGTGTTCCATCCAGTGTTGTCGAAACGTCCACGGTGTTTTCGATTACTCAGCCACACATAGGCAGCCGCATTTTGGCTTATTTTGGGTTGTCGCCCTGTTGATCTCAACTGCCGACTGTGGAGATCTCGATTGCGTAGGGCGTAGAGTCTTTTGGAGTGTGTCATGCTGATGTTCACTGGCTCTCGCTGTTTAATTTGAACCACATATATACTGTAGACATAGCAGCTATAGTTGCCGCCATAGATCATGGAAGGCAGTATACAGGGTCAATTGACGTATTCAGTTGACCACTTATCTCTCGCTGGGATCTTCCGCATACTACTAGTCGTTCTTTCCCATTGGTGATAGGCTTCTTCAATAGTTCCGGTCACAGATGTACATGTGCATAGTAGTGCAGCTCTCCGTCATTGGCGAGGTCAACAACACTCTCCTACAAGCTCCAAGTTCATAATGTCATTTGAAGCATAAAGACTGTTGGCAACTAGTCAGGAGATCAACTGGTTTTTGGGGAATCTCTGGGCTATCTAGGTAAACTATTCCTCAATAGTGAACTAATTTGACTGGTGTGTTTCATCCTTATTTATAGATCTATATTGACTATGAGTACGCAAAACAGAAGACTTGAGCGATTAAGATATACAGTAATGAAGGTATTCTATACATAATTCAACCACATACAGTCCTAGAGAATATAACGTCTCACATACAGAAACAAGTTGCTTGATATTTGCGATAGATCTCATTGAGTCGCGAGATTGGCGTCTCCCGAGCTCCCCACCTTATCGGGCCTCCATCCCCTAAACAACAAACATGGGAGACTCCCTCACCGACAGCATCCTATCAATTCTTAAAGAGCGAGATATCCTCGCTAAGCGCGATGCCATCGAGTCCGCGTTTGGCGGCGCTTCTGCCAACACGGAGTGGGCATTGAAACACCTCCGTCCCGAAACCCTGCTATCTAAAGAGGAACTGGCATTGTATGTATTTGGCTATTATATTGCGGTGCATTATCGGGCTATGAGCTTTCTTGCTACGATATTATGATATCAATCTCAGTATGAGTTTTTAAGCTAATTTGGACGTTCAGATACTCGAGACTCGAAGCCTCCGGCGCTCTCCAACCCATCCTTTGCAACCCCGACCTCCCTGCCGCGCGTCCTGTCCTCGAGGATGACCTCCGAAACGCGATCGAGTCCCTTGAGGCTTCTACGGTTACAATTCAGAAACAGACGGAGACTTTAAAGTTCCAGTGCGATAGTCTGAATAAGCAATTGGGACTAGCGATCAACTTAGAGCAACAGCGGAATCGAGACGTTGCTCGGTTGCGGAAGAAGCATGAAGGAGGGAGACAGAACACAACAATGGCGGTAGGTTGAGATCTGCTGCGCCGCATGGGAGCGTGTGACTGACTCGCGCAGGCCAGTGAGCTGTCCGACGAACTGGAGGTCAATTTCAAGAACGCGACGGACAAGTCGAGCACGGAAAGCAAGAGAATCCTTGCATCTCTGTCAACCCGGCTAAAGCAGGACGACAAGACCCTTGCTAGCTTAGAGTCTCTCGTGTCGGGTGTCAAATATCGTGGCAATGATGCATCCACGGTGACGCGTACGAATGACCTGAGTGCCATGCTGGCAGACTACGTTGCCGAGGAAATCCATTATCGGCTCGATCGACTCTACTTGGAGACGGTCCAGGCTGGGGGCACAGGTGCCAAGGCATCAGCAGGAGAGACCAGTGCTGCGCTCGAGGAAGAACTCGAGTCTCTATACCCCGAGATTGGGATATTGGCCGAAATGTCGATCAGGCAGCAGTTCAGCGAGCCAATCCTTAGAGAGCTTCTGAATGAACATGGCAAGCTGCGAATGGCGTCGCAAGAGAGTTTGGAGCAGGTACAGTGCTCCTGCGCATTCGGAGAAGGAAGAGCTAAAACATCGTTAGGCACTCGACACACTGATCGAAATGACATTGTCCAAGCAGGATCTCACGAAGCAGATGGCAGACAGGTTGTCATCTTCCGTGCTTTTGGACCAATTAGCCGCCCTATATCAAATTGAAGCCGGTGAAATCGTCACACAGCCCTCTTCACGGAGAGATTCACTGCGCCGCCGATCTTTGCAGCCAGGTCTTCTGCTTACGGCTAAAGTTCCTGCAGCGCCTACAATTGACCAACCTGCCCTAGGAAGTATTTTGCGACGTGTTGGTGTGATTTCCGAATCTGTACTCCGGCCAAAAGACAACGGCGGCAACGGCGGGATCAGTGACCTTCACGAAAAACGAATTCAAATGTCCGAAACGCTTGGTAATCTCAAGGGCGCAGTCGATTCTCCTGTGCTGGTTCACTTATCGCCATCCGATAGCGCATCCCAGCTCCTTCGGTCTGCCTTGACTGCCAGCTGTCATTATGAAACATCGCTGCATAGCACACCCGAGGAACAAAGGATTTTAGACCTCGAGAGTGAGGTAGTGAGGCTACAAACCGGGATCCAGGGCCTGAACATGGATATTCTGCATCAGCGTGACAAAATCCAGGACAGGGTTCTTCAAAGGTGGACCTAGATGATGCAGTATTGTTAACCCAACACGGCAAGATGGGGCACGCCTTCTATAATGGGGTTCACGTTGTAAATCGTTGGTCCTGACGTGATGTTGGTGACAGTAGCGCCTTTCGCGCCGCCAAAAGCTGCACCTCTGAGTGGACAATCAATTGTGGCAGTGTGGCTGTTCCATGTAACATACAAAGGAATTCATCTCGGGGAGACTTGAGCATCGGGTGCCCGATGCGCAGTGAACATTCACCTTCAATGAAGTAATGGAGATCCAAGTGTAATTCCATAGGGTTTAGATATGATTCCCGCTGCAAGCCATACAGGGCGTGGCTCATGTCGTGCATCTCCTACGTCGCACGTCCCTTTCGGACTGGAAGAGAACCCGTATAGATGGATCTATATCAGACTCTCTTATATAGACAGATCATTCCCATAAAATTTTAGAGTTACTTAACGTAGTCCAACCCACCTAGGATGTTGACCTTGTCACCCGATATTGGGCGATTCCCCATGACTTTCACCTGCGCCCCCTGTGACTAAAGGCGTATCAGCCACCATATATCATCTTTATAGCTTCAAGTATGAGCGATGCCCCTGTTATGGACGTGTTGCTGCCTGTGTCCTTGTGAATCTGCCTCGAGTTCATTCTAGCTATAAAGTCTCTATGCCCTCGTGTTGTTTGATGCTATACCTCACGAGTCTTGTTTTTGAGTCTTTGAATTTATTTCGAGTCTACTTTGTTCGACTCTATGAATATACAATACACATTCTATTCTCAGCATTCTGCACACAACAAGTACCGGCTTTATGTCTTTCATTCGTTATATACTTAGACGAGCCTCGAATAGGCAGTTTGAAGTTCGTACCCCTTCGCATTTATTTCTGTCTACTATAGCTGTGTTTCTCATCAGCTCTTGTTTCGAGTTTCTCTTTGCCCACAGAGTCATTGTTTTGATGACCCATTTACTTGGACTGACACCATGCGTTTTCAATATTGAAGATCAAGGCCAACAGCTAACCTCAGCATAGATGGATTATTTCACGAATAAACACGGATTGTATCGAAAACCTCGAAGATACGACTGCTACCCTTCACCTGATTACGGTGACCACTGGTCACCCCCAGACTACTCACACGAGAGCGCCGATACATTCTGGGCCCGAGGAAAGCGTTACCGCCACAGAAATACTTGTAACACGGACAACTTTGACAGTGGCATGCCCTTCTCCAGTGGCATGCCATACCCATCCGAGCCATCCAAATATAGAAGAGTCCATTCATATGCTCAGGGACGCCCAGCAGGGTACAAACCCGGATCTCGGTCAGATGTCACATACATCGATCCCGATACACACAGGGATAGAAGACCAGCTCGAGAAAGTCGACCTCGACCTCGGCCTCAACTCCGAGAACATTCGTATGAAAGGTGTCGTCCGGCCACTCAGTCTGCCGATCCATCACTCGACTCATCAACCGATGAGCCCGAGATCATAGAAAGGGCGCCAAAGCCGCACAAGCAAGCTCGGTTTGCAGAACCATCCACACCCCGAGCCAGACAAACTCGTTCAAGCTCTCCCGTCGATGAGAGAAGACCACCTTGTGCTGGGCGAAGGATGCCATCGGGTTATTCCACTGGTTCGGGGATCCCCGAGCGGGCGCGAATGCCGTACAGCCGGGGCCCAGCATGTCCACGTACGTCTGCGGGTGAGCGCCAGCGAAGGCTCTATTCAATAACCCCTTTCTCACCTCGAATGCAGGTTCATGAGCGCCAGCGCAGAATGTATTCATATACCCTCGAGCCGACTCGGGAGACACATCGCACCGAGACTCGGGCTTCTGAGATGCCTGATATGATTCGGGATGGTTATAAGTCCATCAGTCGCCGAGCTCGACAGACATGCTACATGGGGCGGTATGCATTGGGATATGATGACAACTGCCCTTGCACCGAGTGCAGGCCGTGAGAAATCACGAATTGGCCTTTTGGTCAACACAATGCCTGTTTTTTGAATTTCAGGAAGAAGAAACAAAGGAAAACAGAACAAAAACGCGATCCCAAAACAAAGGGTCCGAAGTCCGAAGAAAAGAAGAGAGAAGGAAGAGGCGAATACGTTTATAGTCGGTTAAAGGCGCTTATCGGAATGCATCAATACCCCCTGGGACAGCACGGAGTAAAGGTCAAGGTATATGAAGTTTGGGTTTATGAGGAGTTATTGGCTATTGTTTACTGCTGTTATTGTCATGTACATAAGTTACTCTGCCACTCTTCACTACCCATAGTTGGATCAAAGCATCAAAGTGATGCAATGCTGATAACTTATCTTTGCCCCTGGAAACATTCAACTTTCTCAAACCTGCTTGAACTAGTCTAGACTAACGGCAATGTGAGAACTTCAATCTCACATTCCTGCTTTGCTTCTACTTTGCTTCCAAGTACTCCTGTGTCCTATCCTCCCCCGCTATATTCCACTCACCTCCATCCCTCCTCTCCTCCCCGTGATCACATATCGCCACGAGACCGAGACCACCACCTCCTATTCCGCGTCAGAAAATGAGATATCCAGTCGCGGAGCCATCATTCACAAGGCTCAGGTGCACTCTCTCGCTCGCATTCCCAACCCACGCAGCCTGCGCGCAATGAACATCCTGGCCAAAATGGCCGCCGTCACACAAACGGAGTGCATGCCCGATGACACAGACGCCGACACCGACACGCGCGAGAATACGAATGTGAACGTGGACGTGAATGCGACTGTGCGCCCGGCGCTCGCCATGCTGAATCTCGACTCGCCGGACGGTGTGATCGGGGACGCTGATCATGCTGATTCGCCGCGGAACCACGCCGCTGCCGTGTTTGGCATTTCGCCTGAGGCTGCAGTTCACCTGCTTTGCTTTAATGTTGAAGCTCTGGGTGCTCGGTATATTGATAAGCCTTCAGGGACGGATGGGTTGAATTCGCATAGCTCTACGCCGCTGGAGTGTGAGACGCCTGTGGGTGAGGGTCAGCTGGGCGTGCAGTCGATCGGGTTGCATGTGAATGATCCTAATGACTTGCCTAACCCGGCACGCGCGACTGAGGAGGCGGTTCAGTTGGCTATTCTGGCCAAGAAGTTTCTTTCCAAGAAGGTTCCTGCATTTCCTTTGAAGGAGTATCTGCTGAGGTTGCATAAGTATTGTCCTATGTCTACGGCGGTGTATCTCGCGGCCAGCGTGTATATATCTAAGATGACCTTGGATGAGAATGTTCTGAGGGTAATGCCGAGGAATGTGCATAGGTTGGTGCTTGCTGGTATCTGGGTTGCATCCAAGGCCTTGGAGGACTTGAAGTATTCGCATAGCCGGGTTGCTAAAGTCGGTGGTGTCTCTGAACAGGAACTGTCGAAACTGGAGATCAGTTTTTGTTTCTTAGCCAACTTTGAGTTGCGGGTTGATGCACAGATGCTTCTGAATGAGACCTTGCGCTTCAAGTCTCCTGAATAGCATTGGAGATCATGTTCACTTTGTGGTTCAATATAGGTGTGGTTATCTAGGCACGGTCTTCAGACGGCATTTATCCCAGGACTTTTGTCCAAATCTATAGATTTCAGACATTAATATTCATGGTATATTGGAGCAATCTCATTTTGAAATGTATCAAACAAATTCGATTGGTGGTCTCGATCCCTGTTAATACTGGTTCGTCGAGGCAATTTCCACTCCAGGATAGTACCAAGTGCAAACAGCAACGATGAAATACACCAAGACACAAAGAGCTCCTTCGAGGTAATTGGACTTGCCATCTCGCAAGAAATTACCGACAACCAGAATCGACAGAACAAGGAGAACAACCATGAAGATTTCAAAGTTCAGACTCATCTCCTTGTCCATTCCCCAGCCGACAATGACGGTAAGTGGTGCATTCAGCAGTGCAGTCTGGATAGAAGGGCCCAGGCAGTGGAAGAGTGCAAAGTTGATCTGGTTGTCCCAGGCTTCATCAACAGCAGTAAGATGTTCCGCAGCCTTTTCGACCAGCGGGACAAGGATCAACCCGAGGAAGTTATCCGAGACACCACGAGCCACAATGTACTCGATTTCTTGGACCAGGAACACGGCGGACATACAAACACAAGTCAGGGCAAATGCAATGGCAAGGAAGCACTCGATCAATGTGAGCTTAGCCCTGGCGCGTTCCTCGTGTCTGTCTTCATCGTTATCTTCGTCTGCCGCTAGGACTTCGTCGAAGATGGAGTTGTGGCTGTGAAGATTAAAGACCAGGTAGCTATTGGGGTCAGTAATGGTTTTCTATGCATAAATCAACAGTCACTCACGTCAAAAATGCCACGAGAAGAATAACCGAAGTGGCACGACTGATTGTCAGAGCATAATCACCTAAGTCGTCAAGTGTGAACTCTTCATTGACACTTCCACGCAGCGCCGAGTAGAAAGCACTAGGAATCAAAAGTCCAAAGCCTGCGACAAGCAGCAGTCCAGTACCGACCTCGCTGACTGCTTCGTGGAAGACTTGCTCCTCGCGTCGGATGCCACCAACAAAGAAACACATGCCTAGACAAAGCAGGAGGTTTGCCATGATGGAGCCAAGGATAGCGGCCTGGATAACGGGGATCAGATCGACATGGTCTGTTCGGTTATGGTTATGCAATAGGACCATGAATAGGACAAGTTCCACCACGGAGCTTAGTGTCGTTTCAACCAAGATGCCCAGCATCTTGGGTAATTTCTTGGCTAGCTCTCCACCTGCGAAGCCGAGTAAGTTTGCCGAGGGCACCATGGCGATGTAGTTGAGACTGAAAATCCAGACATGAAGGTCGGGTCGAGCAAAGTGTATAGCGATAGCGGCAGGGACAAAAGGCCAAAGAATGTTCACCACCATTGACAGTGTGCAGACACTCCTGAAGCATACTTTGAGGAGATGCCATGGGTGTATTCCAGTCCGACCGCTCTCTCCTGCAGATTTGACACGAAAGAGGCCATATCGTCGTTTGGAACTGGTCGAGTTGGTAGGCAATATCGAGTTACCCTGCGAGGTCTTTTCTTTCACTGTTTTCGATCCATCACCATTCCCGCGGAGGCGCAGATCTGTTTTTTGGTCGTTGGCTGACCTAACTGAGCCCATGATCACAGAGCTCGAGGCTACTGTCTGGGTAAGGACGGTACCAGACCGAGAAGCGACCAAATGATATAAGAGAGGTTGGATTTGAAATAAACGCTTGACAGAGAGGAAAAAATCGAGAAAAGAACGCTGCAAGGACAAGGATTTTATGCTGAGGGTAAGAAAAATGCAAAGAAAGATTGGGGGATAGCAGGGACTATACAGCTCTAGCCCGTACGAAAGGAGGCAACGAAAACAACCACAACTGTGGGATGAGCTGGCAGGCCGCATAGCCAATCAGCCTTTAAATGATCGAGAGCAATGGATCAGGGATGGAGCATCTCTCGAGCCAGGAGGTCTTGGCGCATCCAGCCACGATGTACAGCTGCGCCATGACGATCGTATTCAGCTTTCCTGTGGCGACTTGGGCTCCCAAAGGGGCTCCCAACCTCTAGTCACAGTAAATAACTGGCATCCTGGCAGCTTTGGCATGCTAAAGATGAAACTCCAAGGTGTCCTGTATGTAGATTGGTGTGGGGAATGGCATGTCCCAAAGCTGTGCACAGCCACGGTCTTGGCTCTGCAGAAATCGCTCAACCTAGCGCATCATTTCCTAGAGAGTGTGAAAAGACTTGTGCAGGAAGAGCTTGATTTAGCTTGATTTTTTTGCTGAATTATTGGAGTAAAGTGGGCAATGTGGATAGAGATCGTCGTGCATGTAGAAGAGAGATCGGTTGAATCGGTAAAGCAAGTTTTAAGTGCGGTGTGCGGAGGAGCAGACTAAGTCATGTGCTTAGGCCCTAGAGACTTGTGATTTGCTGTATATTCTCATCTACAGTATGACTTATAGAATATTTCACAGTACAGTGTGAATTTATATGTGTTTGTGGACCTCAACTTAATTCCGAATGCAATTTGACCTGTCCTCTGTTTATATACATGCGATCTTCCTACATATGCAGAGTCCGTAACTCGGAGTTAAATTATAGACAAATATACATGTACCCATATAGTTAGCTCTTCCTATATCCTATTGTCCTATACTTATATATCTACTTCCATTCTTATATACTGCAAAGCACAACAGATGTAGATTAGATGGGTCCACCGGCGGCTATCATCGGGCGGGGCGTAAAAAACGGAAGTCTTCAACTTTTTACTTCTTACAACCTCACTTCCTTTTGCTCCGGGTAGTGACCTTCATATTCATAATGTCTTCTACTACCTTCAACCCACCGGTGGCTCTGGATGCCATCACCCAGCAGATTGGCAACACACCCCTTGTTCGCCTGAACCGTCTGCCCCGCAGCCTTGGAATCGATGCCACCGTTTACGCCAAATTGGAATACTTCAATGCCGGTGGCAGTGTTAAGGATCGCATTGCCTTGCGCATGATTGAGGAAGCCGAGCGAGAGGGTCGTATCAAGCCTGGTGACACTCTCATCGAGCCTACCAGTGGCAACACGTTCGTTTTTTCTCTATGGTGTGATTCGGGGTGCTAATTATGACTTAGTGGTATTGGCCTGGCGCTGGTTGGTGCTGTTAAGGGTATGATTATACTAATTTGATCATGCTATAATTTGTACTGATATGATTGTTGCAGGCTACAAGACCATCATCACCCTCCCCGAGAAGATGTCCGCCGAGAAAGTCGCCGTCCTGCGCGCCTTGAACGCCACGATCATCCGTACCCCCAATGAGGCCGCCTACGACTCGCCCGAGTCCCACATTGGTGTCGCCAAGCGTCTCGAGAAGGAATTGCCCAATGCCCACATTTTGGACCAGTACGGCAACGTGAACAACCCTTTGGCCCACGAGCTCGGTACCGCCGAGGAGATCTGGAACCAGACCAATGGCCAGATCAAGGCTATTGTCGCTGGCGCAGGAACTGGTGGTACCATCACTGGTCTTGCTCGCGGTCTTAAGAAGCACAACGCCGATATCAAGGTGATCGCCGCCGATCCCTTCGGTTCCATTTTGGCTTTGCCTAGCACCCTCAACGATGCTCGCGCCAACGAGCCCTACAAGGTTGAGGGCATTGGATATGATTTCATTCCCGATGTTCTTGACCGGGAGGCTGTGGACCACTGGTACAAGACTGCCGATAAGGAGTCTTTCAAGTTCTCTCGCCAATTGATTGCCCAGGAGGGTCTGCTGGTTGGTGGTAGCAGTGGCAGTGCCATTGCTGCTCTCGTCAAGGCCAACGAGGAACACAAATTCTCCAAGGACGACGTTCTGGTTGTGGTGCTCCCCGACAGCATCAGAAGTTACCTCACCAAGGTAAGATCGGATGAATGCAACATGCAACCTCAAAGGACATTATACTGACTACTTCCAGTTCGCTGATGATGACTGGCTCGCCGCCAACGACCTGCTCCCCCAACTCCCCGCTGAAGTTGCCACGACAACTGAGATCGAGCCCGAGTCCAACCCTCTGGCCGATGCCAAGGTCAGCGCTCTGCGCCTGAAGCCCATTACCACCGTCACATCCAGCTCGCCCTGCGAGACTGCCATTGAAATCATGCGCGACAGAGGCTTCGACCAGCTTCCCGTCCTTGCCCCCTCCGGCCGCAAGCTCGTTGGTCTCGTCACTCTGGGTAACGTGCTCAGCCGACTGACTCACGGCCGTGCCTCCGGCCAAAGCCCTGTCGCCGATGTTATGTTTGACTTCTCCAAGATTTCCGAGGTTGTCACCGATCCCCGTGATCTCGGCAAGGGCAAGGACATCGTTAAGCCCCAGGCTCGCAGCCGTAGCTTCATTGAGATCACTATGGATACCCCTCTCAGTGTGCTGAACCGCTTTTTCGAGTGGAACAGTGCCGCTGTCGTTACTGAGAAGGATGAGAGCGGTGCTATGAAGCCTCTGGCCGTTGTCACCAAGGTCGATCTTCTCACCTGGATGCTGCACCAGAGCAAGGCGAACAAGGCCTAGATTGCTTTTGATCGGATAGAGATTTCTTCTGTCCAAAATGTATTTCGCATGATATATTGCTTCTTGGGGTAGAGGTTCAACATTGGGCATTCTGACATTTGGGATGGGCGTTTATTTCCTCTTCCGCAGGCCTCATTGAGATTCAACACACGATACCTGTGCAAAGATAATTGGCGTTGAGTACGATGCATACTTAATACACATAGAGAATAGCATAGTCCAATGGTACCGGTGGCGATGACGTATACGTACTACACCTCGAGTTTGACAACTTCAACCCATTTCTCAACTCAAAAATGACTGGAATATTTACCTACCGCAACTTTTCACTCGATGATGTGCCGGATCTAAAGGAACGAGTGGCTGTAGTCACGGTAAGTCATCTGGCTATCACATCAACTAAGGCTGATCCTGGCTAATCCTTCAATAGGGTGGACATGCAGGCATTGGCAAAGGCACGTACAGTTTCGATATGAGAACATCAATTGGAATGTTGCAACAGGGGTCATAAGTCTGCTCACAATGCTGTGAAGTAGGGGACAATTCCTGACAAGAACTCGAAGTGAATGTGCCTCGGATCTTTTGTCACCTCTTTCATCGCCTCTTTTTTCGGCCTTTTTTCAAGTGCCTCGGGCGAGCCATTTAGATCATATCAACGCGGACTTATGGCCACTGTTGTAGATATTGGGTTGAAATATGCTAACAATGAATAGAAATCACGGCTCAGCTTCTCCTACACGGAATAGAGAGTGTGATTATCCTCGCCAGAAGCGAAGACAAGTACATCGCTGCTTGCAAAGAATGGAGACAAACTGAGGCTATCTCACTCAATGAGGATGACTCTCGAGTCAAGTTCGTCAAGTGTGATCTGGGAGATATCGAGGATGTCAAAGCCGCAACTGAAAAGATCAAAGAACTGACAGATCGAGTTCACATCCTGGTCTGCAATGCAGGTGAGTATAGGTATCATCTTTATCCTGCTACCATGTATCTAACAAAGCATGAAGCCCTCGGCGTCCCAAATGAATACACCCGCTCGCCACAGAATATCGAGCGTGTCTTCGCGACAAACTGCGTCGGGCACCAAGTTTTGACTACACTACTCATGCCTCTCTTGAAACATGGCGTGGTAACTGTACGCAACGGCGATGTACGTATCGTCGTTGCTAGTTCGTCTCTACACCTGACCTGCCAGGAGCTAGATCTCGATCTTCTGACTTCATCTACACGTACCAAATGGCCGGCGTTATATGATGGCGTTTGGCGATATGGCCGATCAAAGCTGGGTAATATTCTTTTCGCGAAAGAGCTCAGTCGACGGCTTTTGAATGATCGTGATCCGGCTAGTAAGCATATCTATGTCAATTCATTCTTTCCGGGGAATATTGTCACTGATCAGTGGCTTGACTGGTCTTCTTATTTTGGGTCTTTCTTTGGTTGGCTTATGAGGTTGTGTGGATCGTCTTGGGGGCAGACGTTGGAGGATGGGGCTGCCACGGCTTTGTATCTTGCTGCTGCTGCTGAGGTGAGAGAGGGGAATATTCGTGGTCAATACTTTATACCTATCGCTACGTTGTGTGAGCCCAGTTCGATTGCTGGACGACTCAAGGTTTCGAGGGATTTGTGGGTGAGTATCTCATCTTTCAATCAGATTTCTCAGATCTCAAGGCTGATCCCCTGCAGGACTGGATTGATGCTCAGGCTACAGAGACACTGGGGCTGGACTGGGAATGGCAGAGTTAGCAGGAAACGTAGGTTAATCGCTGAAGAACTCAATGCACTTTTGGTATCTGCCATATTAAATACAAAGCACAATCAATCTATTTACTGTTTTGGACCGAGACAACAAAGCAATGGAGCAAACCCCAAATCTTACAGGCACATGCCAACCCACTCTTCCCAGCGACGCACTCCAGAGCCATACTCCTCCTGCGAGTCACCCTTGACGGCGCCACCAACAACCTCAACCTTGACACCAACCTCGTGTTCCAACAGCTTAAAGCTGAAAGCTTCCTGGTCGTCGTTTCCAAGAATCTCCTCGTCGTCATACATGGTACTGTCGGCACTTGCATCCAAAAGACCCTTGTTCTTCGACTTGCGGATGCGATCAATCTCAGCCTCCAGTTTCTCCTTCACCGAGCCCGGTGGAAGAGCCGTGAACAGATCCTGCTTATTCGCAGCGACCAGGACAGGAATCTCGGTGGTCCGCTTGCTGGACGATCCGTTCTTAGCACGCTTCTGGAGGACCAGAAGGACATCGTGTAGATAAGTAGCGGTGTCGCGGAGTGTCACCTCGTCCACCAGGGCAGCGGTATCAACCATGAAGACTATACCCCGTAGCCGGGTCTTGATGTCCTTAGACTGGGCCATAGCCTGGAGCTCCGATAGCCCCTGCGAGACACGGAGCTTGCCATGGCCAGGGGTATCCCTTACACGGTACTTGATCGGGTTGCGTGCCGCCTCCTTCAAGGAGGGATCGTTGACCGAACGGTACCGATTGGAAGCTGTAGGAACATCGGGCGGCAGGTTAACAGTCACCAGGGTCGATCGTTGAGAGGTGTGAGTGGTTTGCGACTTCTTCGAAGCCGGGGAAGACTTGGCCTCGAGCTGTAGATTAAGTTAGCAAGGACTCAACCCCTTTGACCATCTCAAGAATGATATTACCAAGGTTGTAAAAGCAGTTTTCCCAGATCCGCTGGGTCCTAGGAGCAAAAAGTTGCTCGACGGCGGAGACGCAACAGCTTGGAAGAAGATCAGGTGCAAAGTGATTGGGACACCGAAAGTGAAGATAATAGCAATGGCGATGGCCACCAGATTGCCATCAAATAGCAACGTGGCAATACCAGTCACCGAATCCCAGCCCGCTTTGCTCGACATTGTTGTTGAAAGTGAGTGCGGAGTGGGCTGATGACGGAGAAGAGGTGGCCCGCACAGGCCACTATTGATGTATAGGCAAATGGCCCTTTCAAGGAATGTCAACTTTGCATACCACAGGGTAACGAAGGGATGGAGTCTCTCTCCTCTGGAAGGATTTCTCACTGGAATTCATCTCTCTCAACCATCTCAGTATGCGAGTCCAAGTTCCGGCAGTTGTGCTGTCATTCGCGGCCTTCGCCTATTCCCAGATCACAGATGGTCTGAGTTTCGACGGCGGAGATGTTGTGAGTCTTCTTTGGGGGTTGGATAGTGAAAAGCCTTCAAATTACGACTTCTATCTCTGCGCGGGTGATGAAACCACAGATTCTTATGTACGTTGCTCATTCGAGGGCCGCGTTTTACACCTGCTCATCACCATTTAGGACTCTCTATCGCAAGTGATCGAGAATGGCGCCTATTCTTCTGGGGATATGATCTCCTTCCGAGTCGACCAGAGTGTCGGTGGGAACGAGCCTAATGCATAGTAAGACTGATTTTCCCTTTGAGAGGCATACAAGTCCATGTTAACTGACCAACCCGCCTATGTTCCATCAGCTTCCTCAAGGTGGTTTCTACAGACTCCAAAGAATATTGGTCTGGGTTCACATCTCATTTCACCCTACGAAACATGAGAGGCTCTTTTTCGCCCAAAGTAATGGACGCAATCAAGACAATGCAACCAAAGTCCCCTGTCGCAATCCCCTGGCCTGTAGTTCAGGATGACAATCTGCTCGAGGAGAAAGTCCCCTCGACCTTCAACATCTCGAGTCTCAGCGTTTCATCAACCGGGACCCTTTTACAGTTCCCAACGCCGACAGTGGATACTGAAACTGGTCACAATGAGTTACGGAAACGACAGGTGATGGCTATTGGCGGCGTTGGAGCCGGTGCCGTCGCAGCGGCCGTTGTTGATCAGCATACGGTCCCATTCGGTGAACAGACTGGCCTGATAAAGTATGCTCCCATGCCCAAGAAGGCTGGGACTACCATTGCAACTAGATCGGCTACTCCTCAATATCCGCCTTTCCCATTCTCAATTGCAACTGCCTATCTTGGGGCTCCGACTGTTCAGTACACCGATATGGCGTATGCCACATGGACAGCACACAGCATTGAGAACACGGTATGTTTAATACTATTGGCCTTGCAGCAACTTACAAAATGCTAACTTTTCACTCACCCCAGGCTGCTCCCGCCTCTCAGCCCACCCTAGACAAGAGAATGCAGAAGTGGTTGGACCGTTGGAAGGATTGATTGTATTTCCTCATCTTACTTTTGGTGGATATCATTCCGTAGCGATCACGTCAGCGTGAGGATCCTTGTATGGCTGATGTCCTGGCGTTGGAGTTTGTCGGCTCTTCAATGGCTTTCTATTGTATGAACTTTTGTGCTTATATCCCACCACCTCGATATTGAAAGAAATCCAATATTAATGGGAAAACAACACGCCTTACTATATCCAATGCGGTTGAGCGCAAGAAATCTTTCGTCTCGGTTGTTCGTTGAATGCGTATAATCAATGATCGGGCATGGTGCTAATTATTTTTACTTCCACTCATCCAGAGCCGGCGTTAATGATGGTGTCACCGGATGACTGACGATATCCTCAGGGTGGAACGAAATGTTCTCCCGCATTGCCACGTAATCACTGTCGGCATAGCCAAGTAGTGTCTCAATCTCGGTGCTGCGGTGTCCCTTGATATGCGCAATCTCAAGGCTGCCATAGTTCACCAAGGCCCGACCAACTTCCTTAGGCTCCTGAGCGTGGTGGTAAAAGTCACCGTTGAGAGCGTCGGGAGATGGACGCTCAACAACAACTAAGCGAACAGCCTCCTGTTGGCCGAAATGACCCTCAACTCCCACCACTCCAGCTGGAAGCAGGTTCGCCTTGTTCAAGAGGGCATTGTAGGCTCCGTGATCGATAAACAAAGTACCGTGTGGGTAGAGCCCGTGGAGCAGCCAGAAGGTTCGTGATTGAACCGGCGTACCAGACCGAAGAAATCGGGTATGGAGAGGGGCTGTTGGGGCATCTTGTTCATTTGCCGTGCCATTAGAGCGAGCCTCAACGTGTTGCAGATACTTCACGATCTCGTGAACGTTGCCTGGTTTGGAGCTCTTGGTAATAACGGTTGTTACGCCAGCACTGGTTCCCAGTTTGGCAGCCACAATCTTCGTACTCATGCCTCCAGTTCCAAGAGAGGAGCCAGCCGATGAGACATCGGCCTCAAGAGAGGCAATGTCGGATACAACTTCAATAGGTTTTGCGTCAGGATTATTTCGGGGGTTTGCAGTATAAAGACAATCGACGTCGGTCATCAAGAAAAGGTAATCGGCTTTGACCATGGCCGCTGTAATCGCAGAAAGGGTATCGTTGTCGCCAAATTTAATTTCCTTGAAAGATTGTCAGAATTTGGCGACGTAGAACAAAATTGGTGCTCTTACAGAAACAGCCAGGGTATCATTTTCGTTCACAATAGGAATCACGCCCATGTCGAACAGCTGTCCAAAGGTATTTTGGGCGTTGACATATTGGGTCCTCTGGAACGAATGTCAGCATAGGAAAGGAATATCAAGCAATATCAAATAAGACACATACATCTGCAATATCATTTCTCGTTAGAAGGATTTGGGCCACCGGGACGCGGAGATGCGAAAAGAGATTGTCCCAAAGACTCATCAGCCTACACTGGCCAACTGCAGCGAGTGCCTAAAACATGTGATTAGCTTCCACATGAATACATCTTGGAAATGCGCATCACTCCATGCCCTAGCGTCTCATACTTGTATCCGTGGAAGATATGTTGGTCTTTCGTCCACATCCATTCTGCGAAGACCAACACCCACTGCGCCAGACGATACAAGGACAACCCGGTGGCCATCTCTGTGTAGCTTGGCTACTGTTTCAACGATCAATGTTAAGATGGACAAAATTGGCTCGTGTGTCTTTTCGTCAACGATTGAACTCGTTCCTGCAACGAGAACCGGAGTTGTCAGTATCGCGATTCGAGTCATCGCTCAAATATAGATTCCCCGCACCTAGTTTGATCACAATTGTGAGGCTTGACGGGGCTGCCATGATGTCGAGTCCAGTCAATCCAAATGGATCTCGCAGTCAACCAAGAAGAGAAACAAAATGAAGACACAAATACTTGTTGACTGCCTGCGGCAATTGTCCGCGGAGGAGTCACTTTTTGCCCGATCCCGGACGATTCTGCCACTTACGACCGCCCTCTGCGGAGGTTCTTCCTGTATTGCGCGCAGCCATCAGTTAATTCAGAGTCCCAATTCACGATGACAGACTCCCAGTCGCCAGGTGCGTCTGCGCCTACAAATGGAAAGCCTGACACCACAGGTTTCATCCCTGGTGATGACACCTGGACCCAATTCCGCAATATCTATTCCATTCTTACCGGCAAGATGTCAAACGAAGGCATCGAGAAGTTCCGTGTCGCGCGAGATACCCGAAATGAAGCCGCAGATTGCAAGCGTTGTGAAGAACAGCGTGATTATCTTCTCCAATATAGTGAGTTACTCGCCGTGGAATCATCCGAGGCTGCAAACTTATATGATCAACACGCAGGTCCTACCATCCGTTTCCTTAGTGAAAGTATTCAGCAATTAGGAGGTGATCTCCATAATCACAATATTTATTGCCGCCGCTGTACGGATCGAAAGGGTGGTGGTTTCGACCCAGAGTATGGAATCTTGATCTGCGCGAATGAGATGAAGGATCAGGGACACCTCGAGGACACAATGGCTCATGAGATGGTTCATGCCTTTGACCACCTAAGGTTCAAGGTCAATTGGTCCGATAACCTGCGACACGCAGCTTGTACGGAGGTATATAATGGTTTGCCTTTGCTCCACTGGTTTACGGCTGCTAACTGTATCTAGATTCGGGCCAGTTCGCTCAGCGGCGAATGCAGATGGGCGCGCGAGTTCTTCAGGAGAGGACAGTGGAAACTTACACAGCAGCATCAAGAATGTGTCCGCAGACGAGCTATTCTCTCTGTGAAGGCTCGCCCGACCTGCAAAGACGAAGCCCATGCCGAACGGGTTGTCAATGAAGTCTGGGAGAGCTGCTTCAGAGACACCCGACCGTTTGATGAGATCTACCGATGATACCACTCCCTTCTTTGTCATTCAGCCCTATAAATTCTCCACACTTGTATCATAGATATGTTCGTTGGAATGTACCATATTTCATTGGCGACGTTGGAAACAAAATAAAATAGCAAGATATCGCCATGTCATGTGAAACTCTCTCAATTGGACTCCAAAAAACAACCCAACGCGCCCTAAAATGCTCAAAAGACCAGAAGCTCCAAAGACTCCATACGAGGGTAAGGAAAACCAAAACAAAAAGGACACCAGAACACCTAGAGATCTGTCATGCAAGGTCGTTCATGCTTTTTCGGTCTTTGAGGAACCAGAGCTTCGTTTCAAGGTCTGCTCTTCCTTCGCACAGTGCTTGACAATCCAAGGATGGCGTTGGATTTCATCGAGAGGAATTCGCTTAGCAGGGTCAAGGACCAACAGCTATAAAGTATTAGTAAGCCAACCATGTACGTAAAAGAAGTTTAGTCTTACCTTCTTGATGAGGTCCTTTGCCTCAGGGCTCACAAAGGACGGAACCGACATATCTGCCCGGCTAATTCTCCGTTGGGTCATGATGGGAGTATCTTCAAAGGGAGCCTCACCAACCAAGAACTCATAGGTCAACACACCCAGACTCCATAAGTCAATTTTCTCGCTGTAGTAGTTCGTTTGGGAGCCACTGTGCAGCATCTCTGGGGGCAGGTAGTCGAGAGTTCCGCACATCGTCTGGCGCCGGTTGTTGGGGGCGTGTACACTCCATCCGAAGTCACTGATTTTGATCTCTCCGTGGATGCCAACAAGAATGTTCTCGGGTTTGATATCCCGATGCATAACGTGCTTCTTGTGGAGGTACTTCAATGCTGCAGCCATCTGGGCGATGTATTGGGCAGCCTTCCATTCCGGGAATCGGTGCTCCTTGCGAAGATGCTTGTAGAGCTCTCCACGGCCGGCAAACTCGAGAATCAAGAAGATACGCTTGCTGTCATGGAAATGGCCGTAGAGTCTCAGCACATTGGGGTGTCGCAGGTTACTTTGAATCTCGATCTCACGGCGGACTTGCTTCTGGACTCCACCCTGTTGAAGTTCGGACTTATGCAGTACCTTCAGTGCGCAGACAAAGCCGGACGAACGTTCCTTGGCAAGATACACTCGCCCAAATTTTCCTTTTCCGAGGGGCTTGCCGATTTCGAACATTCCCAGGTGCAGTTCTCTCGGTACAGACGACTGTTCATGAAGAGAAGATGTGCGCTTCTCGCCATTTTCATCGGTGTTTCGGGAGACCAACGTTCCGTGACCCTTGCCCGGCGACGGGGGGACATTCATTGCATTGACTTTGTTGTCATTGTTGTTTTGAAGGGCCAACTTGAGCAATTGTGCCCGGTTTGAGTTGCTGTTTGTCTGAGAGACGCCCGCGGAGGCAGAACCCTGAACTCATATCAGAAATTTGTATCCGGCACGATGGGTAGTGACAAATACCTTTTTTCCATAGGTCCTCTCGCTGCTTCCCTCCTTCTCATCTTTGACAGACAAATGCTCAAAGCGAGATTCAAGCGTCTTAGTCGCCATGGTGAGGCTCGGCTGTGTGGAAATCAAAGTAAAGGGACAGGCAAAGAGAGAACAAAATGAGAAGCGGGTGTAGAGATAAAATCTGGGTGGTGTTAGTAGAATGCAATCATGATCTGGTTGTCGTTTGGCGGTGATGGGAGGAGATCGCAAAGCTGGAGAGAGAGAGACAAAGCTCGGGTGTTTGGGCGATCCCGTGCTCGTCTCCCGGGCAACCCGTTGCTTATGTCATTCCTGTATCTTTTGCTGATCTACCGCCTTCCTCTCCGCCTTGAGGGCTGGGATGCATTGAATGGCATTCACATGGTGTTTATGTCATTAACCGACAAAGTACAGGCCTAAGTAACAAAGCAAAACATGTAACACCAATTCCTAAACTACATTATCACAATCCAAAGCATACTTAGACTTCGCAATCCGTCAAACCATTCTGCCGTACAAAACACCTTGGACTGTCGGTCCGCCTCTTTCTCCGTCCGCGCGGGGTTATCGCTATCAGCTCCGATCGCGAACGTTTATAGACCCTTAGGTACTCTCACCCGGATTAATCAAAGTTGCTGACTGCAATAGCTGTGAGCCTCGTCCACAATGACCACAACACACGCTACGGTGTCTCCAGAGGCGAAGAAGCCTAACGCGATTCGCATCAATGGATTCGTGATCTCAACACAGAAGCTACCCATTCTCAAAGCAGACCCGATTGAGGAAATGACCCAAAAGTTGGGAATCGCACCTCCAGAGATGATCTTTGGTGACAACTATGTTGCAATCGAGTCAGAGAAGGGTGACTGGGGCATTAACTTCAATGCATTTGATGCCTTGGACCTGGTGGACAAGACTGGTCAATCTATGCTTCAGGTCGCATACTCAAGAGAATGGCAAAAGAGCAGGTACTGATATATGCATTGGAACTTCTACCCATGTCATGATTGAGGCTAATCTTTCTGGGAATACAGAGAGAAAACACATGAAGGCATTAAAGAAATCGTGAAGCCATTCGACTGGTCCTACAGTACAGACTACAAGGGCACTCTTCATCCCAACGCGCGCCCATTCGAGGAAACAACGAAATCCATCCCGATCGAACTATTGAAACGTCCAGACCCCATCATCTTTTTCGATGAGGTTGTGCTTTACGAGGACGAACTGGCCGATAATGGAATTACGATGTTGTCTTGCAAAATCCGAGTGATGCCAGGAAGACTTCTTCTACTGTCAAGGCTCTTTATGAGACTTGATAACGTCTTGGTCCGACTTCGAGACACCCGAGTCTACGTAGACTTCGAAACCCGCGAGGCGATTCGGGAATATTTGTCTAAGGAGTGTGATTATGGGAAAGTTCGCGAGGTATTTCATATTCTGTGGCTTTTATTGAAGACCTGCTGACTTGCAAATTACCTACAGATGCTCGCGGCCACCAGGGACGATATCCCGGCATTCTTGAGAGATGCCAACCGACTTTCAGAGATTCTCCCTGTCGTAGAACATCGCACCGAGCGAGTGGATCTCAGTGATTGAAGATTCTATATCTCGCTTTTCCGTGGCATGTCCTAGCCCAGATTTTCACGATGGGTACCAGCTTAACTTTTGGCCTGGAGCCCTTGGGATTTTGCGTCGGTACCCGGACCAGATTTCACTGAATGAAACATATTACAACACGGTGTATCTGAAAAACAAGGACTTGTTATGTTTCAGGTTCACAAATATGGTCTTCACTTAGACTTGGAGGTGTTGTAGTACTGTGATACGCTTAACGATTAACCCCATTAATAAAAAGTTAATCCTACAAAGAGAAGCTTTAGGCCTGGCTGAATCAAGTACTTGCAATTTGGGCTTTAGCAAGTTAAATTTGTTATGACAAATGTAGACATAGTTGTTGGACCAGAGACTTTATGCACATAGGGTCGAGTAGAAATCATATACAGTATAAACAAAAAAGGCGGGGAAACTTCCTATAGAAAGGTGAATGCCGTTCAAACCGAAAGAAATTACAATACAGCCATTAAGAAATTCTTCTACTAAAGAGAATCTTCTAAGACACATCGTATCGTCCCCGTCGAGTATCAAAGTGATATATCCAAACAAACAGTGCAAACAGCCCAGTTATCAGAAAATGATGCAAGTCGCCAATCACGATAGACCAATTCACCTCAATCATCAACAATGTCATCCAGGAGATTGTCAACACTATGGGCCCGTGAAATGCGCGGGTCCCAGACGTCCTACATTTCCCAATGTGCTCGTATCACCACCTCAACAACGCTGCTGGTATCCGCCACATGCCCGTCTACGCGGTCGACCCGAAAATCCTCATTGCAACCGAATGTGGCCATTCGCTCGTACTCGCAGGGCAAGGTCGCTGACCTGGCCAAGAACTTCTCTCGTCGGCCTGGAACTGCCGCTGAAACCTATGTCGCATATGGTATGACCCAGAAGCTATTCGAGGCTTGCTCTAGCCAAGCGGACTACAAGATCCCCCAAGCATCGCAGAAAGGTGCTGAAGTCCCCAAGACGGAAGCTGGGGAGGATCTTGGTGTTGGAGAGGGCTGGTGGTATAAAGGTGAACTTGGATCTTTGTCGTGGCCTTGGCCACTTGTAGTGGAAAGTAACTAATCATGGACACTGCTGCAGAACTCGGTCTTAAGCCAACTTTCTCTACATGGTCCCAGGTGACTTTCCTCCACATGTACCTCTTGACAGTCCGTCTTCGTGCCCTTCCCTACCGTGAAAGTGTTACCACCTACTCCCGCCATCTTATCGACCATTTTTCGCACGAGGCGGAACACCGAATGGACATGTACCATGACCTGGGCAGCCGCACGATCCGCAATAAATACTTGAAGGATCTTTTTATTCAATGGCGCGGAATCATCGCCGCATATGATGAGGGGTTGGCCAAGGGTGATGCGGTTCTCGGTGCCGCTGTCTGGAGAAACCTCTGGAAGGGCAGCCAGACTGGGCCTGATGGGGAAGAGATTGACTGGGCTAAGGTTGCCCAGGTAGTGGTATACATCCGACGAGTTTTGTCGGAGCTCGCAAAGAAGGACGAGGTTGATCTTGTCTTTGCAATTGGAAGCGCCGACAAGAAGACCCGTGGTATTTTTGGGTACTCTGAGGCCGACAAGAAGCTTGTTGAGTCAAGCAAATAAGGGGATCTTGAGCTGGAATGTGCGAAATCCTAATTGGCGTTTTTGAGGCATTGGTTTGATGTATACGCATAGTGGATTATCACTTGGACTTCGAGACATGTACAATACTAATTGCCCTACTCTTCTTGCATATTAAATTATCTGTGATTTTAAACTCATTTTTTCTAATCGAGTAACAACGAAAACAACGAAAAACTTAGTTGTCTTTCTTGCCAAAGAGGTCCTTTTCTACCATGCCGCGGCAGATAGGGTGGTAGAAGTCCTTGTACTTCTCGAAAGTTTCGAGGGCAACAGGGCGGTTAATCTTTTGAAGGTTGCGGAAGCTAGAAGAATTGGCGTCAGTCTTTTAAACATCTTGAACTTGGGTTAGAGAGGTCTTACAGAGGTCGCACAAACTTCATGCGACCGATGCGGCCGAGCAACTCAGTGGTCGGTTCAATGACGCTGTCATCTCCAGCCTTCATGCCGACCTGGAAATAGAGGTTGGAAACCTCAATGTTTTCACTCTTGGACAAACCGTAGACTTCGCCCATCAATTTGGAGATCTCCGGACTGAGCGGCTTCTCCAGCAGGAGCATCTGTTCCAGGAAGACAACCAGTTGATTTGCGGTCAAACCCTCAATATCGCTGGCTTGAGGCTTGAAGGAAGACCCGGGAAGGGACTGCCATTTCTTGGAAAGCTCATAGACAACGTCCACAAGCGAAGTGTCAAAGCTTGGCTTGGGCGGCAAGCCCGGTGCATAGAACCACTTGTCCCAGTCTAGATCGTTCAAGAGCTTGGATGCTTCGGCATCCGACTGGAAGAAGTCCAAGATGGTGGCCTTGAACTCATACGAGTCCAAAGACTTGCACTTGAAAGTTGTGAAGTACTGAAAAGAACGTCAAATGAAGACCTTCAATGACTGTAGGGGATTGACGTACGTGAGGAATGAATTTGTCAAACTTGGGCTTTCCAACAAGGTTCTCAAGGTAGAACAGGAAGTTGAAGCCCTTCTCGTAAGGGATGCTGGAGAATGCATCGTCGGGGTCCTTACCCTTCAGATCCACAATAAGTTTAGTGAACTCGTGGTCATTGCCAAAGTGCTCCACAGAATCAGTCAGAGACTTCCATCCAATGATGGCCGAGAAGTGGCGGTACGCTTCGCCGTGACTATGATAGTTAGCATAACATTTGAGAGAGACAAGAGTCTCATAGACATACATAGCAGCCAGAATCTGTCGAATGGTTAGTAAAATTCAGAAAGATGGTTTTCAATGTAACTAACACGTCTCTCGAGATAAACGGTCCAACCTTCGTTCAGCCAGAAATGCTCCCAAGAGGCATTGGTGACGAGGTTACCGCTCCAACTGTGGGCCAGTTCATGCGCAATGACATCGATGTTTTCACGATCCTGAAGACGTCAATCTCCCGTCACCAACAACTATACTGAAGCATTTAAAATACCTTGGAGATGATGCTTGGGGTTGCGAAAGTGAAGATGGGGTTCTCCATGCCACCATAGGGGAAGCTGGGCGGCAAAATCAAGACATTGTATTCGCCCCATGCATAGGGGTAGACGATTTTCTATGTAAAATCAGTATTTGACCGTTCAAAAAAGGATACTGTCCGTGTTTACCTCGATCGTGGTGATGAAGTTCTCGGTATCAGCTTCGAGCTCCCATTTACATTCATCCAGCTTGTCAGGGCTGGTAGCAACCACACTTCGGGGTCCAATGGGGGCCTCAGAAACGTCTCTGTGAATTCCAAGTTAGTAGACATAAGGGGCGTGGAGAGCAACGGCGGCTTTCTTACCCACTAGCGACGGCGAAGAGATAGCTGGGAATTGGCACCGACTGGTGGAATCGATACAGCTTGTGCTCGGACTTGGACTCCGAGGATTCGCGAATCGGCAGACCACTGGTCATGACCGGAAGAGGGGAAGTAATGTTGAAATCAAAGGTGCTCTTCACATCCGGGGTATCCTGACAAGGGAAGATAGACCGGGCATGGATGGCTTGGCATTGAGAGACTAGAAAATACTGTCAGTAAAGTTGCAGGGCATTGCCGACAGATGACCTACACATATACGGATGCTTCTTGTTCGAGGTTTGCGCTGGAGTCAACCATTGCAGCGCCGTGCACTTGTCGGTTGTTTTCACGGCAATCTATAATTGGGTGAGATGAAGCTCTATAGAACCTTAAAAGGCAGTGGAGAACATACGTCAACCTCAACGGTGCCATCTAGCTCGACACCTTGCTCAAGGCTGATCTTCAACGGAACTCCGAAGGGTTCCAGCGGGGGCAGCAACTCCCACTTGGATGGCTGGCCATTCACCTTGACGGTGGCGATGTCGAGATGGCTAGTATCCAGGATAATCTCGCGAGACTCGGCATTGGTGATGGACTTGAATTGATGAACAACATTGCCCACCAGCTTCTTTTGGTCGAACAAAATATCGAAATTGGCGGTGATGTGGGTAGAACGCCAGTTGTTGTAGTTACTCACGGTATTCGGATCCCGCGGATTGGTCGCCATCTTGCGGACTTGATTGAAGCGTACAGTAATTGAAGCTGAGCGTAAAGAGGAGAAATTGAAGCTCCGGAGAGAAGCCGATTTCAAAGCCGAAGTCATGAGGTTGTATCGGAGAGGGTTTTTTTGTTCCGTCTCTAAGCGTGAAGACTCACAACTTCACATAATTAATCTATAACAGTGACTGTGCGTTAGAACGTAGAGAGTATAGAGACTTGGGCAGAGAGTATTGTAGAAATGACTTTCTTATAGATCCCAACTCTACTTGTTTGTCCCTGTGCGATGTATACAAACTAGGGAGACGCACCCCCTTTTCTGTGTCTGTCTCTTAATTTCTCTCCCTCCTCCTATCTGCTGTCTTCGCTCTCTGCTTTCTGCTCTCTGCTCTTTGCTCTTTGCTCTTTGCTCATCTTGTCCTTGTCCATCTCAACTATCTCACAGACAACTCCCCGCATTGTTATTTTTTTCTCTCCCATTCGCCCACCGCCCCACGGACCACCCCTGAGTGTGGATGGGTTCCCCTGACCTCAACCCCAGAGCGCATTTGCTATTCTTAGGCTTGGTTATTGTTAGAGCTTTGCGACACTGTCGCTGGACATTCGTCGTGCGCTCCGCTTAATCCCCTGATCTGTGAGTGCTGTCCCCCACGCAATGCGTCCCATATCTGATCGGTTCCACTAGGTTCAATTGCATGAAACGATGTCTCCCTGTCAAGCGACTACCTTGCTATAAATTACCCGATTCTGCGGTTCACGAAGCGATGCGTTAAGACGGTTCTCCAAGGAGCTCCACGAAGCATACGATCACTTCAGTACTTCCGAAGAATGAACGAAGACACCCAGGACGTGGTTCCCTATACTCAATTCTCCTACCATCTGTGTTTATCCAGCTGCGCATAGTGTCGAGAAGAAGCACCTGCTTGCGCTTTTATATCTGGAACTTCCGTGCTAGATATTCAAACTTGACAGCTCATTGAACATCTACATCGATTTCTCCATCGCTTTGCGAAAATGATTCACCACTCAGCAATGGAGGATGACAATCGTTCGTCCTATCCTCAACACCCGTCGGGACCCCTCGCATCGGACCTACCCTTGGCACCGCCCCCAAACAGACCGTCTTCCCGTTCATCCCGGCCTGGCTCTCGGACTCGAATGGTGAAGCCATCAGGCGCAGTTACACCCACGGGCCTGGGGGTCCTCACAGAGAACGTTGCAAACTTTCCTCCGGAAGGCCTTGGTCCTACTAGTCCCATAAAAGAAGGACTGGGTAGTTTAAATCGTTGGTCTCAGTCCACAGCATCCAGCAAGAGTCCGTCAGAATATACCAGTCATCGCCGAGGGAGTTCAAAGGTATCTATCTCGGGCTACAACCATGGGCTGGGGGGTCACAGCCCCCAGCGCGCGCCTGGAGCGAATGGGGTTCCAACGCTCAACCTCCCAACGCTTGAGAAATCTCCCATATTCAATGCCGACTCAACATCACCACAACTCGATCTTTCGTTCACAGCCTCAAACAATCTTTTCCAGCCGTCCGCAAGTGCTTCGAGGGCAAACGCAGAAACAACACATGCCCACCAAGTCCCTCAAGGTCCTGTTGCTCGAACCAGTGGAGGCTCTTTCTCCTTCAATGACTTGGAGGGGGATCTGGAGACCCAGCAGCACGGTCAAACCCAGAAGGCGATGCTGTCAAAGGCACTCCAGAAAGCAAACACGGCTGTCCTTCTTGACAATGCTGCCAATTTCGAAGGTGCCATGGATGCTTACTCCGATGCTTGCAATCTATTGCAACTTGTCATGCTCCGTAGCAATGGGGGGGACGAAGAAAAGCTGAAACTACAAGAAATCCGTGATACTTATATGATACGAGTAACGGAGCTTCAGCGTATGGACTTCCCTCTCCCCGAGAGCGATGATAAGGCCCTACCCGAGCGTCCCCTCAGCCAAGAGTCGTACGGAGAGCTGCTCCAATCGGTAAACGATGATTCTCAGGTCGAGAGCCAGCAGAGCTCTGCTCATTCTAGCTTTGGATTCCACCAGCTTCCGCTGGAAGACACAAAAGGATTTTCCTTAGAAGCACTTCCTCCGCGGCGTCAATCTCTAAAACCTTCCGCAATGGAAGATCAACCCCGATCTTTGACACTGCCGGTGAACAATCAAGAAACCGACGAATCTACTTCGTGGCTAGACACGATTGACGAATCAGGTGCCTCGTCACCATCATCGGCGAATTCAAAAGCCTCATCAGTTTATCTTCGTCGTCGGACGAGCCGCCGCCTCAGCAATGACACTGAGGCTGAGTTTGATGCTGCTCTCGATGCTGCCGTTGAAGCTGCGTATGATGAGGGTCTGGAGCCAGTGATAGAATATAATGAAGATGAGACTGGTGATAATGATGTGGTTGCGAATGCACGCCGGAACATTGAGTTGGCGAAGCAAAGAGTGCGAGAGGCAGAAAGGGAGGCAGAGGCGATGAATCGTGACCGTGAAATGCGCCGAATCCAGGATCAGACCCCCGACCCCACTGTCCGCACTTCAGAGTATTTGGACGACGAAGCGGAGGAAGAAGAGCGCCTGCTGGAGGAAATGACCAAGGGATACGTGATGGATGACTTTGAGTTCGGAATCTCATCCAAATCGGCTCTTCCGCGAGAATCAGGTTCTAGCAACGTGTCTGGGAGGACGTGGGAAAGTTCAGCAACATCCAACGTCGCAAGCACTGGTGCGGCACTGTCAACTCTTGCGGAAGATGACGTCCTGCCATTAGACGACCATATCATTCCGCCTCACGTCTTCCCCTCCTCGCCCCCATCCTCTGCCTTACCGCCTCTTCCAGTGTCGTCTGATTTCCCTGCCCCCAACCGGGCTTCAATGTCAAACCGTGCTGGCTCTATCAGTTCTATTACCGGCCAAGGAGTTCGGGCCCGCAGACTATCCAGCCTGAACACCCGCGAGCTCAAAATTGAGACAAGTTCTCGCTCTCGAGCCGACTCTAACACATCTGGCCTAGAGAGCTTTGCAGCTCCAATGACCAGCCGCCCACCTGTACCGTTGCCTAAAGATGAGACTTCTGCTGATCCTCCCCGGGCTTCTACTCCAAGCTCTCGTTCCAATTTACATCCTACGCAGCGAAACCCGTCGGTGGGTTCGTTTATGGAAAATTTCAATCTCGCTCAGTCCCGTACTCATGAGGATGATGAGGCTGAACTTCCACCCTTGCCACCATCCGCGCGACCTATGGGTAAAGTACCTTCGGCTCCAGATGGATTGGATAAAGCACACGCCAATACGAAAGCCTTCCGGGCTCGGAATGCCTCAGTCCCAATTCAGATTCCTGACACCGCACCAGAATCTCCAAGCACGCCATGGAGTGGTGCATTCCCTGCCCTGGATACCCAGAAGGCTGCTATGGCAGGCAGCATTCCCGTTATGCCTACTCCGACCCTCGCCAACTTCAACTTCAACCAGAACGGTTTGCCAACTAGTGGGATGAACTTGTTCGACAGTAATATTCACTCTCCTACTGCTCTTGGCCGTCCGAACTCACTGGTTTCTAACGCACCTCTTCCGCTGGAACCCTGCCCGGAGTCCTTCCTCCTCCGCCCATTCTGGCTGATGAGGTGTCTCTACCAAACGCTCGCACATCCCCACGGTGGCTATTTGTCAGAGAAACTCTTTATTCCGCGAGATGTCTGGCGCGTTAAAAATGTCAAATTGAAAGCCCTCGAAGAGAAAGTGTCTAACTGTGATCTTCTGACCGCTGCTCTGCTCAAATTGGCTCAAGTCGATACATATGACGCAGACGCAGTTTTAGAGGAGATGCAGTCGTTTGAAAGTATTCTCGACCAAGTTCAGACCTTTTTGTCCAAAAAGCTAGGCAACGAGGTTGGTGTGCAGGCCTCGATGCCACTATTCAAGCCAGCTTCAACTCCCGATGAGCCTGCTCACGTTGAAAGTGCGCCTAATAAATCATACCTGACTTGGAAAAGAATTCGAGCAAAGACCTCTGGGTTGGGGACAACTACTCCCACGCCGAGTGCACGCGAAAGTAATAAAGACAATCTGACCCTCAACTCTGTTCCTATGACATCTGTCCATGGAACACACGCAAAGCGCAATGTCACCCAGCTTGAGTTCTCCGGGCCCAATGCAAACTATATGGGAGCATTGGCGCGGCTTTTCGATGCTGCTCAAGTGCTAGGTAAGGGTTATTGTAGCATGTTGAAGTTCATTCCAGCTAACTTATCAAACAGAGCAAATTGCCCAGCAAGTTGAGGATCCTGGCCTCAAACACTCGTCTCCTACCCATGTTGGCCTGGAGCTCAGCACACGACATGCTGCTGAGTTCTTTGGCTTTTACATTTGCCGGTTCGCACTAGCTGATGTGAGCTTGATGCTTGATAAATTCATTAAGCGTGGCAGCGAGTGGGTGCTGATCTAGGAAGTATACGAAGCCATACGATAATCACCCTTTTGGCGAATTCCTGGAGTTTACTGCGCTTTCTTGTTACATGCCCATATTTCTGATGTCCATATTGATCTCCCCATGTCTTTGAGATACCATGATGTTAACCTGTGAAACATTTGATGATTTAAGAACATAATTGTCATGAAAGGGGATTGTATGTATTGTTGTTTGACTTCTTCTCTTACTCATATAAACCGTTATCCCCCTTTCCTACCATCGCTGATCTATTTCCCCTGTTTTGGTTGAATCCATCAGAAATCCGATTGTTTTGACATATGAAATGAATAGACGCATATCACGCATACCCAATAAGTGACAATCCTTTAGTCCCAGACAACATCTCCACGCTAGGGGCTCATCCTCCGGCTATGTACAATATATGATACATGTTGACCCAGCATCACTTTAGTGCAGGATCAGAGACACATACCGGCCGATCGAAGACAAATTTGCCGTCGTCTCTCGGCATCTCGGATTATATCAGCAGACAGTTTCAAACTCGGTGCTAGGTGCGCATATCTTTCGACCTCGCCCACAACACTCGCTATGATGGAATCCATCCTTGGCCCAGGTGGAAGCAGAGTGGAGAGAGAAGGAGACATAGTGGCACCCATGATTAACAGGGTCTGGGACACCATTGATAGGGCACCCTGCCATAAGTATGGCAGGTGGCCCTCGCGGTGACTGGTAATGTGCTCCAGTTGGCGAAGCGTCGCATCCAAGCATCGCCAGCAACACTCTCTCACCCCGGAATCCGTTCCTGCCTGTTCGTTCTCAAAGACAGCCAAGATATATGGGCGGTAGATTATGGTACGGCATGCATTGTAGCGAAGCCTAAGTACCGTTTGGACCGGGTTGGTAAGAGGTGCCTGTGTCAAAGGGAACTGCACGGGAGCTGGCAGGCTCTTGTACCACTGTGACAGCTGGAAATCTAGCTCGGAGACAATTGGACCGAGAGATGAAAGAGTATGGGTGCGGTCCTTTTGGTAGATGATGTGGCTGACGCGATTGAGGAGTCTTCGCAGCGCAATCTCTGCCAGGAAATACCAAAGCTCCTCACGCCCGGTGGCGTCCTCTCTGAACCTGGTCATCCGAATTTCCTTACCTTGGTCGGTATCGCCATCCTCTTCGTCATCTTCATCCTCTGCGTCCTCATCTTCGAACCCGCCGGGGAGGTCCACCCGCTCCTCGAAATGAACGATACCAGAATGTGGAAGGTCCAACTCCGCAAGAAGGTCGCTTTCGAACAATAGTGCATTCCAATATACTCTGACACTCAATTCCCTCCATTGGTTGGGAATTCGGTTGGGACTGCCAAATAGTAGTTGCAGTTTCATGCTCACATTCGACAGCAAGGTCCAAGCCTCCAAAGGCCGCACAAGGTAGAATAAGTATGCAGATGCTAGGACCATGCACTGTGTTGAAAACACGGTGTTTCGCATCATGACCGATGGCAGCACGCTCCAAGCAGCTGCGAAATAGGGTAGTCCCGGTGGCTCACGATCTGGGGGCACGAACGAGATACTGCCGCTATGGCTGGCACATCCTAGGGCCAAGACCAGCAGGACAAGACAGCTCATAGGTCCTTCTTGAAAGCCTTGTGCGAGGGCAGTTTGATAATATCTATTCCAGGTGAAAGGGTTCACACATGCGTACCAAACATTGCCATGGTTGAAAAAGGCCTGGGCATATGTGGACGCGTTCGTCAAATCGAACCCTGAGTTTGGTGTCATCCGCAGTGGCTCGCGGGCCATCTCTAGTTGTAGTAGATGCTGTGGGTCATAGGCCACGGATACCAAGTCCCGAATCAATGGCCATTGAAGAAGATGCAGTGCCGGAGTGGTGTGCATCTTGGGCATCGTGGAAATGCTTATACTGGCCGGTGGGTTGACCCAGGACCCGAGTCCAACGGCGGACAATCTACCAGGCACCTGCAATCCACCAGATGCCCTGCCTGATGTTTCTTCACTACCAAGATTGGTATCGTTGCTGGTGGCCGGGGAAGTCGAAGACAAGGCGATATGAGACCCTTGGCCTGCCAAACTAGAATGAAGGAGTCCCTCAATTCTGGCCAAATGATCCAGGATGAGCTTGTCACCGGCATCTAGCTTGATTCCAGGTTCTCGGTAGACACATTCTGCGTTCAAATCGGTGCATAGTTGACACTTGGGACGAGCCCCGTTGCACCGAGTCTTGCGCAGCCGACATATTTGACACTGTATCGCACCAGCCCAGTCAGTCTCCCTTGTCTTTCACAAGGTCAAAGGCGCTTACGGCTATAGTCGCCCGTCGTCGGGGGTATTCAGCAGCCTCGGAATTGGAGCGCTTTTTCTTGCCCAGGGAAGTATCACTGGCCGTAAAGTCTGCGGCAAGGTCTGCCTCTCTTTCTGATGGGATTTCCATGTTAGAAAATATTGGACAGTGCCTTTTGTATCTTATGTTATAGTCTAATGTTCATACCACTCCAAACCGATATGGCGGGGTGGTTCAGTGCGAGACATCAGACCATAGTGAACAATGCGAAGGGTAGAGTATGGGAAAAGTAGAAATTGCAGGAAGGCAGTGCTAAGTTTCAAAATATAAGATCCCAATGGCTTTGCGGATTGAGCCGGGCATTAATGAATTCGTAGGGCTGCTTTGATGAAATGTCTAAAATATCTGGACTAACTCGACACGGGGCGGTTCCGTGACAGGGTAAGCATGTCCAATGCAGTGACATGGGAAGAACAGAAAGACATGAGACAAGACTACAGATAGAACAGAACAATAAGTCTTAAGTTGTACTTGAGTAGTCCGCAAGTTGAGGTTGAAGTTGAAGTTAAAGTTGTAGTTAGAGACACAAGTTTAGTCCACGTGCACGCGTCCCAAACAACGCGTCTCTCTTTCAACTTCACACTTTCTTCTTTACTCAACTCATTCGAAACCATGCCGCGCCCTGCCCCAAAGCGAAGCCGTACAAAAGGCCAGCCAGTCAAAAATGCGACAGAAGAACCAACGCGACAAAATGACTCTGTATCCAAGTCCCCTGCGCAACCTGAGCGCGGCTCCGTCCTGGATCCACGACAGGCATTGCGCAGCCAAACGCCATTGACAAAGAGTTATGAACAAGCGATCGAGTCTTCTCCCACTGGAGACCGACCAGGCACAGGTAGTCGACCTGGGACTGGCAGTCGCCCTCCTACGAGGTCGCGCGGTTACTCCTCAACGCTATCCTTTGCTGGGCGCAAAGGCGACACAAGCTCCCGAATTCCCGGCACACCTGGCTTCGAAAGCTCAGTTCTGAGTAACTTCAGACGGCGGCCGCGACAGCAGAGTATCCTGCAGATGATGCAAGCTGAAGATGGCTCTTCCGAATTGGACGACGATGACTTCCTTGGTGGTCTCAGTCCTGGCGATGAATCTACGCCGCTCAACCTTTCCAGAGGAAAATCACTCCTGATTAAACCTTCCGAAGATTCACCATCACGATCCGAATCCCCGCTTTCCTCTCCCGAAGGGTCGCGCAAGCGCAAGCGCATGACTCAAGAAATACAGGTGCCACAATCACCAATACAATCGCCTGTCAATGTGGTCAAAGATACTCCAACTGCAACGCCGATCCAGCATGAGAGCTCTTCAGCTCATGAAGATGAAGAGGCCGAGGAACCTGAGCAAGACGACGAGCAAGTTGAGCGAGTCGAGGATACTCAGCAGTCTCAGCAATGCCCAGACATACTCAGCCAGACTATGTTGCCACCTGCCAGTAGCCCCATGCGAAGTCCTGCTGGCTCTGCTGCAGTAGCTGGTGGTTCTACGCCTACTGCGCCGCTGCCTGCTGCCAGAAAGAAGCCCAAGGCTCCAACTCATCTATCAACAGCGAGCCTACAAGACAAACTTTTGCCTAGGCGGCGGCGTCGGCGCAAGAACAGAGCTGGCGATGAATTTGACGTCCCTAGTGACGAAAGTGATGACCAACACGATGTGGCATCCGGCGACGAAGACGAACTGAGCTACCCCTCAAGACGGCCATCCAGGCGAAAAGCAGACTCCAAAAAGCCCAAAGCACTATTCAATGCACAGAATAAGACAAAACTCAACAATCCGAAGCAGAGGAGTGCTAAGGAAAAGCCAGCCAAAGCCAAAGCAGCTCCCAAGGCGCCTACAACATATTCGCGTTCTCGTGGCAGTGCAGGTGTCGAAAAGGAAAATGAAATGCTTGATCTATCCTCGGCATCCTCTTCACCCTTGTCATCACCGCCTGAGTCCGATTTGTCTGATAATGAATCTGCTGGAACCGAGCCCACGCCTCGTTGCGTGAGCGATGAGTTACGCGCGGCAGTCAAGAAATTTGCAGAGGTTGATCAATGGGAGATGGAGTTTGAAGATGTGTCTGCCTCTGAGACGCAAGGCAGTCCATCACGATAGTTCTTTTGACGTGTTATGAAGCTCTTTTATTTTCTGTCTGTTACCGAAAGTAGCCGTTATTATGCCCCGCAATGTAACCGATTTAGTAAATACTACATTGTTTCTGCCCCCCCGCGTCTTCTCTTTTCTCTCTCAACTCCCCTTCAACATGACCTCTGTGGACAACATCCTCGCTGCTAAGTATCCGGCCAAAGCTCATGCGCGCCGTGTCGCGGAGTCTATCAAGGCCCGGCATGGCGGGACCGGTGCTATCTATCTCGAGGCGCAAAAAACTCGTATGATCGAGGACAGCGACGAGGCTATGCCCTTCCGGTAATGTATAGTGGCCCCAAGGCTCGTTTCTATGACTGACATACTTCCCCTCATAGCCAACGTCGTCCTTTCTTCTATCTCACTGGATGTCTTTTGCCTGATGCCGCCGTGGTCTACGATACCATCGCAGACCAATTGACCCTCTTCATTCCTCCAATCGATCCCGAGTCGGTCATTTGGTCTGGTCTCCCGCTGTCTCCCGAGGAGGCCGCTAAGCTTTACGACGTGGATCGTGTTCTGTTCACGACCGATGTCAATTCGACCCTGGCGTCGATCGCCTCGACCCACAATGGACAAACTGCCGCATTTACAATTGCCGAACAGGTGTCAGAGGAAACCAAGTTTGAAGGCTTTTCGGAAGTCAACATTTCCACCCTGAAGTCTACCATTGAGGACACTCGTGTCATCAAGGATGCCTACGAGGTTGCTCTCCTGAGAAAGGCAAACGATATCTCGGCCAAGGCACACATTGCTGCCATCAAGGCCGCTAAGACTGCAACCAACGAGCGCGAGATCGAGGCTGCCATTATCGGTGCTTGCATTGCCAATGGATGCCGCGAGCAATCCTACCACCCCATCGTCGCTGGTGGTGAGGGCGGTGCTACCCTCCACTATGTCAGGAACGATGTTGACCTTGTCGACCCTGCTACTGGCAAGAGGAAGAACAATGTCCTCATCGATGCTGGTGGTGAGTATCAGACCTACTGTGCCGATATCACTCGTGTCATCCCTCTGGGTGGCCAATTCGCGCCAGAGACCCGCCAGATCTACGAGATTGTCCTCCAGATGCAAACGGAATGCATTGCGATGCTGAAGGAGGGTGTTTGCTGGGATGACGTTCACGCCCTGGCACATCGCATTGCTATCCGTGGCCTGTTGAAGCTTGGCATCCTACGTGGATCTGAGGAAGAATTATTCGAGAAGCGTGTCAGCGTGGCTTTCTTCCCTCACGGCCTCGGTCATTATCTTGGAATGGACACCCATGACACCGGTGGTAACCCCAAGTATGATGATAAAGACGCCATGTTCCGCTACCTGCGTGTCCGCGCCAACCTCCCGGCTGGCTCCGTGATCACCGTTGAGCCCGGTGTAAGCTTATACCCATATCATCTTTGCTCTGTCAACACTAATCCGTATACTAGATCTATTTCTGCCGTTTCATCATTGACCCCGTTCTGAAGGCCCCAGAGACTGGCAAGTATATCGACACTGAGGTACTGGAGCGCTACTGGAGTGTCGGAGGAGTGCGCATTGAGGACAACATCCACATCACCAAGGATGGCTCCGAAAATCTGACAACCGCCCCGAAGATCATCGAGCAAGTCGAGAGCCTGGCCTCCTAGATAAAGCAGGTATTTTGTATCAGTTGGTTATAAGCAGAGCTTGTTGAATATCTCATGAAAGGGTCATTGATCTCAAATGCTCGCTGGTATATGGTTGTAGCGACAAATGATCCCTCTAGAGTAGGAGAATATATTGAGTATGCAAGTGTTGTAGGCCTCTCGGTCCCATCACAGATCCCTTCTGCGCTTGCGCGCGCTCCCCTTGATCTCATCAGACGGTATCTGCTTCTCCTTCCGGTCCAGGATTATGGTCCTGGACATCGAAAGAGATCTCAGGCACCTTAACGCAGAGGTTCTTGAGTCATCACCAACATCGCGACGAAGGGTATGGCTGTGGCTGGCCCAGTAGGAGGCAACTGGCTTTCGAATCGTGGTGTCTGAGGCAGGGGTATTGGTATAGACGCAGCGAGCATAGAGATGCTCTGCATGGGGCGAGCTTTTGACCTTGTGGATCTTGCTATGGGCAAGACTCTTCAATGCTGGCAGTCCCAGCTTGTCGGCCAATGTGTAAATTCGCGCATGGCGGAGCAACGTCTCGGAGCCATAATTTACCGCAGGGTCTGTAGAGTCGGGCTGTGGCACAGTGTAATCGCGCGTGTATTGGAATTGTAAATCGCAACCGAAGGCATCGACGTCCTCTTCGGGTAGTTTGATCTGTATGCAAGATCGACTCACTGGTCCCGATGCTTCAAATTCTTGGACCAATTTCACGAGAAACGGCGATTCCAGGAGGAGAGTCTGAAGGGCAGTCAAAACCGTCTGGTTATCGTCTTTTCCAACCACGATTTCGACAATTGGGCGAGGCAAGGAAGCTGCAAGGAGTTAGTCGAGGGGTCATATCACGCGACAAACAACGCGATGTTTGATGCCATCAAGAAGGTGGAGGTGGACTTTGGAATGGGAAAAGGGATGCGCTTACTCGAGGAAGTTGAAGCCTGCGTTCCTCTACACGGGAGGCTCTGGCTGCTCTGGTTCAACTAGCTCAAGCTCAAGTTCTTGAGTATCCGGGAGGGTCGCATCCTCGGTGGAGGTGTGGTTTGGCGCCGAGTGAGTCGCAGTCGCAGTCGCGCTGGGGGGCTGGGTCGATCCAGGGGTTTTCGCCCGGTATTTGCACCCGAGGGGCATTAGGAGTTTCCATCGTATATCCAAGTCCGCAATGGGTAGCAATGGGTACAGGAAAGTCAAAAGGAACAAGAGAGCTGAGGCAGAGAAGTCACCAGTGGCGCTCGTCACATACTGGACGTAACTGCAAACTAAGAACTTTTGACAATTTCAGTATTTTTGACTCTTGAATGTTTTGAATCGATTCTTCTTAGGGCTTTATCCCAACAATGCATTTTGGATACTTCATATATCACAAAAGTGGGCAATTTGAGGCTTTCAACCCAAATCGAAGTATAGCTTCACACTGCAGATCTCTTCTCCACCTCAACGTCATATGTTTACTGTTTCGCCACTAGGGCTGAACATCCGAACGAGCCGAATGATGTGAAGACACTTCTTTTATTCTGTGCACACATTCACCATGAGCCCAACCGATTTGAAGGGACAACTAGCTTCGGCTCCTAGCTCTCCCAGCTCGCTCTCTTCGAGCTCGGATGACCTCGATGATTCCATTCGACAAAGTGTCTCGGTAAAGCTTCGGGAAACCGACAATGCTGGTCAATACCTGCTCACCGCAGAGGACACTGAGGTTTTACAGGAGATCCTCAAACATAACCTCTCCTTGGCAAGAGCCGAAACATCTCCGAAACCACGCTTCAGGTTCCGCGACTTGGAATTTACAAGACAACTCAGTACCTTTGACCGTCAGAATATGACCTTCGGTTCATCTGAGTTCCATGGCTTCTTCGTGCTCTTCTGGATGGGGGTGGCCTTGATGCTGCTCAAGGTCATGGCCAACAACTGGAGGATCCATGGCACCATTTGGGGCAAGAACGAGATCATTCGCCTCATGTTTGCTAAAGATGTCTTGGTCCTCGGACTGACTGACTTGATCTTATGTTGGTCCACACTATTTTGTCTGGTTGTTCAGCGCGCGGTATGGAAAGGGTACCTGCGCTGGAGCGGTGCCGGTTGGCTGATTCAAAATGTAGGCTTCATAGTGTACCCCTCTGTGTTTTCCTGCTGAGATGATTTATCAGATTTGGCAAACGGCATACCTGGCCGCCATTACATTGTGGACATATCATCGTGATTGGCCGTGGACACACACTGTCTTTACGGTGCTGCATTGCTTGACCATGCTGATGAAACAGCATAGTTATGCTGCTTACAATGGGTACTGTAAGTATCAAAAAAAAAAAAAAAACCATTGGTGACTAGGTCTTTGAGTTAATGGAAGTAGTGTCGGAGTTGTACCGGAAACGAGAGTTGCTGAAGACAAGACTCTCCCAGTTAGAGAATTTAAGCCGGAACAACGACTTGGCAGGGCAAGGGCATACCTCTGCGGTTGACACAGATGTTGATGCCGAAATCACTGATCTCAAAAGAAATGATTTCCGGCGGCGGTCTTCCAACCTCAAGAGTTATTCCCGTGCCCGCGAGACAGATCAACTCATGTCCCTTGTTGAAACCACCGAACACGGGGTATCTCTCCAGCCAGATCAGGTGGAATCTCTGAAAGAGCTGCTTGAGCGAGAATACGAAATCTTATCCGAAGGGCTACAGGGCAGGTGCTCATTGACATCTAATCACTATCCGCGGAATTTGACCTTGAAGAACTTCTGTGACTTTATCACATTGCCCACGTTGGTATATGAGCTAGAATACCCACGCACAGACAAGATTGACTGGATTTATGTGGCAGAGAAGACCGCGGCTACATTTGGCATCATTGTGGTCATGATCGCTGTCTCTCAGTCGTGGATATATCCGGTGGTGATGTCCACTCTGCGAATGAAAGAGGAAGGGTTGACTGCGCAACAGAGGCTTCAGGAATTCCCCTGGGTTCTGAGCGACTTGCTCTTCCCTTTCATGATGGAGTATCTGCTGGCATTTTACGTGATTTGGGAGTGTGTTGTAAGTACTACCGCGCTCAAAGGCACATGGTTCTTGTGCTCACTATCTTAGCTTAACGCCTTAGCGGAAATTACCATGTTTGCGGATCGCGGATTCTATGCAGATTGGTGGAATTCGGTCTCTTGGGATCAGTTTGCACGAGATTGGAACCGCCCTGTCCATAACTTCTTGCTCCGGCATGTGTATCACAGCTCCATCAGCGCTTATCGTCTGTCGCGGGTTTCTGCGAGTCTGATCACATTCCTCCTGTCTGCATGTGTGCATGAGCTGATCATGCTGTGCATATTCCGGCGACTTCGGGGATATTTGCTAATCCTCCAAATGTCGCAACTGCCACTTGTTTCACTCAGCCGGACTCGTATGATGCGAGGCCGACGATTGGTGGGGAACATCTTTTTCTGGCTTGGAATCTTTACAGGACCGAGTCTGTTGTGCAGTTTGTACCTGATTATATGATTTTCATTGAAGCATGCCGCATTTCTCATGCAGTGATTAGCTTTGAATGTATGGGTTGCTAATGCTTCAGGTAGATGTATATACGTCCTGCACTCGGGTCGATGTAGATCCACCAGAGTATCATTTAGACTTGAACCATTAATACAGGTAATACTAATAGATTATTGATTAGCTCTGAATATACAAAGCTAGACAGAGAGAGACTACAAGGCCATTACATGTTCCCAGAGCAGAATCAATCGTATAGAGAACCCGAACCCCCGTATTCTTTTGCCGAACCCCACCCCCACCTCTGGTATCATTACACTCTTCGCTCTTGTTCTTCCAACTCCTATCTTCTACCTGGAAAGAATACATCCACGTACCAAATGACTTCCAATTTACCAGCTTCCTGTTGCACCGTGGGTGTCAAACATGAAGGCGAGGCTAAAGGCGAATTTCAACAAATCGGCGATGGTATAGACCTCTACTTAAGCAACTCGATCTCAACAGCTAATGGTCGCAGTGGAGGCCTATATCTCACGCCCTGCAAATCAGTCCACTGAGCGTGCCATTCTGCTACTCACTGACGTGATCGGCCATCGCTTCATCAATGCCCAATTGATTGCGGATCAGCTGGCAGCAAATGGCTACTTTGTCGTCATGCCGGACCTGTTCCACGGCGATCCGGTGCTGCTGAATCGCCCGGCTGGTTTTGATCTTATGGCTTGGCTGAAAGGCCCCCCCGGTCACCTACCTACTCGCGTGGAACCCGTTGTACAGGCAGTTCTGAAAGAAATGAAGTCCAACTTGGGCTGCAAGCGAGTCGGTGCTATCGGATATTGCTTCGGTGTATGATCCCTTCCTTGTCGTAGGTCTGATGCATAGCTGACACATGAGGTATATAGGCCAAGTATGCCGTCCGACTGCTCCAGCCGGGTCTTTGTGATGTTGCCTACGTGGCTCACCCCAGTTTTGTCGAGGCAGAAGAGCTTCAGGCAATCAAGGGCCCTCTCTCTATTGCAGCTGCGGGTGAGTGTAATGCTTCATGGTTTCTTGTAGCAGATCAGACTAACCTTACTGGAATCGCAGAGACGGATTCAATCTTCCCGACCTCAAAGCGCCATGAATCCGAGGAAATCCTCGTCAAAACTGGCCAACCATATCAGATTAACTTATTCAGCGGTGTTGAACATGGATTCGCTGTCCGCGCAGACATCACCAAGCCAACAATTCGCTTTGCCAAAGAGGCTGCTTTTGCGCAAGCGACTGCTTGGTTCAACCAATATCTCTAGACTGTCACAGCCATCTACAGCTCTAACGACTCTACAATCAAATTCAATAACAAATAAGATCGTTACTTTTAGACTCGAGCTACACCACACATTTGGATTGTCTCGTTTGGGAAAATTTACATGTATTTGAAGATAGACAGGAGCGGACGGAGAAACAGGAATAGTCAGAGAGCAAGGTACGCAATGGCGCGAGGATCGATACCAAATTCCGAGCGAACCATGATAGATATTTGCATTGCCGATAGTGTTTGGAGAAAGAGGTCGTCTTACATTTTCTCGTGGGTGGCCATGAGAGACCCTGTATAAAATGTCAGATACTGGATCAATGCCGGTCAAACGAGTAGATGAGGTCTTACCAATGAACGTAGTGACCAAACGAGATCGGACTTGACAGATATCCTCGGGAACCAGCCAGATGGTGGCGCCCATCTTTCTGGCAATACTGATCGAGAGCTTGGCGTTGGCATAGGCCTCCTCGTCAGTCCGGCCGGGGGTCACTAGATCATAGTCCACATAGCTGCTCTTCATGCCATGGAGCACATCCAAAAGGAAGATACCAGTTCCAATGGACTTGTCTTTGAAGCTTCGTATCGTCGAGGACTTTCCGCCGCTGCTAGATATATCATTGGCCCAGCGGATCATCTCGGTGTCGGTGATTTCACGCTTGCCCAAGCGCTGGGCTAGCGCAGAGAGTGTGTTAGTGATATCGCGACGCATCAGCTGCCACACCAAGCCAAGTGTGAGAGTTCGCTGGCCATCAGTAATATCAGCGCCTTGGACACCGACAAGAGAGAATCCGTTGTGCTTTCCGAGCTCAATCGAGTAGTTGGTGTTTTCCACAGCCTTGAATCGCATCATCTCACCACCAGACGCTGGGGGCTTGTTCACATGCTTCCAGTTGACCGTTCCAGGAATAACCTTGTCGTACGCTTGCAACAGAATAGAGCCATCGCGAAGGTCATCAAAGAGCGAGTTGACTGCCGGCTGCACATCCAAAGAGTTCAACCAGAGAGTGAAGACTCTGGCCTCTCGTTCACCTTCAGCGTCAAAGTCTTCGACCTCGAGCTTCTCCTCCTCGGTGATCGGATCCAGACCAGGGTGAGTGTTGAAAAGGTTGGCAACAAAGGCAAGGTTCAGCTTGGGGTTTCCAGCAACCAGCGAGGTCGGGGTAAGGAACTTTCGGCAATCAAGCTTTTCGGCATTCTGCAGAACCTGCTCAGCTCGCTCGAGCAAGTCTCGAGTCTGAAGAGCGCCACGAGAGCAGACATCTGGAGCCAATTGGTTGAGGAGAACGGTGTAATTTTCACCGTCTTTCACGTCAGTAGAGAAGTTTGTCACACTAGATTGAAAATGTATTAGCAGGGGTCTTGCCTGGTGCACGGCTCAACCAATGTTAGCTTACCGTCTGTCCCATTTCGCGTTCTTTAGGTGGTAGTTGAACCAGCGAAGGAGAATCTGTTCTGGGGGCAGGCGCAGGAACTGCTCGAGAGTCTCATCCTCCTCCAAAAGTCTGTAAAGCTCCGGGTGAAGCTTGATATCAATCTTTCCAAGGAGACCACGACGAATGACCTGCCAGATAAGACCCAAAATCAGATGCTCACGCACTTCGATGATATCTCCACTTCCAATGTTCACAACTGAGCACCCTATGCCCTTGGCGGAGTTGATGACGATATTGTTGTTTTCGGTCATATGGAAGGCGTTCAGTTGCTTGATCTTCTTTCCGGCCTTGTTCAAAACACGTTCATCAATGGTGTCCGGCACACTGTCGTTGATCAACTTTGCCAGAACCAAGCCATCCTTGCATTTGTCAAACATCTCAAATGTATCGGTAGGGAAAGGTAGGAGGTTGCCAATATCCGGGTCTCCCGCAAGGACAGCATTGATGTGTCGCGTGAACTCGGTCCGTTCGTCTTCGTTGATCGTGTGTGTGACATTGGAAGAGGATCCTTGAACGTGGATACGTCCACCAACACTGCCCTTGGAGACATGGCGAGAAGCGCCAGTGCCGGCACCGGCGCCAGCTCCTTGAATCACGGCTGCGGGGCTGGATACACCGCGGGCACCTTCTGCGGGTGCCGACCGAAGCTTCGAAACCAGCTATCGCTGCTTTAGCATTTGTCCTTTTCTTTGCGTTATACCATAGAGACGGGTCTCCTTACATCGACATAGTCTTCCAGCTCCACGCGGCGGGAGCTGTCAAGTTCCACACCCTTTAGCGCCTGGCGCACCACGTCGTACGGCTGACGTTCGGATTGTTGAGCGGCTTTGATCGCAGTGGATTCATCAAGATAGCCGCGGTCGTCAACATCCAGTCGGTTGAAGGCATCCTGGAGCGAGAAGATATCACCCTGGTCCAGCTGCGGGAACCGCCTGTAGCGGGCACACCCCGGTCAGCATATATCCCAAGATAAACAAGTAGTCGCATCGCACAGAGCGAGAGACATAGAGCACGGTAAGACTTACTTCTGAAGTTTGAGCGCATTCATGGTGAGAGAATGCGTCCCAGTCGGTGGCGGGGTCCGCGATTTAACCCAAAGATCCGGAGGGTTTACAGAAGAAAGGGGAACTCCTGGAGCAGACAATGGGATTTTCTCAGGAGGATAGTACGAAATGATCCGAAAAGATCAGATCACAAAGAAATGAATTGGGCGGAGAAATAGGGAGCGAAAGGCAAAGGTATACACGAACCGAGGGGGGATGGGGGGATGAGCCACACTGTAACGCGTAATGAAAGGTAAGCAAACGGTACATGGCACCACTAGTAATTTTGTATTGGGGGCCAAGTATCTTCCCTGGTCTCGTATTCGTAACGGCAAATGACGTCGAACATCTCCAGGCTTCCAGGCTTCTGTTCTTTTCTCTCGTTGGACACTCTGTACACTATATCTAATATGCTCTATTCGCTCTCCCTACTCTCTAGGCTCCAGTATTCATACTTATCTACCTTGGGTAGCCTTGGGGATACTCGATAGTTGAGGTAGCTGATTAGTCCAATGTTGTCTTATAGTTAAGGTCTATTCTAGTTATGTTACAGTTCTATTATAGTAATTATATGAGGCAGAATAGTAGTGGTATACAGTAATTCTACTCTACTGAAGTAAAACATGGAGTTAATAGTTAATTGGCGTTTCCCGGATTACATCATGCGGATCACCAAAACAACGACTTTGACAGATCCTCCTTAGCCTAACACTTTGCTAACCTTCCCACACTATCCACGTTGATTCGATTCACTGCCCGGGTGTGTCTCCCCATGGAGCAAAAGTCATTCCTGGGGACACTATCTCCATGGAGTACCCCAAGGAGCACAACGCCGCAGCCCGATCGTCAGGGCTCAGAGGTCCTGCAGCGGTCCCAAGGAGAGGACCATACTGTGACCCATAGGCATCGATTAAGCCCGCGGCGCTATCCTCCTGATTGTCCTCCATTGAAAGTGAGGTGGTTCTATGCAGTGGACTCGCCCAAACGTAAGCCATCACTACTAGAACAGAAAAAGACCGATCAGAAGCCGTTGCCATTACCGAAGAAGTTCATTCCTTTCCCCGGAAAAGACTCACAGTCTATTGAAATCACATTTCAAAAACTATCGGAAATCGAAGATGCCCAAGAAGGTCAGGCCGAAGAATCCAAGGAATCCGCACAGCCTGTCTCGACCAAAGTTCCTGTGAACGAGGATTATCTGTTCGATGTGGATGTGGAACAGAGAGAATTAAGTCCCACCTATTGGATTGGCCCTGTTTACGAAGTTCGCCGTGGAACATGGTTCATCCAAGATGGGTCTGGATTAAAACCTTGCGAAGAGAATCTTGCAACGCAACTTGAAGAAGGCTATATCAAACTTCGCCCATGGAAAACCGAGCCAATTAAGCCCGAGTTCTCGGATCAGGCTTCCAATATAAACGAACAGGATCTTTCTGTTCGACAAGATGATGTGCAGACCACCGCCCAATCCTCTCGGTCAGCCAATCCAGCCTCTACCAACAAGGGCAACGCAAACGATGCCAGCCAGTCCGCGACAGAAACCCAAGAATATCGTTTGTTTGGTGCTTATATGAACAAGGTTGTTTCCTATCAAGATACTTCGACTGCCTGGTTGGTAAATGATGACATGATGTCACGATTCAGCACTACCGTCTATCAGAAACTAGGAGGTGTCCCAGGTGTAAAGTTGGTGCGTGGCTTCGAACCCAAGAAGTCGAAGGAAACAGACAAGACGTCTGACCGGAAGGCCGAGAAGGGAATATCTGTTTCAAAGACCAACGAAAAATTCGGAGAGAACCCCGAAAAGAACAAACCGAACATACTGAAAGTGTCGCCTGTGGAATCAGTCGAAGGGGTCGAGAATTTCGAAAGAAGACCGAGATCTACCTTGGAGCGGCAAATGTCGTCCCTTGCCGGTGAACCGCAGAACCCTGCTGAACTTGAGGAGCAAGCTCGCAAGCAGGAAGAACAAGAGATGGAGGATTCGAGGGAAGTTGACAATGAAGACAGAGAGCGTGAGGTTGATCATTTGGTCCTTGTCACCCATGGAATTGGCCAGCGGCTCGGTTTGCGACTTGAGAGCATCAATTTTATACATGATGTGAATGTGCTCCGCAAGACACTGAAGACTGTCTACAAAGCTTCACCTGACCTTCAGGCATTGAACTCTGCGTTGCCTGACAGTGATAAGAATTGCCGCGTACAAGTGCTTCCTGTGTGAGTTGCTCTCTATCTCATCTCCGATCATACCAGAAGCCGAAGCTCTTAGGTGGACCAGTCTGGAAGTAAATGGCTGCTGCTCAATTTATGTCAAAAATTCATTCCTCCCTCACATGCTAACAAGAATCCAGGTGCTGGCGACATCGACTCGACTTTCCTTATAGGGGAGTTCGGCAGAACAGAAAAGAACAAGATCTTACCGACGCCGATACTTTGGAAGATGACGCCTACCCAAGCCTGGCAGACATCACACTAGAAAGTGTACCTGCTGTCCGAAATCTCATTTCAGATTTGGCAATGGATGTGCTGCTTTACCAGAGCAGATATTGTGAGCACATTTCCAATATTGTTAAACAGGAATGCAATCGAATCATCCGGCTCTACAAGCAGCGGAACCCTTCTTTCAATGGATCAGTCAGCCTCTGTGGTCATTCCCTTGGAAGTGCGATTCTGTTTGATATTCTGTGTCATCAACCAAGCGAGGTTGCCGACCCTGCAAAGCGAGAACCGCGAAAGGCCCAAGAGTCCGATACACCAAATCGTCTTGGTGGAACGAGTGCATTTGAGTTCGAAACGGAAGAGTTCTTCTGCTTGGGATCTCCAATTGCTCTCTTTCAAATGTTAAAAGGCAAGACTATAGGAGGATACTCTGCTCTAGACCCTCGGAACCGAAAGAATGCATTGGATGTTGAAATTGACTCCAAGGGATTGAGGTCTTCACAAAGGGATTCGCTTCCCTCTGGGCTTGGATTCAACGAAAACCCTGCTATTGTTTCAGCACCGAAATGTCGAGATCTTTACAACATCTTTCACCCTTCAGACCCGGTGAGCTACCGAATTGAGCCTCTAATATCTCCAGCGATGGCAACCCTAAAACCCCAACCTCTCCCTTCTGTCAAAAAGAGCCTTTGGACAACCTCCGGGCAAAGCTTATCTATCCTTGGCACCCGAATGGGCCAAAGTGTGGGCTCGCTATGGACAAATTTCACTACGGGTGTTGCAAGCAGTTTGTTGAACCGCAGTCTAGGTCTGAACGGCGACGAACCATCAGCTGGTGCTGTCATTGGCAAACCAGGCAATGATAAATCCCATAAACGGACCCAGTCTGGCTCGGTTCAACGTGGCTCACACGACTCAGATGACCAGTATCAAACATTGATCGAGTCGGACCTAGAAACCCTCTACGACGGCTTCCAGAAAAGCAGGGATGACCGTAGATCACAGGCATCTTCAACTGATCCTGATACCGATACTGAAGACCAGGAACGGAAACTGAGATTTGAAGATGCCAAAGTGCGCGCCTTGAATGCAAATGGTCGTGTTGACTACAGTGTGCAAGAGTAAGAGATTCCCTTCCCACATCCTGACACAAATTAACCATTGCTTACAATAGGGGGGCATTTGATATTTCGTTGATCGCTAGTATTGCTAGTCATCTCACCTACTGGGGGGACGAGGATGTTAATCACTTTATGCTTTCTCAAATGCTTTCCAGGCGACTTCGACATAGAAGGACGGGGAGGTAGGCATATGAGATCTCAAGATTAGAAACTGTCCACACATATAACAATGACGAATATTCAATATACGATATCCCGTTCAATCTAGGCAAAAGCTCCGTAAGGGTTCTTACATGCAAGCGAGCCTATTTGGGACTAGCGTGATCGGTTAGGTGAGCACAGCATTTTCCCGTTCAATTCTTCGCTCACTCACTCTCTCTTCCTCTCTCTTTCCTCACGCTTCACTTTGCACCTACCCATTTTTCCCCACCAGGGATACAAAACCCAGCAGGCTAAAAGGACTAGAGAATGCACTCTCCAACAGTTTCATCTATGAAAATCTTCAAAATGAGGTCGAATTTCATAATGCCGAGAAGAGTGTGATCTGAGTCTGCAAAGTACGCCATCACCAGCTCAATCCGAACAGCCAGTTGGTACCTCCTTCCGCCTGATGGATTTTCATTACCCGGACGACCCTACTTCACTGGAGAGCGCCCCAGGACACATGTGAATTACCTGAAGACTGGTGGCCGAGGTATAGTGGCGGGCAAACCCCCACTTTCACAATGGTGACAGCCTCCACCGCGGCAGACTTGCATGAGTATCTTCGAGTAGATCCCTTGTAGAATCTTGCCCCTTTAGCCGCAATCTCTTTACGTCTGGCATGAAGCACATGTTCTATGAATGCTCGGATTCACTCGGATAGCGGAGATCAACTCCTTTCTGTTTGCTTTAGATTCCTGGCGACCTCATGATCGCAAGGAAATAATGAATGGATACATAAATATACTAGAAGCAATACAAATTAATACGATTACGATGTTTGAAGTTCGTCTGTTCTATTTCCGTTCTCGCACTGGCCACACGGGGTAGTGCCAAGGAAAACTCCCTTAGCTTCCCACCTTCATCTATAAACATCACTGACCATGAGAGGTTTGTACCTATTTGGCTAGCTCTGAATACTCGCTAACATATTTCAGCACAATGAGTCGCCTCAGCGATGATGTGGGCAACGCCAAAGTTGATCTAGCTCCATCGGCCGACGCAAATCCCGCGAACCTCGAGACGTCTGAACATAGCTCAAATCCAGTTTCTACGAAGGAACTCGTCAATTTCGCCCTCGACTTTCTCTCAACCTCTAGCAATGAAACTCTTTTGGGTGTGTTTGCTCTCCTTACACTTGTCACCTATGTTGTTCTTGGGCGAATTGGACTCGTCCTTATTGGAGTAGTGCTAGGGGTTGTCCTCCACGCATCGTGGGAAGGACCAGGCCCAGCCTCAGAAGGGTCGCGTGCACAGAACAAGAGAAGAGAACTTGCGCTCGAGGTGTCCAGCAGGCTTTTGGATTGGCCGAAACAGGACAGTAGTGCGCTAACCCAGGGCGACAATGATGGGTCTACGACTGTACCTGAGGATCTGTCCTCGGCAGACCTTGATTATGCCACCTTTCAACCAGCCACCGCAAGTGCACTGAAAACGCTCACAGATGCTGTCATAAGGGACTATGTTCAGTAAGCTTGCACCCCTTGAACGAGAATCCCAGTAGCTTACCCAAAACAAAGATATTGGTATGAACCCATATTACCTTCCGAATCAACTTTCCCAGGTACATGCCGAAGAATATTGACCCATTTCGTTACGTCCATTTCCCTGCATCTGTCAAGGAAACGAACGGAGGACACCTTTTTGCAATTCTTAACCAACTCTTCGTCTATTGTCATTGTATTCCTTAATGAGCTCGCTGCAGCTTTTGCTGCTGGGGACTCTCACACCATGGAGGCTCAGGAAACGGTGGACCGGTACCTCGAACAATTTCCGGACAGCAGCCTAGCCAATGTCTTGTCTCAGAAACAGCAACATAAAAAACTCAACATGATTGCGGACGATATATTGTCAAACTTCCTGGATTCCAAGGCATACGACTGCTCGGCTGTGCGGGATTTCCTCCGTGAGGTTTTTGCGGGTGTTATATTGGAGTCTACGGTGACCAGTCTCGCTCGTCCCGAGTTTATCAATGACTGGATTATCTATCTCCTACAAGATGGTGAATCTGAAATTATGCACGCCATTGATGCGGGCGTTGAAGGCGCACGAAATCAGGACACCAGCGTCCCCAAGTCATCGGATGCTTTACCCCTGGAGTCGATTTCAAACCCAGCATCCCAAAACAACCAGAGACAATCTATGCAGGCGGATAGAGCGACGGAAGAGGCGGTTCTCGAGGCAAAACGTCTCAGTGCCATGATTGCATCGCAAGATATACGAAGCCCAGAATCCACACGGGAAGCCGATGGATCTCGATCGAATACTGAGTCAGGTTCAAATGCAAGCCATGAAGTGGAAGACAGCCAGGATCAAGATGAAACTCTTACATACCTATTTTCGAGGTCACAGTCACCCGCAAATCCAGAAAGATCTGAAGGTACGACCCATTCGCCTCAAATCAGTGCCCAGGATAATGCATCTGTGCCTTTGGTTCTCCACGGTGCCCAAATTCTGGTAGATGATGATGGATCGAGCAATGAAAAGGGCCAAATTAAGTCACGACCGACGTGGGATTATTTACTACAGGTTGAGCCAGCCTCAACACGCTCGACTGGGTGGATGGTTTTCCGAAAGTATTCGGACTTTCAGTCCCTTCATGAGATGCTCGAGACTGTTTCACGATTAAATCGAATTCAAAGTTTCTCGGATCGGTACCCGGTGCTTCCCTCTTGGAAGGGAAAAACGAGGCAAACCCTCGCTCGGGACCTAGAAGGATATTTGCATGATGCTATGAAATATGAAGCTCTTGCTGACACGGATCGAATGCGCCGGTTCTTGGGAAAGGATGCGGGATCTAGTGAAGCAGACCCCAAGAAGCCAGGATTTTCTTTCCCCAGTCAGACTGCATTTGAGAACATGGGCAAGGGTATGCTGGGTGCGCTAACCAATGCACCCAAGGGAATGGCAGGAGGAGGTAAAGCCGTCTTTGATGGAGTGACTGGGGTATTTGGAGGCGCTGCCAATAATAAAAGGCCAGCTGCCACCGCCGAGATCCAGCCTCAACACCGGAAAAGTCTTTCTCTTTCCAAGACGAATGATGAAGTTCCAGCCTCCACTGCTCTCAGTCGAGCTAGCTTGTCAAAGACACGTTCCAGCCTCGACGACCCTGCGAGGATTTCAGAAACCGATGATGCTACTGGTTCGCCAGCGTTGCCGTTCGTTTCTAATGACTCCTTGGAGATCCAAAAAAGCGAAGCTTCCAAGTCACTTTCGGCCAATAGTGCCGCTAGTGTTATCGATCCGAGGGCCAATGAACAGGATGCATGGGCTTCAGAGTCGACGCTCGCGCGTTCTGAAAATAGACAGTCACTTGATCCTATGACCGACCACCCAGATATCAACACCAAGGAAGATATTCATAAGACATCTTCCCATCGCCGATCAGAGACCGAGCAGAGCAATTCAGGGCCACCCAAACCACGCAACCAGGGAAACCCCATCACAACCGATGAGACGCAAATAGCAGTGGAGTTGATTTTTGCGGTCATCAACGAGCTCTACACCCTGTCATCTGCATGGAACATTCGGCGGACCCTCTTGAACGCTGCTAGGTCGTATATTCTGCGTCCTGGTAGTCCGACCTTGGAAACGATCCGCACTCTCTTACAGGACTCGATGATTCAGGGCCATACTTCGGATGAAGCCCTTGGGAATTACATTACCAAGCTTCGAGAGAATGCACTCCCGACAGAGACTGAACTGAAAGCTTGGCCGGCTCCACCCAGTGAGGAGGAGAAAGCCCGTCTACGGGACACTGCACGTCGGTTGTTCGTGCAGCGAGGAATTCCCCAGGCATTGACAAGTGTCATGGGAGCAGCTGCTAGCCGGGAGGCATTGGAAAAGATCTTTGACAGCCTTCAGGTGGAATCTGTCGCCCGAGGTTTCGTCTTTTCGGTCCTGCTACAGGGGTTGAGAGTATTGACCCTGTAGCGTTCACGCAATGTATTGATAAATGAATATTAATGGTCCACTTGAATACCAATGAAGGTTATGTGTCGTTTTTCGAGACAAACAGACCAGAAAGTCCAGAGACACTCAAATAACCACCTAGTAGCTTAGCGTAGTTCTCATTCTTTAACAAAAGTACTTTGAATGACCACCACGTGACCCCGCGCGTTCGACGCGTTTTACAAGCTATCCAGGTGCTTTTCTTGCTTCCTCTCCGCGACACATCTCTCAACTCTCAACATGGCATCCAGAAAGCGCTCTGAGTCAGACGCCGGGCTTGATGATGCAAGAAAGAAGACCAAAGTCAATACAGACACAAGCAAAACAGATTCCAATGGAGATCGCTACTGGGAGATATCTAAGATGCGCCGCGTCACTGTCTCCTCCTTCCGAGGAAAAAACATGGTGAGCATCCGAGAATACTACGCGAAAGATGGTCAGGAATTACCGGGCAAAAAGGTGGAGATCTTACCTACACTCATCTGATTTGATGCTGACTCTGACTAGGGAATCTCGCTCCCTATGGATCAATTTTCCGCCCTCATAACTCTTCTTCCTAGGCTTGAGCAGGCATTAAAGGAGATTGGTGAAACCCTGCCTCGACCTACCTATCTTGGAACCCCCAGTGAAGGCGATACACAGGAACATTCGGACAGCAACCGAAGCCCATCAAAGCAGAATATCGAGGCGACCAGTGACGAAGACGAAGGTGAATGAGACTGTAAGGGCATGACGGCCAAGCAGAGACCAAAAGAGGTACCACTTGCTAGGACTGGTCTGCCAAAGCGATCTCTATTAGTTCTCAAGTGTATCCTAAGCCCAATTCAAACATTTTTTTACTCGAAAGACTAATTTCGTTGCAATACAACATGTTCATAAGTTGTACAAGGCACTTAGTACTTAGTGCCATAGAGCAGTGGAAACTTTCTATATAAAAAGGCCTCGAAGCGAGCCTACCTTGCTTGATGCGTTGATTCCGCTGTACTTTGGCCTCATCTTCACTGAAAGGACTGATGACTCTTGTATACCAATCAATTGTACTCTCAGTTTCCAACACAGATAACTACCAATTTGAAATATATATAGTCTAGACACTCGCCTCCTGTATCGCCACGCGGTTGACGATGGAACCGCCTCTCCAAGAATGGCGAGCATCTTCCTGTCGAAGGACTTGGCTTTTCTTACTGGGTAAACCCCATCCTCCTCCTCCAGGCGTGCGAACAATAATCTGCTCCCCTGCTTGCATCTGGGCGGAGTTTTTAGCACCCAGATTGATATATCTTTCTTCCCAGCTTTCATCTTGTCTCTGCACTCGGCGCACCCAGAGGTTCTGGCCACACTCCGCATCCTCTCCCCCTCTAGTCCATAGGGATGATAGACTCTCCGTTCAGAAAGAATGGAGACCTGCACGGGAATCCGGAATTCAATATCTCGTACAACACCATCCCCTCCGCGGTGCTGACCCTTGCCTCCAGAGTTTGGCCTGCAGCAAAATTCTCGAAGTATGACTGGATATCGTCGCTCAAATACTTCAGCGTCAGTGATTCGAGTGTTTGTCATGTGTGTATGAACCCCCGAGGTACCTTCCCATGTTGGGCCAGCTCCGCTTCCACCTGCGATGGTCTCGTAATAGCCAAATCCCTTCATCTCAGTCTCACCACGCTGATTTCCCCCAAATCCGAATGTGAGATTGTTGGTATCACCCTGCGAGGCAGCACACGCCTGGAAGCATTTTAAAATGACATCCGTCACTCGTTGACTCTGGCCAAAATAATAAGCCCATGTCATCAGTCGGTATGGATGGTCTTACCGTCAGTACATTGCCACCAACCACAGCAGCACTTTCCGAGGGGGACAAAATACTTCCTGGGGGAATTCGAACGTCAATCGGCTTCAAGCAGCCTTGGTTCAGCGGAATGTCCGCAGAGATCAGACATCGCAGACAATAGATGATTGCGGAATATGTGACAGCCTCCGGTGCATTCACATTGCCTAGAATCACTTAGATTGGATATCAATACAAGTCGACTTCATGCTCACCATAAACTTGTGGTCCTGTTCCTTCAAAATCAAAAATGGCCTCACCCTTACCCGCGTCTATAGCAATCTTCAACTGAATCGGGCTTCCGTCATCCATGTAATCGATGGCACTCAAGTCTTGTCCGGCAAAGGTTTTGCTGACGCCTTTCAGCAAATCACGAACGCTAAGCTCTGCGTTCTCCTGGATCTGATGCATATAGAATTGTACAACATCCTCGCCATATTCCTCAATCAAAGTTCCGATCAGGTTGATACCTTTCTTGTTCGCAGCAATTTGGGCCTTGAGGTCATTCAAATTATCTGCCAGGCAACGAGTTCCACTGCAGTTGGGGTACTGGGCTGGTTCTGCGTACAGCAATTCTGTGATCCGCTTCTCATTGAACTTGCCTTCGGACACCAGCTTTTCACTCTTGATGGTTGCGCCTTCTTGGTATAGCTCTTTTGAATGAGGCGGCATGGAGCCCGGGAGTATCCCCCCAATGTCAGCATGATGTGCCCTGGAGGCAACATAGAAGATGATCTTTCCCTGGCTAAAGGCTGGTTGGATAACGGTGATGTCTGGAAGATGGGTTCCCCCATATTCAGGGTGATTCGATACAATGACATCGCCAGGATTCAATTTATCCTGCCAGATCTGGGCCTGGATCCGTATACAGGTCGACATGCTTCCGAGGTGGACGGGCAGATGTGGTGCATTTGCAACAAGTCCGCCTTCTGCGTCGAACAAAGCGCAAGAATAGTCAAGTCGCTCCTTGACATTGGTGCTGACGCTTGTCTTCTGCAATGCTCGTCCCATTTGCTCTGCAATGGCCATGAACCTGTGTGAGAAAACACTCAAAAGTATCGGATCGACTTGCTCGGTGCTCGTTTTGGGATTGCTAGAATCAGATTTCCCAATGTTGATAACAATGTGAGTTTTTGTCAAAAGTGCCGAGGCCCCAGGTGTCACCACGATGGTCTGGGTATCATCGGCCAGGATTGCCGGGCCTCTCACCCGATCACCAACTTTCAAGTCGTCAATTTTGTAGATGGGGGTTTCAAGCCTACCACCTTCGAAATATACTAGGGATTTGCGATACTCCCCACTGGAGACATCCCTTGGACAGGATTCTTTGATCTGCTGATCCACAGTCTTCTCTGATGCTTTGAACCTTTTCCCGATTCCTCGCACCCGCACGTCATCCACAATGATATCTCGATTTGGAAGGGTAAAGCCAAACTCTTGATCATGTTGCTTCACGAATGCCTCGCCAAAAGCCCAGTCGTCAGAGTAACCCTCTTCCTTGCTGGGTTTCAATATCATCAAAGCGGATTCTGTACCTCGATATCGCATATTAAGATATTCTTCAAATATTATCGAATGATCATCAAAGCCTTGGTCTTGCAGCCTCTGTGTAGATCGCTTTTTGAGCTCATTTATCCTCAATTCAAGCTCGTGTCGAGCCTCATTCCCCCATATCTTGGATTCAGGCTCTTGATTCTCATCAACCACATCTGCCAAAGCCATTCCGTATGCTGAAAGCACAGACGAGTGCCGATGAATTAAAACCTGCCAAATGCCTAGGCTTTCAGCGACAGCAACGGCATGTTGTCCCCCAGCCCCTCCGAAGGTGGCCAGCCTGTGTTTTGAAGTATCGTGCCCTTTTGCCTCGGTCAAGGACCGAATTGGTCGGGTCATTGTTTCATTGGCGACTTTGATAAATCCAAATGCAACCTCGTCGGGGGTCATCTCTCTGCTTTGGCCTCCCTTGGCCAATTCTTCATTGATATACTTGGCGAGTTGTTCAAAGAGGCAGCGGCTTGCATCTTCTTCCAATCCCTGGTCTTCCTTGGGGCCAAATATACTCGGGAAAAAATCGGGGACCAAGCGCCCAAGAAACAGGTTGGCATCAGTGACCGTCAAAGGGCCATCTTTGCGATAACAAGCAGGCCCCGGATGGGCACCGGCAGACTCAGGTCCCACGACAAATAGACCATTACGGTAGAATAACCTTGAGCCACCCCCTGCAGCAACAGTGTTGATGTCCAATTGAGGAGATTGGATAGTCACTCCAGCAGTAGTTGTCTCGAAAACGTGTTCATACCGACCAGACCCATACCTGCTGACATCCGTGCTTGTCCCTCCCATATCGAAGCCGATCACTGGAATCTTCGACAAAGGGTCATATGAAGTCAACGCATAGCCGACGACCCCACCAGCAGGGCCAGAAAGAATTGCTCGTAGGCCTGAAAATTGGTCCACGTCTACCAAGCCTCCATCTGATTGCATAAACTCGCAGCGTGCGCCTTTGGTGCCAGCTTCTTGTTTGACACTTTCACTTCCTAGTCCACCCTCAAATCCAGCCTGGAACCCTGAGATGTACTTCTTAATGGCTGGGGTTAGGTATGCATCTGCACAAGCTGAAGTGGTGCGCGGCACGAGTTTGATCATGGGCATGAGCTGGTGACTCAAACTGATATGTCGAAAGCCGACCTCGCTGGCAATTCTTCCCACCAGTGCCTCGTGATCTGGGAAAGTGTATCCATGGACAAAACATACAGCTATGCTTCGAATTCCGCTATCATATACCTTCTGGAGCTGTGACCTCACGGAGCTTTCGGATGGGCGTTTTAGGATACGAACTGCTTCAGAGGAAAGGCCACGCACAACATCAGCCTCTGGGGTAGTCTGCTCCCGAGGGGCAGTGACAGTGGTATTTCGTTGGGGATCTTCTGCGTAGTCCTCCAAAGTGACCCTTTCATCCACCTCAATCACTTCCTCATAGAGCACGTCGGGACGTTTGATGGCCAAGTCAAAGATCTTGGGGCGGGACTGGTTCCCAATCAACAGACAGTCCTTGAAACCCTTGGTGACTACAAGTGCAATATTCTCTCCTTTCCTTTCCAGCAATGCGTTGGTTGCAACGGTTGTGCCCATGCGGATACTTTGGATCAAAGAAGTATCTATAGGCTCACCGCGAGGGATATCACGGCCTGTGAATCTGGAAAGGATGCGTCGGATACCTTCCAAAGGTGCATCTTTGTAGTTGGCGGGATCCTCTGAGAGCAATTTGATCACAATATCATCTTCAAGGCATCCTGTCCCTGGATTGCCCACGCAGTCTGTAAAGGTTCCGCCCCGCTATAAACAGTTAGTTTGTCGAAACCCCAAGGGCGAAGAGTCATACATCAATTGCAATACTAATTCCTTGTACCTTTGAGGCCATTGCAGACAAGTGAAACCTCCTGTTTCTTTTACAGAGTAAGAGACAAATGGATGCTGTTTTCCCCGCATATGAAGTTCGCACTACGTCATCGGGGGTATGAGATAAAGCAAGGCATTTATTGATCTGGATAGCACGAAGTTGTGGATGTCAAAGTCTGGAAGAGAGTCATACAGCAGGGGTCATGAGTCTGGTCATAGGGAGAGGGTCTTTACTTCGTCGAAGTGAGTGTGCCATTTCAGGCATTATTTCTGCCCTAACTTTGACCTCTTTGTTCAAGTGCCTTGGGTGAGCCATGAAAACGTGGGGGTATAAAAGGACTCATGGCACCTTTTTATACGAGGAATTTGTTGATAGAGCAGGAAGTCATGAATGTTGGGCTAGAATTCGGAAGAAAAGCGTAATTTAAATGGTTCCTACAGTATTAAACCCACATACAACTAAAACACTACAGTCATTGACAGAAATTCGTGGCAACCGATCGGAAAGGGCGAGGGAGGGAAGGTATCGCTTTCATATTATATTGCGCACATGAGACGGAGGGCGGAATGGAATTTATCGTGGTAAGAGGGCGAGGACTTGGAACGTTCGCTCGACGCTTCGGTGGACTCCGAGCTGCTGACCAGGATAAATACCGACACCTCAAAAAAAAAAAATAAGCATATCTGGGGGAGGGGGGGAGAATTCAAAAAAAAAAAAATCAAGGTTGACGTGAGCCCGAGAACCATGTCGAAAAGCAAGCTTCAGGGGCATTTGGAAGCAACAAGGAACAAGAAAACAACAGGCGAAATTTGTCGCATGTGTGAGACCAGCATCAAATCGATGGTCAACTCAGTAAAATAACCTTGTCCTTTTGCCTGATTAACACCTCTGCAATCAATGGGATCCGAGAAAGGACGAGATACTGAGTTGATCTACTCAGCAGTATCAAGCTCATCATGAGCAGAGGGCATTGGGTCCAGGGGTACTAAGTGGATATGAGCAAACCGAGAAAAGCGCCTAATCTGGATGATGAGGCGACTCACCTTTCCTGTCTTCACCGTTGGGGATAACCTCACGGTCCTCTTCGCGGCGCTCACGATCATCGTCACGTCTTTCTCGGTCATCCTTGACTTCACGTTCACGGTCATCGGGGCTGCGGGAACGGTCGCGAGAGCGGTCGCGGTCACGGCGATCGTGATCACGGTCACGGCGGTCAGAATCACGGTCGCGGCGGTCGTAATCGCGGTCATAGTCCCGCTCATACCGATCATCGCGGCGAGGAGAATAATCACCGCCACGGCTGCGGCGGGGGGAGGGAGAGCGACCACGACGAGGGGGAGTGCGGTCACGACGGCGGTCACGGCCAGCATCACGGCCAGCATCACGGCCGGCATCACGGCCAGGCTCACGGCCCGAGTCAAAGCGCCAAGAAGCAGAAGGGGGGAGTGCGGGCCCACTATAGATGGGGTTAGAGAAAGATATTAAATCAAAATGCGAGATGATATTACCTCGATTTTCAGCAGATCATCGCGACCGATGCGCTTGTTGTGCATTTCATGATAGGCATCATCAGCATCACGGCGGCTTTCGTACTCAACAAACGCGAACCTGGACTTGAAGTCAGAAACTATTATGTCGCGATTATCGAAACAGTAACTCACAGCCGGCTAGAAGGGGTTCGAGGAGCAGGAATGTCACAGCGAACAAGGCGCCCATAGCTATTTCAAATATCAGTCTTACACAGCTCCAGATGCCCAAGTTGGGAGAAAATTATGACGAATGACCCCAGGACCAGCAGTTGCTCACGGACGAGGGGGGCGGGGCAGGGCCAAACTGGGAGAAAAGGCAATATATATCCTCCAAGCCCATCGATAGTGGTCTCGTTACGTCGTCGGAAGGATGGGGATCGAAGGTCGTAGGTGCGAAGCTAGAGGCGACACGTACCGTTCGAATTCGTAGGCAAGATCGCGAGCCCGGGTGCCGTGGCCGAATCCGGTGACATATAGAGTGGTTCCCGAGCGAGACATGATGTCGTGCAGGATAAAGGAAGAAGGGTAGAGAGCTTGGGAAGCTTCAAGAGTACAGAAATATGGTAAGGGGAGAAGGCCGAAAGAATTGGGTGATGAAGGTGCTACGGTTGACCAAGTGTGCCACAGGCGCCAATGATGAAAGTGACGTTCCAACCGATTCTTAAATACGTCATTCTACTGAAAGAAGATGGCTAATTAAGTAGTAATCATTTGATCAATCAATATCAATGGTTTTGAACAAGTATAGACAGTAGGTTTGTGTTCATGAGGTTTCGGAAATTATAAGTGGCGGACTATCGGGAGGTACCGTGTCTGTCGGCAAGTCGGGAGGTCTTCTATCGCAACCTCACCAAAGCTCTCTCCTCTGAACTCCCTTCATTGCCAACAGTCTATATTTCTCTTTTGTTCCGATACTCTTTACTCCTCTACCGGAATTGGGTCAATTCGCCTACCCAATCTTCCTCACCCGGGTCCCTGAAACCAACTGCAAGCTGTTGTACCCTTTCAATCGATTATACAATCCCTCGGAGCTGCCAGACCAACCATGTGCTTTTAGACCGTCAAGCCTTTAAATATAGCCAACCTTCATGGCCAGCACTACATCACTAGAAAACAGATTTCCGGTACTTTTTTATTCCGTCGGGCTATCACACTATCCGTTTGGACGCTGCGCAATCGAGAACAACAGTGACCACACTTTATTCGAGTCTATATCCTCAACATACTTGGGGGAAAGCTCTTTCTCACTTCTTCATCTGCAGAACTCGATGTGCCTTTCGTCAAGATGAGCTTGGATCGCCAAAATGACACCCACAAACATGAGCTGGAAAGCGCTTCGAAGCCTGCCTTGCAAAACATGTCCCAATTCCCCACTTCGAATGCTGTCAAGGTAAAGCTTGCAAAACTCTAGTTTGACTTGTGGGATGACTGATTGGTTTTGAGCAGGAGACTGTCGTGGAGCAAGCTCCGTCACTGTTGGATCGGACTCGAAACAACCTCGCCGAGCCAGTGGTGGCTGCTTTCATGGCCGGTGGAGTTGCCGGTGCAGTTTCCAGGACGATAGTGTCACCTCTTGAGCGGTTGAAAATTCTCCTCCAAATTCAAAGCGTTGGTCGAACAGAGTACAGGTTGTCAATTTGGAAGGCCCTCGTAAAGATGGGCCGTGAAGAAGGTTGGCAAGGTTTCATGCGAGGAAATGGAACCAACTGCATTCGCATTATCCCGTATTCAGCGGTGCAATTTGGAAGCTATAATTTTTACAAGAAAGTGAGTGATACCGCACAGAGACCGAGGCCTGCCTCTGAGGATCCAGACTGACGCTTATATTGCTCTAGTTTGTTGAATCTCCCGATGGTGAGATGACACCCATGCGCCGCCTTATTTGCGGAGGCGCTGCAGGAATTACCTCGGTCACCTTCACCTATCCTTTGGACATTGTTCGAACTCGGCTATCTATCCAGTCAGCTTCGTTTGCCGACCTTGGAGCACGAGACCCTGGCCAAAAATTACCTGGCATGTTCACCACAATGGTGATGATATACAAAAACGAGGGTGGGACCAAAGCTCTGTATCGTGGAATTGCCCCCACTGTCGCCGGAGTGGCCCCCTACGTGAGTTTTGCCTACTGGATTTTCGCGTTTGACCTTGAAGCTAACCAACGACAGGTGGGGCTCAATTTCATGACCTACGAATCAGTGCGCAAATACTTGACACCGGATGGGGACAAAAACCCCAGTCCCTATCGAAAATTACTAGCTGGCGCGATCTCTGGAGCAGTCGCCCAGACATGCACCTATCCTTTGTCAGTTTTTATTCCTGCTTTTTCCCCTTTAGTTGCTTCAGGGCTAATCATTCAATAGCGACGTGCTCCGCCGACGGTTCCAGATTAACACAATGTCCGGAATGGGGTACCAGTACAAGTCCATTTGGGATGCTGTCAGGGTGATTGTTGCCGAGGAAGGGCTACGAGGTTTGTTCAAGGGGATAGGACCGAATCTTCTCAAAGTTGCTCCCAGTATGGCCAGCAGCTGGTTGAGCTTTGAAATGACTCGGGATTTCCTCGTCACTTTGGGAGATAAAGAGTAGTCCAATATATCTAGAGGTACATTGTTTCTATATTTGATTGTCACTGGGTTCTCCAGCATTGGATCGTCGAAACTCCCCATGACAGAAGGGTATATGACCTGTGCCTACAGTAGTGATAGAGCCAACGCCAAGTCAAATGTGGACTCCACTTGTACAACTTCGGCGCTAAGATTTTTGTTCCGTGAGACAGGCACGTGATCACAGTGGGTGGCAATCGAGTCAGGTGACGTGATGGTCAGGTGCCTCGCCTTTCTTAATCAGGCCTAGGGTAGGGCTCAACCCACACACCACCGTCCAGCCGAAACTTGAGGATCAAAAACCTCCTACACTTTCGATACGGGTGCGACAGCAAGCTATTTCCCAGGTACTCGATCAATAGCAGCCATGGGTATGTTCTTTCTCATTCGACTTGTCGACTATTGTCTCTCGCAGTACTCATCAATTTCGAATTCTTTTTTCCCTGCTCCCTGCGCAATTTTGCTGACCTCGTTCAAATCGCAGGTATCGACCTGGACCGCCACCATGTGCGGAGCAGCCACCGCAAGGCTCCCAAGAGCGAGAACGTCTACTTGCAGGTGTTGGTGAAGCTTTACCGCTTCCTTGCCCGTATGAATTCCCTCCCCGGTCACGATTTTCGTTTACACAAGGAGCGCACCCTTTGGAGGATTTGAAAGGCTGATTTGGGATGAATGATAGGCCGTACCGAGTCCAACTTCAACAAGGCTGTTCTCCGCCGTCTCTTTATGTCGAGGATTAACCGCCCCCCTGTTTCGCTCTCGCGTGCCGTCGCGAACATCAGCGAGGCTCAGAAGGGCAAGACTATCGTCGTCATCGGTACCGTTACCGATGACAACCGCCTCCTGAACGTTCCCAAGCTCTCGATCGCTGCTCTCCGCTTCACTGCCACCGCTCGCGCTCGCATTGAGAAGGCTGGTGGTGAGACTTTGACCCTGGACCAGCTTGCTCTCCGCGCTCCCACCGGTGCCAACACCCTCCTTCTCCGTGGACCCAAGAACGCTCGTGAGGCCGTGAAGCACTTCGGCTTCGGTCCCCACACCGACAAGGTGCGTTTTGCAGAATCTCCTGGCCTTCATTCGGTGGAAATCGAGTTTATAATATATATGCTAATTCAAAACAGAAGCCCTACGTTGCCAGCAAGGGCCGCAAGTTCGAGCGTGCCCGTGGTCGCAGAAGGTCCAAGGGTTTCAAGGTCTAAGGGACTTTGTGTGTGTGAGGATGACAGCGCAGTGTGGATATACCATCATACTAGCGTGTCTAGTGCCTGGAATCATTCCGGTTCTAGCCAGAGACCTCAAGTCTTTGTACCTAAAAGTGGCAAAAAGTCTTTGGTTGGACTGGGAAATGAGAATTTACGAATGAAGGGGCAAAAGAAAATTGAATCAGGCTCTGTCCTAGTTTTTTCTTATGACATGTTTTTTTTTGCACGGAACAAACAAAGAAGAAAAATATTTTTAAATTGCACTATAGATGCGCCAGTAGGGTTAACTTACTGGCCCAGAGGCAGGTTTGTATGAAGATATTTCCGTCCTCCTACACCATCATGGTAGTCTGCCGCCCGATGGCCATTTCCTCGAATCAAGTACTTGTAAATGGTCAAGCCCTCTAAGCCAACTGGTCCTCGGGAGTGAATTTTGTTGGTGCTGATGCCCACTTCCGTACCGAATCCAAACCTCATTCCATCGGCAAATCTAGAGGATGCGTTCCAGAAAACTCCTGCACTGTCAATGCCGCTTGTGAATAAATTTGCCACCTCTTGTGACTCGGTCAAAATGATATCCGTGTGTTTCGATGAGTGTGAGTTAATGTGAGCGATAGCAGCATCCACTGCGGCAATCGGGGAGTTGGCCGAAGGAACAGTCTTCACGGCTAGAACGAGGTCCAGAAATTCGGTATTGTAGTCGGATTCAGTTGCCAGCTGTAATTGTGCCGTCTTCTTGGCAGGCAGCGCTTTTGTGAGGGCGGCTTTTGACGCAGCATCACAGCGGAGAGACACGCCTTTGTCCAAGAGTGCAGTAGCTACCACAGGGAAAACCGACTCAAGAGTGTCCTCGTGGACAAGCAAAGTTTCCAAGGAGTTGCACGCCGCTGGATAGTCCGTTTTTGAGTCCACAATGACCTTCATGGCAGTTTCGGTGTTGGCGTCAGAGTGAATGTAAGCAGAGCAAAGACCATCTGCATGTCCAAGAACAGGGATTTTGGTATTGTCCTTCACAAATCGAACAAGCTCGTTGGAGCCACGAGGGATGACCAGGTCAATTAACGCATCTTGAGCCAGAAGGGATGACACAGCATCGCGTGTCTTAACCAATTGAACTGATGCCACCGGCACCTGTGAGCCAGCAATAGCTTCAGATACAACTTTTGCAATTGCCGCAAAAGATTCCATGGACTCCTTCCCGCCTATGTATATACGTCAATAAAATGTGCAATAATGACTTTGTTGGGTGCACATGTACCTTTCAAGATGGCAGCATTTCCGGACTTGATAGCCAACGCAGCAATATTGGCTATCACCTCTGGGCGGGCTTCGAAGATTATGAGCAGAACACCAATAGGGCAGCTGATTCTCTCGAGGGTCAGACCATCGTCGAGGAGAGTTCGCAAGGTCACTTTGCCAACTATTTGATATGCGTCAGTATCTATCTGTATCAACATATATAAGTGCTATGCATACCAGGGTCTTCCAGATCTCGCACACTTAATATGCCTTCGAGCATGTCATCATACTTTCCAGGCCGCGACAAATCAAGTCTTTTGATCACACTGTGACTGAGGTCTCCGCTATCAGCCGCACGATTAGCAGCTTCTAGGTCTTTAGCATTGGCAGCCAGAATAATCTCTCGGTTCACATCCAATGCATGATGGAGTGCTGTCAAGGCTTCATTGCGGGCAGCGTTGGATAATGTTGCGAGGCGACGAGAGGCAAGAGACGCGCTCCGAGCGACATCAATCGCAGCCGAATCAGTCAGCGACATGGTTATGGGATAATTGAAAAGGGTGGAAAGCTGGGAGTTGTAAGACTGAGAAATGAGTCAAGGTTCGGAGGGGCACGTTATCGATCCCGCTCGTGTCTCCCGCCCCGGGGGAGCTATCATTGATCTTCGCTCTCTCTTTCTCTCTTCTATACTTCATACTTCATATTTGCCTAGCTAGCTCTAACGATTCGTCTCTTTTCCCTTTCGGACTTTTCGGTTAACTTGAGCTTTGAAGTTTCCCTCTACGGCTACGATCGTGTTGCGACCTGGAAACAAGTACTCCGCATTGTTACTTGCGAACGCACCACGCTACTCTTTCAACTTATCTCCAGAGCTCTTCTGGCTTTACGTTGTTGACATGACGCTTGTCTCGGACCTTGCCGCTGCATCGGCTCATGTACACGACTCTGCCAAGCTTCCCAGCGGAGATTATGACCGTCAACTTCGCGAGTTGGTCGAATACTTGAAGCGGCTTCTATCCACTAAGGCCCTTGATGCCCTTGCCAATGACGAATCAATCTTGGATGTGAGTGGTTCTTGTTTTATGGCAGGAATAGATGGGTGTTTGGTAGAGCTACTGCTAACATTTGTCTTTCTTTCTTCCTGTTCAGCATTTCAACCCAGCAAGAGATTCTATCCCATATCTTTTTATCCTTCGACTGCAGATTCAAACTGCACAGGAAACTACTGTTGAAACAGTTCCAACCAAAATCCAACCTAAGGGGGTGCTATGGACACGAAGTGTAGACTTCTTGAGGAATTTTGATAGGATTCAGGTCAGATATGTCGGGCGAGAATGGCGTGAGCTTCTTGAGATCGTGGGGCATGCTTCACAGGCTGTATCTCAGGTAAGTTCATTCTTTTCATGTTTCTGCGATCATGAACTCACAGTCCACAGCCACTCCTAGCTACGAGGCTGATTAGAGACGCTATGTTGCGCCTCGATCCATCATGTGCTGTTTTTACGTCAACTCACCTTTTACTAGTCCGACTTTGTCTCCATGCAAAAGCTTATTCCTGTGCATTGCCAGTATTGGACAACCACATTTGCCATCTTCCAGTTATGCCTATGCATCCCTCTTCAGAGCTTCCTGTGCTTTGTGCAGCGCACGAGTCCAGCGTACCTTTTGTAACAGATACATCTGGTCTTTCATCTAAGATAACCTATCGGGATTATCTTCAATATTTTCTCTATAGCGGTATGGTGTACATGGCCCTCAAGGATTGGCGCAAGGCACTTCACTTCCTTGGTGTTGTCGTCTCTACACCCGTGGCTAGCTCTGTGAGCTTGGTCATGGTGGAAGCATACAAAAAATGGGTTCTAGTTGGTCTACTTGAACATGGCAGGGTATGTCAACTGAGGATTTGGGCCGCCGCTTTCGTCCTTTGGCTAACTTGACTCTTGGTGTCAGTTGTACCCACCTCCGACTATCACAACCCCTCATGTGATGAAGATATATCAGTCAATGGCAAGACCGTATGTTATACTTGCACATGCCTTCGAGCGAGGTGACATCCGACGACTAAGGGCTGAGGTTGATTCAGCAAAAGATATCTGGGAGAATGTAAGTTGCAGAGATGGATATTACTAGATGGAACCTTGGTTTACATTGCTAACGCATCCTTCTAGGATAATAACACAGGCCTGGTTTCTCAGGTGGTGAATAGCTTTTACCGCCAGGCTATTATCAAGCTTGGCAAGACATTCGCAGCTTTAACAGTCGCCGACCTCGCAAAACAAGTGTTCCCTCTGCCTGTGCATGAAGAGATTGCCGAGTCTGTGATTGTGTCCCTCGTATTGTCTGGTGCTTTAGATGCCACCCTACTACAGACTCAAGATCAGGCGGTTTCATCAATGCTGCGATTTTCGACTACTTCTTCGTTTACTCGGCTGTCACATGAGATGCACATACAATCCCAACTCCAGAAGGAGCGATTTATAATGGAGGCCTTGGTGGGAAATCTTAGAGAGAGCAATCAAACCCTAGGGTTAAGTGATGAATGTGTTGACAGTGTTCACAAAGGACAGGCTTGGTCGGGTTCTGAGGTGAATCCAATTCTAGGTGAGGAAGTTGGCTTGGAGATGGATGAGGATTTGATGGGAGATATGCCTTAAATGATTTTTTGGGTATCACTCGAGAACAAGCGAGTTAAATTTCTTTATTGATGATCACGTATGATACTATCACTGTACTGTTGTAAGATTACAGCATGATGTAGGAAGCCCATGGTGCATGTAAATCCGAGTTGCGCAGGCATCGAACAAAAAGTATTACCTTCTGGTATATCGGTTGGCACTATAGACTTGCTTCCATGTTGCATGCTGTATTAGAAACTCTCTTGATAGATACCTGATCGCATGCTGTAAATTCTCAGGATCTTTGGCACAGATGTCCGGTGTAAGTATAACTATATGGTCCAAGATTGGCCACTATACATGATAAACTGGATTGAGAGGCAAGCTACTTTAGTCACTCGACCCTGTCTATTTTCAATCAGTATTTTGAGTGTCAATTTTTAGTGTGGTATTTTATTAGCAAAGCATACTGTTTAAATCGCTTATAGCTGTCATGTCTAGGCTTTTATTGTCAGTGAAGGTGCTTAGAGTCACGTGGTAGTGTAAAGGGAAAGGTATAAAGGCTATATAGCATCTTGGATAATTAGGGGTTAGCCATACTCAATTTCTTGCTTCTCTCAATCATTTCGAAATAATAAAGTCTACATACTAGAATAGTTGCTTATGCTTATTATGTGAACGACTAGCCTGTCAATAAGGGTTTATTTTTTTGGATATATTAAGTGTCACGGACTCAAGGGGCACATGTATCACACCAGTATCAGGTCCTGTGGACTACCCTGTTTCTCGCCAGTGTATCGCTGTAGAGTCGTCAGCATCACCTCACCGCTTCTTCTGGTCATGTTAAATAAGTCGTTCTCGGTGAACCTGGAAGTTCCCCAAGAATCAGTCTCTGTATAACCTGCAATACCACTTGTTCTGAGACGCCTTTGATCTTACCTAGATGACAGGCTCTATCCTATAAACACTAGGCCCCTTTCTCACTTTAAGAATGTAACGGATAATGTTATAATCCCGCTCTAGTACTAACTAGTTAAATATATGTAAATATAGTTAGTATAACTATACATACCATTGCATAATTTAGTTTACTTCATTATTATTACTGCTATGTATGGTATAGAAATGTAATAATTATTTAGAGAACGACTGCCTCTTCTTTAAAAATCAAAAAAAGATACCTATTTTTCTTACTATTCTTTAACAATATATCATCTTTCTACGTTATTTAATTGATAAGGTATATCTACCTAATAAGAAATAAGGGTAATTTCTAATATCCTTGATTCTTCTGCTATTTTATTTATCAAAATAATAAAGTAATAGTTAAAAATAGAAAAGGAAGCAGGATTTAAATAGAATAATTTGGACTAAAGCCCTAATGATATCAGTCTAGTAGCTAATATCTAATAAATTACCTATAAAATAAGAAGTGAATACTAAATAAAATATAAAATAAAACCATTATCCTAGGTATTTGGATTTAAGGAATATTAGCTTATATATTAAAATCAGTATATTCTTAAGTAATTATATGAATATAGGTTAAATAAATATGTTGTAGTTGATATATATTATAAAATTACCTAATCCTAGGCTAAGATAGCATTATTATAAGAGAACATGAAAATGAGACATTGAAATCAAAATTACTAACTTCTTATTAACATATTGTATCATGTCGTATTTTCTATACGAGTGGCGCATCCAAAACACTATACTAAATAGCATTATGATATCTTAACAATCACGTTTTTATTTTATTGGATCACTTATGGGTAGCAAATGATAAGATTATTATGCCCTATATATAAATTTAAAGGAGATCGGTAGGCCGCATTATTGTGGGACCGAAAATTACCTGACTATCTACTAGAAATATATATATCTTGTTTGCTGCTTTATAAAATTCTATTAAACTCCCTAGATAGCCTATATATAACCTAAAAAGCATTATTCTATGAGGCAAAGACCTTATAAATCACTATTACTAAGCTATTAAGCTATAATTTATCCTATTTAGTATAGTGTTCTAGGTGCGCCGCTCGTATATGAAATACGTTATATATATTTATTATAGTTAAGAAATTAGGATCACTAACCACTAGACTTCTATATAACTATCCTAGGCCGAAGGTTCCGACCTAGAACCTAAACTAGCCTAGGTTAGACTACACTAAAACCTGCAAATAACCTATGTCGACCTATTTTTGCATAAAATCTATATCTTAGCACACATAATTTAGCTAAGTTTTCAAAATAAAATACTATTATTTATCTGTTTTCTAATTTTCTTAAATCTGTATCTTTCACTTTGACTACTTCGAATAGAAAGAAAATGTTCTGTGTACTTGAACTTATTAATAGTAGCTATTAGTTATTTGTATATCTTTGTATTTGTGACGATGTGACTTGACGAGGTGACCGATCACGTGATGTTATCACGTGGAAGGATTGTGATTGGCTGGCGGAGGTTGGTTTAGTCTCTCAGATAGCTCCGCGCCTCCCCTCCTCTTCTTCTTCTCTCCAGTTTAGTGTCTTAGTGAATGGACCCTCTTACCTCTTGGCTTGCCCTCTCACAGTATTTATATAGTAATATAGCTATGATATCATAGTAGAAATTTAAGTAGCTTAGGAATTGGGTCTTATCATATATTCTGTATTTAATACTACTTAAGAGGTAGTGCACCTTTATTAAGAAAATATCAATTTTTTTTAAAATTTACCTAGATATTAATATATCAAGTTTACCTAAATAAAAATCTCTAATATAAAATATACTTTAAACTTATCTTGCTTTATATTACAACAAAACATAGCGGTTATAAGAAAGGAGTGAATATATTGATTGAGAATCGAGTTACAAGTTTTTGAGAGTTAAACAGGTATTTGTGGGTTAGGCATAGGTTATAAGCGGGTCTTCGATAGGTTCTATAGGTTCTATAAATTTGATCTATATAGTATCTACTAATTATAGGATATTTCTTGTCCGATAGCAATAAAATAATAAAGTAATTAGTCTATTCTATCTAGCGCTTGACTTCTATAAATAATATTTATAAGTTTTTACTTCTCTTATACCTTGTCCTTCTTTTATAAGGTAGTATATTATAGTTAGTATGCTAATCTATTTCTCTTATTAGTCTACAATAATATAGGTAATATATTATACCTTATAATAGATCCTCTATAAGCAATTACTCCTACCTTCTAGTAATTTAGCGAATATTTGACCCTTTTAAAAACTAAGACTTTATCCAATTATAGCCTCGCCTATCAATTCTATCATTTTTCTACTAGGACTTCTAATAGCACGAATTGATATAGTATATCTATGTTAATAAAATATCTCCGCACTACCATATATTAATAGCGCGCAAGGAATACTTAACAAAAGGCTAGTATTACTAAGTTTCAATAGGATATATTAGTGCTTTCTTATTTGTAAGGAAATCTTACTAATTATTCTAGTAAATAGAGACGTAATAAACTAATATGCCACGGGTTTCCTTAAGAGGCATAGGAGGAGAAGCTTCTTACCTTATAGTCGTAGGTCTGCCCTTTCGGCTTATTAAGTATCCCAAGTTCTACACCCTAGTTTAAATAGCTTAATACACCCTTTCTATCCCTAAGACTCCTTCCGCGAAGACTTTATATTGTCGCCTCTAAACTATAGTCTATAGTGAACGAACGGCACTAACATATTCTATCAAAGCTCCCTAAAATATAAAAATATCGATCGCCCTTAATTGTTAGATATCTCCTTTTTTTTGAAATATCTATAGCTATTACTAGCTATTTTATCGATAAGGATTATGTCACAGACCTAATGGATATATGTATCACGCCAGTATCAAGTCTTGTGGACTACCCTGCTTCTCGCTAGTGTATCGCTGTAGGGTCGTCAGCGTCACCTCACCGCTTTTTCTGGTTATGTCGTTCTTGGTGAACCTGGAAGTTCCCGAAGAATCGGTCTCTGTAAAACCTGCGATATCATTTGTTCTGAGACGCCTTTGATCTTACCTAGTTGACAGGCTCTATCCTGTAAATACTAGACCTCTTTCTTACATAACGCCTCATAACAGTCGCTATTAGATATAACCACTATTAGACAACTAAGCGGTCTCAGTTTACCAATGCGAATACAAAAATAAAAAAGTGGGATAGTAGAAGGATATTAAATAAGGTAAACCACTCTTATTTTTTACTCCCTTAGATCTTACCTTTACTCGACTAATCAAATACAGGTTCTTAAACTCATATCCTATATCAACATAAGCCTTTAGCGCCGTAATATATTTATTTTCAAAGCTCTAGACTTAAGTAAATAGTCTTATACCCATGAAGATATCAAAATACGCTAGAACTCAAAATTTCTAATGCTTCGACAGGCAAAACGGCTCCGATCAATATTCGATGCCTTTAATATTAAATATAATCGGACTATCTTAATATTTAGTGTAAATAAGTGTGTTAATTAAATACCATCTATAGATCGTGCGGCTGTTATTCTATTTTACCATTAAACTATCAATAATGAAGGACGTTACCACTTATTATATACTCTATATTTATAATAAGCCTTTGGAATATCTTAAGTGGTTAATAGGCTAGCTTGAACGTAGAAAGGTTCCTAGAAAAGGATAACACGCAAGGTACTCAAGGCTCCGCCTAAGAAGCTACCCGTGAGAAGCTTGCTAGCTATTATAAGTAGACTAACACAACCCAAGGGGATCGCTATACGTTCGGAATAAGACTCGCGCTAGTGAATAAGTTTCGGTTTCTTTTTAACCAAAGATTAGAACGATTAGTAGCGCGAATAGTATTGAAAGAGCTTTCAGACGGCTCTTTCTCTATACTAGGAGCGCCTTGATTATTTATCCTTCAAGTATTAATATAAGAAGGCTTATATCTTGATTCCATACTTGGTAGACACAAACGCTAACTATTGTCGGCTAAGGATAAGGTAGTTCAATATCTTAACAGTGGTATATCTTATCTCCTCTCGCTTTCCCCTTCTCCTAATCTACTAAATTCGA